CAGCACTATTACAAACAGTAGCTCATACAAACAGCGATACCTGCGTACATTTTGTTTTCACTCTAGTGAGAATCAAAGCGGTCGTTACCAAAACGAATCATCAAGCCAAATATTGATCTCTAAAGATTACCTCATTGACTGGGAGGCCTCATCACGCCCATGAGATAGTCAGTCTGTGTTGACATAGACACAATCTTGACATAGACACAAAGATTGATTGATATGTACAATTAAGTGTTGAAATAGACTACATTTATACTTGATAAGATACGGGTAGACATTTTGACAAACTTTGACCCTTATATGGAGACATATTGAAATGGCCATAAATAGTATAACCAACATAGACACAAACTTGGACATATATGGACACACGTAGACAATGGTGACTAAGACACAAACATTAGCTGGTATAGACAGCAATGATATAGACATGTATTACAGACGTAGACACATGAAAAGCAAAAAAAACACATAGACACAAACGTTTACAAAGACACACACTTTTACCTAAACACAAACTCAAATTGATACAGACACGCATAGACACTATAAAAATAGATACGACAGTATTCACAATTGCACAGACAAAGCTTTCATAGACAACGACATTAACAAAGACAACACTCTGACTGATATGGACACGGTGGTATGCACTATTGACATAGACAAAACATTGACTGATATCGATAGGGCAATGCCGCTTAGCTAAAGCAACATGACCCAAAACTTGCAGACCTGAACCGATATCGATTGAAAACTAAACTGCCGTCATCGATCAGCGTTCGATCTCTTAGAGAAAAAAAAACCTGGTTCCCAAAACAACACGGACAACGACATACACATGAGACGATGAGTAATGTGTGTATAGCCACGTTGTGTCAACAAGAAATGTGTGTATAGTCACGTTGTGTCCATTGTGTGTATAACCACGTTGTGTCAATAAAAGTATGTAGGCCTATATACCTAAGTGGTGTCAATGTGTGTATAGCCACGTTGTATCAATAATTAATGTGTGTATAACCACGTTGTATCAATAATTGATGTGTGTATAGCCACGTTGTATCAATACTAAATGTGTGTGTAGCCAAGTTGTGTAAATAATTAATGTGTGTATAGCCAAGTTTTGTCAATAAGAGTGTGTGTATAGCCAAGTTGTGTAAATAATTAATGTGTATATCCAAGTTTTGTAAATAAGAATGTGTGTATAGCCAAGTTGTGTAAATAATTAATGTGTGTATAGCCAACTTTTGTCAGTAAGAAATGTGTGTATAGCCAACTTCTGTCAATAAGAAATGTGGGTATACCCACATTGTTTCATCGTGTGTATAGCCAAGTTTTTGTCCATAAGAAATGTGTGTATAGCCAACTTGTGTCAATAAGAAATGTGTGTATAGCCAACTTGTGTCAATAAGAAATGTGTGTATAGCCAACTTTTGTCAATAAGAAATGTGGGTATACCCACATTGTTTCATCGTGTGTATAGCCAAGTTGTGTCAATAAAAGAAATGTGTGTATAGCCAAGTTGTGTCAATAAAAGAAATGTGTGTATAGCCAAGTTGTTTCATCGTGTGTACAGCCAAGTTGTGTCAATAAAAAAAATGTATGTATAACCAAGTTGTGTCAATGTGTCTATAGCCCCGTCATGTCAATAAGCAGTGTGTGTATGACCGAGTTGTTACGACATTATACTAGAGGAATTAATGGATACCCTGAGTTATAGTGTGTACAGGAGGATGATTCGTGTACACTTTCTAGACAAAAATATAAATACATGCCTACATGCAAACAATCTAAACAAATACCCACACGCAAACAGTTAAGCGAATATATGCACGGAAAACAATCAAAGTTCCTACACGCAAACAACCAAAATACATAGCTTACACGCAAACAAGCAAAATATCTACACGCAAACAATCAAAATACCTACACTCAAGCAATCAAAATACATAGCCTACACGTCAAAAATCAAAATATCTACACGCAAACAATCAAAATATCTACATGCAAACAATCAAAAGACCTATACGCAAACAATCAAAAGACCTATACGCAAACAATCAAAAGACCTATTCGCAAACAATCAAAATACATAGCCTACACGTCAAAAATCAAAATATCTACACGCAAACAATCAAAAGACCTACACGCAAATAATCAAAAGACCTACACGCAAACAATCAAAGAAAGTACACACGTTAGTGTAACAGCACGCGTTTAAAATCAATGAAGCGTGTCCCATTGTTCACTAATCCACAGACAGGACGCGGCTAAACTCTGCAACACGATCCGACCATTAAGCTGAATGTTTATTACAGTTGTATCGCCAAACACGGAAGTACATGAAACACTATTTTTTACTGCATGTAGGTTAACATATTAAAATGTAGGTCTATTCCTTTATAGCACTGGTACACTTGGCACCGTTAAAACTTAACTATCGTTTTTTTTTTAATACGGCCTTAGGGAAGGCATATATTTTGTTATCAAACAATCGATCGATAAAAGCTAAAGCCTCTACATACAATTTTACGAATATGATACCAAATATGAAGTGGATTCTGCTATTTTGTTATGCACCGGGCACAAAGCAGTGGTTTCCAAAGTTTTAGTCCACTCTCTTCAGTAGCATCTTGTACTTTTCGTGCCCAAGACACATGGGTCCGCCACAGAAAGCTCTTTCCTCTTTAGTCAGGCTTCCATAGACAAGAAGATGTTCTGGTTGTTGAAGCTTCTCTATGATCTCAGTCTTGAACTGTAGCAATACCTGGATGGCTTCCCTTCAACAACCAAAAAATAGTCGTGCCTCAGAAACAAATCTACCCCCCCCCCCCCACCTCTCCCAAGAAACATATTCATACCTCACCCACATATTTACACCTTTAAATCTAACAATATCTCTGACATGTTGGAACTTTCTAGATGCGAACCTAACTTGGTCAAACAATTTTGAAAAAATTTTTTTTTAGAACTTTCGATACTGACCTACAATCAACGTAATTTTGAGTAACGAGAGGCACCTTTATGAAATAAGACAATAATTATAAATGCCTATTTTTATTTTCATAGACTACATTTCTATTGAACTGCTCTTGCCTCCCATAACTCTACTCTGCGCCTCCATAGGGAATCCTACCGCCCAGTTTTAGAACCACTGCCTTATCTAAATCAGCTCTCTGACTACTGTTTTCTCGATACGTTTATACAAAGATCAAAGATCTACTTATATGACAAATATAGAACCAGGCTTACGTAATCCTAGGTGATTGTACACTTTATCTATGTTTATATATAATAAAACAATCTAAATCATATTCTTTCATATTTCTCTAACAAACATGTAATTATATTCGCAATATCAAACCAAAATTAGACATTTTAAAACTAGAAATACGAAGTTTAAATATTAGTTTTTGGTTCAAGTTACCAACTATTACGCCTACCTTCTTAAATATTGTACTAAATACAACTTTAGTTTAAACCTGCGAACTCTCCTTTATTGTACATTTTTACTTCTATTGAGAAGGAACTTATAAAGAATTGTGTTAACGGGCGCGCCTAAGACAAGATTTTTGTTGATATTTCACACTGGTGTCAATAACTACCTTTCACGTCTTTAGAACTCTGATCTTGTGGGGATTTAGGATTATAATATAAGACATTTGTACGTCTGGTTTTTATCCCGTATTTGTACTAACTAGCTTTTTATGGCTTACCTTAAAGGATTGGGTTAAAGAATGTTTGATCTCATGATTTCTTAAGCTTCGGTGACTCTATAGATTTTTCATTGTGCACTCCGATCTAGGGTTACCTTGTGTAGTACGGAGTTATAGATCACTTGTGGTTTGTGAATGAGAGTAGAATTTATTCCGATCGCGATTTGTTTTTTTAATATCTGATGTACAACATTGCTAGTGGAGAATAAAATAAAATCTCTATTTTAGAAGAGCGTCATCGAATATATTACAACACTGGTGAATGGGTTTCTTGGCCTGACGTGAACCCCACCCACCCACCCATAAACAACCCGACCCCACCCACCCCCAAACAAACCGACCCCACCCTCAAACAACCCAACCCCACCCACAAAAACCCAACCCCACCCACAAACAACCCAACCCAACCCCACCCACAAACAACCCAACCCCACCCACAAACAACCCAACCCCACCCACAAACAACCCAACCCCACCCACAAACAACCCAACCCCACCCCGAGCCCCAACACGCCCTTGGCACGGCATTCCAACAACGTCTACCACTTAGGACCAAAATTCTTAAATGATCAGACCGAATGTATTGAACTCGCCCTCTATTTCACACCAATCACACTGTATAAGTTTATAGATTTGAATCGAAACCAACTCTCGTCTTTAGTCAGCCCATCTTATTTTTTTACTCAACTCTCTTTTGTTTCAAATATTAAAATTCACAAAACAGGCCAAATACTATTATTAGTCTAAAAATACTTAAAAATACTGATGTAACAAATGTGTTATTTAAAAAAAAAAATTAAAACCCAACAATTCTAACTTCTTTCAATATGTGTACCCCGGGAGCCGGACGTTTTCCCGAAAGACACTTGCCCGAATACCGTATGCCCGAAGGCCGATTTAAATTGATTAAAAATGACTATTTGGTAATCTATAATGTTAACATTTTTCAGGCAAACGGCCTTCGGGCAAGTGTCCATTCGGGCATTAGTCCCGTTCGGGCAAGTGTTCATTCGATCGTTTGTTGCATTCGGGCAAGTGTCCATTCGGGAAATCGACCTTCGGGCAAACGGCATTCTTGCAAGTGTCTTTGAGGAATTTGTCGTAGACCCGTGTACCCCCCCCCCCCTCACTCAGGGTCATAAACTCACCAATTTCAACATCTAATTAATTATCGTTTTCATCCAACCATCCACGTAACCCACCTCCACACCCCCACCTTAAAATGTTAAACTCACCACTATCAACTTCTATCTAATTATTGTCTTATTTGCTTTCCTCCAGCAACCCACGTGACCCACCTCCCCCCACCCCAGGGGGGTAAACTGACCCACTTCAGCATCGAGCTGGTGTTCGATGACGCCCTGCACGAGGTCAGGTCAAAGTTGACCAACCCCAAGTCGGCCATCAAGGTCCAGCTTGAGTGCAAGACAGAGACGGCGGACTGGGAGAAAATTTACACGTGAGTACAGCACACCGGTGTGGTCAGTTCTCGTGCAAATATGCACGTGAGTACTGGTTGGGAATTTTGTGGGCGAGAGTACAGCTCAGGTTTGTGGTCAATGTACGTGCATCAAAAGTATGCTTCTTCGTCTTTGTTCTTAATTGCAATGTTAGACGGGATTACCCCCAACAACATTAAATGTAACGTATTAAATATATGCCGAAGAGACAGTTGACTTCGATTTCAGCCTGCTTTTCTTTCTGTTTTGCTTCCATCCAAAAACAAATAACAAAGCAGTAGTTTGATTTTTGGAGTTGTCTCCCCTAGATGGGTGGCTATCCCTAGCTATTGAGCCTAATCGAACTCGGGACTTCGGTTTAGCAACCATAAGCTTTACCACACCGTCAAATGCACTATCTCAAGTATTTTAAGACCTAGTCGATTCTTGTCGAAGAGTTCATTGACAAAAAGAAAAATCTCAGTGAAATCTTTTGGTGCTGCCTCATAGTGTGTTTCTAGCATTTACTATTCCGAAAAGAGTTTTTTAATGTAACATGTTGAACTAACATTGTTTCTTTTCCACGAACAGTTAAAGACGCTTATCCCGTCACTCGTATATCTCAAATTTTGCTCGTATGTCAAATTAAATTTTAGCTCACTCGACAACTCATATCTCCAAACTCTTGAATATCGATGTAGCACATTATATATACATACATCATATATATATATATATATATATATATATATATATATATATATATATATATATATATATATATACATATATATATATACTTATATATGCATGGATATGTATATATATATATATATATATATATATATATATATATATATATATATATATATATATATATATATATGTATATATATATGAAAGCTTTAATGTTTTTGAATAAAGTAAGTTATCCATTATGCCGTAACACTACTACACGGCTGCATATATTTCATAAGAGATCGAACGGCCCAGATTATGTTGATAGTTTCAGTGTCTTGTGTCAAGGTATTACGGCTTTGTTACTTTAGAAAGGGGCCACCTAATCGTTTTGAAATGAATTTGATCCCAGTCTCAACTCGATTAAAAAGGGCTTTACATTTTTTTTTCTCTTTCAAAAAGCAATACTGTGTATGTGTACCTAATAGCACCAGCAGGGGAGGTTATGCTGACAAAAGATGACGTCATGTCTGTACGAAGACAGACGACACGAGCGCGCTAGATAAACACTTCAAAAGTTTGTTTCGTTTGCTTAAAAAGGCGGAACATTTTATTTTTTAAAATCAATAATCTTATCACATTTAACGTCTGATAACATTTTTCTTTAAAGCCTTTGATTTTTTGTTTAAATACTAATTTTGTATAAAAGATAAAATCAATACAGAGTTAATTAAACAAATTCACGAACGTTTAAAAAATAAATTCTAGAAAAAATCTGTGTTTGCACAGGTGACTATGCACCATATAAACTCAAATCCAATATTATCTCACCAACGTGGGAACAGTTAATTTAAAAACAAAACCACACCCGAACTATCCCGAGATTAAATTTGGCCTAAATAACGCGTTTTTGTCCTGGCCACTTGGTAAAACTTGCTAACAACTATTGGTCTTTAGTGAGCCATATGTGGGTCAATCTTGATTGGAGTTTGTTACCACGGGTACAGTCGACTCGCAATAGAACAGCATGATTGAAAACTGGTGGGAGGAAATGAGAATTGATTTATTGCATGGCAAGATACAATGTCATATAATTGTATTTTGTCTGAACTGTGATTGACATAGGCGTCGAAAACTAGGGTTACTGCCAGAGTTTCTTCCAGGCATCTCTTCGGGGGTGGGGGTGGGGTGGATGGGGAGGTGGAATTTTTATATAGAAAACATATACTTTTACCAGTCTCCGACCCCCTCCCCCTGCCTCGGAAAATGTATTCCGCCCCCGGAAAATATCAAGTGCCCCCCCCCCGCCCCAGAGAAAAAAGTCTGGAAGAAACACTGGTTACTGCATAGGTGTTAATTACTAGGTTAATGCATAGGTATTTACATATGGGGTTACTGCATAGTAGTTGGGGGTTACACACCGTTCATAAACATAAGTACAGGCGTCACTAGGTGGTGTTACAGGTGATAGAGACGTCACTAGGGTGTGTTACGTGTGGTGCAGAGGCGTCACTTGGGGGTGTTACGTGTGGTACAGAGGCATCACTTGGGGGTGGTCCATAAAAGACGTCACACTCGAAGGGGGAGGGGGATCAGTAATTTTGTGACGGTGTGTGATAAGGGGAAGGAGGGGGAGTCAGATAGTGTGACGTCACATTTTTGCATTATAAAAAACAATGTTAGAAAACGTATTTTAGCCGTTATTTCGCGTTTTAGAAAACTGTTTTAAAAAAATTGTAATTGTGATTGATTAAAATACTCGATTTTGACAGAGTTCAGACAAGATTTTGGAAAAATATAGATGTTTTAAGAAAAATTGAACTGCAATTTTGAGGGGGAGGAGGGGGGGGGTTGTAGGCTGAGGTGTGACGTCATTTTAGGGGGGGGGTGGTTGGTTTTTTGTGACAATGTGTGGTGGAGGGGAGGGGGAGGTAAAAATCGTTCATAAAAAGCCTGACATCATTTATGGATGACCCCTAGGATTACACCTAATATAAAGGCGTCACTCACTAGGGGTCGTTACATGAGATACAGAGGCGTCACTAGGATTACACGTGGTTTAAAGGCGTCACTAGGTTGGCTACACCGCCTTAAGACTCCCACCACTGGCGTTCTTATAAAATAATGTACAAGCAAATTTCTAAAAAACTAAAATAACTCAAGCTGATGTGTCTTGTCTGACCTCTACAGCGGGCTGTCCAAGTCCTACATCCACACAGGGCTGTTGCCCAGCAAACAGTACAGCTACAGGGTCAAAGTTGACAGCCCGTCCATCAAGAGCGACTGGAGTGCTATAGCCACCATTAAAACTGTCGGTACGTTCCACGTCAAGAGCTTATACATTTTTTATCAGTCGAACGTCAATTTCCCCATATTTTTGTTAATTGTCGTGTCCCTTGTCAAAGGCCTCATACTTTTGTTTACTGTCGTAGGTCCCACGCCAATTACCTCATATGTTTGTTAATTGTTGGTACGTCCCACGTGAATAGCCTCATATTTGTGTTACTGTCGATGTGAATTGTCTCATATATCTTTGTTAACTGTCGACACGTCCCACGGCAATTGCCTCATACATTTCTTAGTTATTCCAAACATCTACGAAAGAAGTAACATCAGCAGTTTATTGATCTATTAACTAATACGTGAATTGCGAGAGTGCCCACTTTTTCTATCTTTATGGACATCACCGTGGGATGTCATTGTTTTGTCTAGTTGCGCAACAATGTTTACTAAGTGTTTTTTGTATGTATCTAAACTTCCAATTAAGCCAAACATTTTGATCCACACCTCAACCTTAGTACCCGCTAACCTAACACCATGTCCATTGTATAAATATTCCAGCCGCCCCATACACCGGTGATGACCTGCATCAAGCTATACGACGTGGGAATCTGGAGAAGGTCAAGGAGATACTCCAGTCAGGGTAAGTCTAGACAAGGTGGAAGAAATAGGGTAAGTCTAGACAAGGTGGAAGAAATAGTCAGGGTAAGTCTAGACAAGGTGGAAGAAATAGTCAGGGTAAGTCTAGACAAGGTGGAAGAAATAGTCAGGGTAAGTCTAGACAAGGTGGAAGAAATACTCCAGTCAGGGTAAGTCTAGACAAGGTGGAAGAAATAGTCCAGTCAAGGTAAATCTAGACAAGGTGGAAGAAATACTCCAGTCAGGGTAAGTCTAGTGAAAGTGGAAGAAATACTCCAGTCAGGGTAAGTCTAGACAAGGTGGAAGAAATACTCCAGTCAGGGTAAGTCTAGTGAAAGTGGAAGAAATACTCCAGTCAGGGTAAGTCTAGACAAGGTGGAAGAAATACTCCAGTCAGGGTAAGTCTAGTGAAAGTAGAAGAAATAGTCAGGGTAAGTCTAGACAAGGTGGAAGAAACACTTTATTCCAGAGTTTCTTCCAGGCATCTCTTCGGGGGGGGGGGGGGGGCTAAGCCCCCCCGAAAAAATTTTACCGCCCCCCCGAACGAAATGAAATTTATATAATTTATATAGAAATATACTTTTAACAGTGTCCGCCCCCCCCCGAAGAAAGTCTACCGCCCCCCCCCCGAAAATTTTAAGTGCCCCCCCCCCCGGAGAAAAAAGTCTGGAAGAAACACTGCTTTATTCATGGTAAAATTAGAGAAATTGGAAGAATTACTACATTCAGGGTAAGATTAGAGAAATTGGAAGATTTACTACATTCAGATTGAGAGCAAGTAAAAGAATTTTTAGCACAACTTTTATCATTCAAGTGATTATCTTATCTAACAACCCTGATACAAAATTGCTTCATGGATATGGATCATGTTGTCAGTTTCCTTCATTTTTAGCCGCTCAAGAAAATGTTAAAAACTAACTTGTGGCCATTTCAGGGATGTCCATCCTGACGCCCAGGACGAGAAAGATTTCAGCGCCCTGGTGGTGGCTGGGTTACAGGAGAAGTTTGAGTGAGTCAAATACGGGTTTTATCAAATTCGTAGAGTGAAATATTTGTACAATAGATTCTGTAGAGTGAATTGTATGTCCTATATATTTTGGAGATTGAAAAACATATTCTATAAACTGGGCACGTAAAAACGGTATGTTCGTGTAATTTTAGGCAAATGATATGCATTTGATTGTTTATTATAATTTTTACATGTCTAATTCATTTTCAATAGTCCTTTAGTTATTTACGATATGCATAGCGTTTAGATTGTCTAGATATCTTTATTGTAAAGATAAAGAACAAATATCAATCGGCTATGTTAGAAACGTTTTTTTTTACTTTTAATGGAATGCAAAAAATGAAAAAAAGTAAAAGAAAAAAAAAGAAAAAAAATTAAGAAAGAAAAAAAGTAAGAAAGAAAGAAAACATAAACATGTGCATACATTCTACCTTAATAGCAAATTTGAATTCTTGGATAACCTCCCCTGGATTGCAATTTTTACAGCCAGCAATTAGCCTCCCCTTAATTGTAATTTTATACGCCTTGTTTTCATTAAGTTATAAATAACTTTTTACACATTGGCCGAGCGCAGACCATAAAAAATGTTATCGATCATTGACCTCTCATGTTTCAAAACTCCCCACGGAGTCGATATTTATTCTTTCCCCTGACCCAGCGGGGTTAAAAGTGTTATAAAATTTTTAGAGTTTCACGTTACCGCTCGCATTGTGTACACAGTGTTTATAGTTACACGATAACAACTAGTATCGTCGAGTAACGTAATCGATTAAAATAACTCGATATGTTATTTCTCATAGACGATCTTCTGTGCACGGAGATTCGTTCAAGAGATTTGAGAAACTCGATACGTGTTAATAAAAACGTCGAATAAACTTGGGCACCACGGACATAATGGTTAAGACGGGGTCTAAAATTGATGTGCTGAAAATTCTGTTGTTTTGTTAAGTTTTTGTGTTTAATTTGTATCATCAATCATCTTATTACTACACTAGAGGAGCCCCTTTACCTCTCCACACACCCCTCACAAAATAGTGTGAAGCAGATCCTTATATACCAACACACCCCTCACAAAATAGTTTCAAGTAGATCCTTATATCCCCACACACCCCTCACAAAATAGCGTGGAGCAGATAATTGAATCCCCACACACCCCTCACAAAATAGTTTCAAGTAGATCCTTATATACCCATACCCCTCACAAAATAGTGTGAAGTAGATCCTTATATACCAACACACCCCTCACAAAATAGTGGGAAGTAGATCCTTATATATCCACACCCCTCACAAAATAGTGTGAGGCAGATCCTCATATCCCCACACACCCCTCACAAAATAGTGTGAAGTAGATCCTTATATATCCCACACACCCCTTACAAAATAGTGTAAAGCAGATCCTTGTATCCCCACACCCCTCACAAAATAGTGTGAAGCAGATCCTTATATCCCCCTCACCCCTCACAAATAATCAAGCGGGCCACTATTTCCATAAACACACCTCACACATTTCTGTCACAAACTGAGATCAGTATGACGTTTGTGGTGGGACGGCGTGGTCGAATGGTAGAGTATACGATTGCTAACCCGAAGGTCTAAAATTCGAATCCGGTTTCAAGTCAGTAAAACGAACTTGAGTCTACTCAAGGGAAAGAAAGACGGCTAGGCATAGTGCTGTCCACACTATCCCTTCATATGCCGAATCACTGAAACAGGTGAACTCTACTTGCCCCGTCGATTGCCAGGTTTGAAAAGGTAATTTTACTTACTAACTACTATGACATATAAAGCGGATTCCAAAATCAGTAGCTAGTTTTAACATTTTGTTTTTTTAAACAGAATTATGGAGACCTTACTGGAACATGGCGCAGACGTCAATCGAAAAGATGCCAGCGGTAAAACCCCGTAAGTAGCATATTGTTAGCAATTAAAACAAACGTTTTTAGTTAAACACTGTAAGTAGCAAAGTGTTAAAAAAAGCCCGCGAGTATTAAATTGTTGAAACTTCAGGCATAAAAACACTGTTGTAAAATCTATTACAAATATCAATATATAAAGTTTACTATCTAAATTAATTTAAATGTATTCATGACTTAATTTTTTAAAAATTAATTAGAAATGTATCGATTTCTAAAAACTTGTATCTATGTACTCACAGTATATACGTTTAAAAATAACTATTAGCTCAATTATCAATCGTCTGTGAAATTTCATCCAGTAATTTTTTTTTTTTGCTTTACACCGCTGAGGATTTTAATTTTTTTCTCTCCTTAAATGTTTATTAATTTAAACCCTGCATTTTGTTAACCTTCCATCCACTTAACCTTCCACCCCTTTACATTCCTTGACTTAGACTAATCCTTGCCGAGACTTTCCATCCCCTTAACCTTCCACCCCTTTACATTCCCTGACTTAGACTAATCCACGCCGCCAGTAGAGACCTTCCATCCACATAACCTTCCACCCCTTTACATTCCCTGATTTAGACTAATCCACGCCGCCAGTAGAGACCTTCCATCCCCTTAACCTTCCACCCCTTTACATTCCCTGACTTAGACTAATCCACGCCGCCAGTAGAGACCTTCCATCCACATAACCTTCCACCCCTTTACATTCCCTGATTTAGACTAATCCACGCCGCCAGTAGAGACCTTCCATCCACATAACCTTCCACCCCTTTACATTCCCTGATTTAGACTAATCCACGCCGCCAGTAGAGACCTTCCATCCACATAACCTTCCACCCCTTTACATTCCCTGATTTAGACTAATCCACGCCGCCAGTAGAGACCTTCCATCCACTTAACCTTCCACCCCTTTACATTCCCTGACTTAGACTAATCCACGCCGCCAGTAGAGACCTTCCATCCACATAACCTTCCACCCCTTTACATTCCCTGACTTAGACTAATCCACGCCGCCAGTAGAGACCTTCCATCCACATAACCTTCCACCCCTTTACATTCCCTGACTTAGACTAATCCACGCCGCCAGTAGAGACCTTCCATCCACTTAACCTTCCACCCCTTTACATTCCCTGACTTAGACTAATCCACGCCGCCAGTAGAGACCTTCCATCCACATAACCTTCCACCCCATTACATTCCCTGACTTAGACTAATCCACTCCGCGACCTTCCATCCACATAACCTTCCACCCCTTTACCTTCCTGACTTAGACTAATCCACGCTGCCAGTAGAGACCTGCTACAGACCATCAAATGGCTGTGTGAACACGGAGCAGACGCGAAGATGCTGGATAAATCCGGCATGGCTGCCATCCATCACGCCGTGGATGGTGGATTCGTCAAGGTCGTCGAGTGGATGCTGGATAACAGCGAGAAGTATGGATTTGATATAGAGCAGATCGAGACAACTGGGGGCATGACGCCACTCAATCGATGTGGTGAGTCACGTGATGAATGACTGAGTCAGAGGGTGGCAGAGTTTCTTCCAGGCATCTCTTCGGTAGAAAAAATTCTACCGCCCCCCGAACGAAATGAAATTTATATAATTTATATAGTAAATATATACTTTTAACAGTGTCCGCCCCCCCTCCCCGAAGAATGTCTACCCCCCCCCCCCCCCGAAAATTTCAAGTGCCCCCCCCCCCCCCGGAGAAAAAAGTCTGTAAGAAACACTGGAGGGTGGCCTGAGGGGGTAGGGGTGAGGGGTGAGGTTAAGGTGTGTGAGTTTTAAGGAGAGAAAATAACATGTCTTTGACAGAAGCTAAGATCAAAGTTTGAGCAATGTGTAAAAAAGTAGCGACTTACTTTACAACATACGTTGGCATAGTATTTAAAATAAATAGCAGGTGTTAGATTTATATGGATTATATGTTGGACATAGCTGTTGTTATTGTGTAGTGAACGCTTGATACTAAGAGAATAAATGCAGTTAATGGTGTAATGAGGGTACAGTTAATAGTTGGAATGTCAATATACAAGGCGGCCCCATTTCAATGGCTATTTTCTTCAGTTAAGATCATTAGACGGCGGCGGACTCGGATGGTAAAGTATACGATTGCTTACCGAAAGTCTTGAGTTCAAATCCTGAGTTCAAGTCCGTAGCACGTTCCTGAGTTCACCCAACTCTGATAAGTACCTGACTCACGTTAGGGCAAGTAAAGGCGGCTGGGTATAGTGATTACGACACTATCTTTTCTAAATGCCGAGGTCTCTGAAACAGGTGAACTCTACTTCACCTGCCGCATGGATCGTCAGCGTACTTTTAGATAATTAGACATTCAACACGCTGTATAGATAGTTATAATAACGGACGATATAGAACAATAAATACTGTTGAGTTGTGGTCGAGTGTTAGCACTCCAGAATTCCAACTCAAAAATCTGGAGTTCGGTTCACAGACTCTTGTCTGGATAGCGTCCTTGAGCAAACCCAGGAAAATTGGGTACCCAGCTCGCATTGGGTAAAGTAAAGACAGTTACAAACACTGCTGATAAAACTATGATCACAGAATCATGAGAATTATGTTCTATGCAGCATCATGTCTAACTATGTATTTACCTACTATTGTATGTCAAGATTTTTTCATAACTTTACCACCAGCCAACATGACGCCGGACGCCAAGGCCTACGAGTTAGCCGCCAGTCTACAGCTACGTGGTGCCAACATGTCCTCCAAGGCCTACAACAACTTCACCCCCCTGCTCAACGCCATCATTCGGCGGAAACCGAAATTGGTAGAGTTCTTCTTGGCGAGGGGTGCGGATATTTACGAGAAAAACGAGGTGAAAATATTTTCTTTTTTTTTTATTAAACTTCCCACCCCAACACACTTAGGCTTCACATTTTAAAATCTCTAACTACTCGATTTAAACTCAAACTGGGGATAACAATTTTTATATGTATAGACCTACAACTTGAACTTTCTAATTAATTGGGAAAAAGCGAAATACTAACTCGGATAAGTACAAAGAATTATTAATAAATGAGCCGTAAGTAACGCTGTTTCTCTAACGGAACGTCTCTGTGTTCAAGGCACACAATTAGTGTTCATTCGGAGATGTCGTCGCCGTCATCCGTGTGTTCTGAAATTCAACGAACAGGGGTTTTGTCGTGATGTTTGACATTCGATGTTTGATATTCGATGTTCGACATTCGATATTTGACATTCGACATTTGACATTGGATGTTTGATATTCGATGTCCTCACGCTGATGACGCGTACGATCGATATGGAGCAACTTGAATGCCAAACGACTACCTCTGTATTTAGTGCAGTCGTATTTCTGGGTCCTGATCTCGCGAAGCTGCAAGGGTACTCGTGACGGCGTGAGGACCGCGCACACATACGTGAGGCCCCCGAAACCGTGAATTTAAAATATTATTATGATGAGGCTCTTTATATTTGTTTGATATCGCAATTCCATCTTTGGTGCAACACCGGTGTAGCAGTTATCATTGTATGTTAGGAACTCTCTATTTCTTTATTGTATGTTTCAGAACGGCCAGACCCCGTATGAGATAGCACAGAGTGTAGGAAATACGGTAAATTACAGAACTTTACCATGTTTAAATGATTTGACTCCGTATACACATTTCTTTTTCTAAACGTCCATTTTCTTTTTATGTTTTATGAAGTATGTTATCGGAGCAAGTTCAGGGCACTTTTTACTAAGGTGTAATGCCACATAGATTGTCCCTACTTATAGACCTAAACAAACTTTTAAAATAATATAGGTATATATATATTCTATATAAATTCTATTTCTTTAAATGGGGGGGGGGGGGGGGAGTTGGAAGACGTTGATTGCTGGTTACATTGCTAACGGTTAAAGCGGTCTTCCACAAATAACGTTTTGTTTTTGGATGCTTTTTTACCTTTCACAAACAAATGACAGGGAGAGAATTACCCCCCCCCCCGTCTCAACTCTTTACAGCAAACTGGGAAAGGATGGACCCCTCCCCCCCCCCCCCCACCATCAACTCCCTATCCTAACCTTTTATATCCAACCAACCCAAATATCTCAACTTCCCAGTAAGTTCCTATGTTACAGAAGTGTGGATACCGTTTGTTAACGTTTTCAGCCCACTAAAAACCGAAACAGACTATATACTTTGAAGGGTAATAAATGAAAATAAAAAAAATGACTGTACTCTAAATCTACGTTAAAATTAATAAGTATATGTACCCTAACACCCCCTCCTCCTACGAGAGTGACGTGATTTATTAAAGACCTTTTAGATGTATAATGTACTAAATTTACCAAAAATAATTTTTTAAAATTTATTTGAAATTTTTATTTTATGCCACCGTGCCGTACACCTTTCTACTACTCTGACAGTCTAAATTATATTAAAGTTACTTTAAATACCATGACCACCCCTTCCCACTTTATAAGTACGAGCCAAACAAAGTCAACAAATTATCCCCAGCAAATCCTGCGAGCCTTTGAAGAGAAGATCCAACAGATGAACTTGCTGCCAAAGTCCAAGAGGAAAGTCACGCCCAACCAAGAGGTGGAGGTATCATAAAGGGGAGGTCACCACAATAAATATTTTAAAAAACTGTGTTCTAATTATCCCATGCTTACATTTTTCATTCGTTTTTTTAAAATTAGCAATTGTTAAATTTTCATTCATTTATTCATTCAATAAACGTACAAGAACTGCAGATTATTTATGAACAAGTTTACTTTTTAAATGTTGTAAAGTATAAAATATAATGCTAAATAAAAAGCAAAAAGCAAGTGAGATTGAATATAAAAATAACAGTGATAAAACGCTTTGTCTACACTTTAATAGAATTATTAAATTAAGTACTCATGGCCGGTTTCAGTTTAAGTTAAAACCAAATATCTATAACTACCATAAAAATCTTTTTACTTAAGTATAAATAATTCAGCTTCTAAATTAAATAAGATTTTAAATAAAGAATTGGAGGAACTATAACGAGAAAATAAAATAGAATACCATGCGAATTTCTAAAGATTCATCTACTCTCAATTACATATCATTATTTAAAAAAATTGAAATTTTATTAATGATTATCAGATGTAGTAATATTTTGTTGAAAAACGAATTTATTTGAATAAAATTGTTGAACAATTTTCATGATTGTTTTTTTCATTCAGTTTGAAAAGCTTAAATATGGTCGCCATAAACAGCATCTTAGATATAGGCCTTTGTATTTGGCTAGAAAATCGTGTTTCTACAAAAAAAATTTCATATGTTTATATGTTAGTCAGTAGCGTAGCGAGGGGGGGGGGGGGGACGGGGGGAGGGACATATGTCCCCGTGCGCCGACCCTAGGGGCGCCAACCTTAGGGGCGCCAAAATGGGTCGGAAAAATAAATTGAAAGGTTGAGGGGGGTGTAAATCGAAAGTTTGAGGGGGGGGGGGGTGCAAATTGAAATCTTGAGGGGCGGGGTGCAAATCGAAAAGTTTGTCCCCTGTCGTCGGGAAGGGTCGCTACGCCTCTGATGTTAGTACCAAAGGCGAACAAAGCGCCCCCATGTTCCCTCGACGTCTTCTGAACAGCGTAAAACAAACTCTTGTATTCATGGTTATATTTATATAATGGTATTTAAATAAACCTTTGGTAGGTTAATTTTTTAACTACATCTATAAACATGCTAGCCTAAAACACTAAATGATTATATAGATTATAATTTGAGGATTATATCATATTATAATGATCAAGGTTAATCCGTAGCAGATCCATCCCCTTCTCTCAATAGTGAGATAGTCTCACCTCTGTTTAGTCTTCTAGTCTCACCACATTGGCTGTTTTCACCTCCCTGAACAAACGAGTTACATAGTGGTTGATTTAAAACATTGATGTTTTATATTTCATTGCGATAGATGCACTAATTTAATTAATGAAAAGTATATGTACTCGGTTCATCTAAAATGAGGTAAAGTTTCCCTTTCAAACCTGACGGTCTATGGGGCAAGTAACGTAGAGTTCACTTGTTTCTGTGACCTCTGCATATGAAGAGATAGTGTGGTCAGCACTATGCACAGCCGCCTTTACCTTCCCTAACGTGAGTTAGGTACCCATCAGAGTTGGGTGGACTCTGTTGAGACGGTCTACTGACTTGATCCCGGATTCGAACTTGAGACCACTCCGCCCCATATAAAATGTGGTACCTGAATAAAAATCCGTGGTTCCCCTAGCAGAAATGCTATTTGATACGTTAAAAGAAACTAAACATTGGTGCCTCTATAGACACTTTGGCTGTTTACTTTGTGGGTATTCAAGTTAATGCCCCAAGTAGAAACTTTGGTGTCAGTTTAAACAATATGTGGATTCACTTTTAGCATTGAAACTGGAAACAATTCTCATGAAGATCTTGCACGTAAAAAAAATATTGCAATACAATCTTTCTAGTCGTATTGCAATATGTGACTGCTAAGCTGGAAATTTCGAGTTCAAATCCGGGTTTAAGATCGTAGAACGTCAGTGAGCTCACGCAGTTCTGGTGGGTACCTAACTCACGTTAGGGAAAGTAATAGCGACTAGGCATAGTGCTGACCACACTATCTCTTTATACGTTAAGTCAAGAAACAGGTGAACTCTACTTCAATTGCATCATGGACCGTCTGGAATACACATTATTTTGAGATTTTAAATCTATTTTGAAATTATATTTACCATATTTAAAAAAAAAAAACACAACATATAAATCTTACATTAGTGTTGATACATTTAAATCTCTTCAGTCCATACGAAGCTCTAGATAGTTTGTTGCAGAACCTAGAGAGGTTGTAGATGAGCATACCGAGGAACTGGAGTAACATGAGTAGGGCGTATAGGAGCAGGACGGCAAAACCTGAGATTTTAAAAAGGTTAAAGGTTGGGGTAAGCAGGTGGAGGGTTAATGTTCTGATGTTACTCCGTGTTAAAAAATAATAAAATGTAAATGCACATATATATATATATATATATATATATATATATATATATATATATATATATATATATATATATATATATAAATATATATATATATATATATATATATATATATATATATATATATATATATATATATATATATATATATATATATATATATATATATATATATGTATATATATATATAATGTTTTGCTACCATGCGACAACGACTAGACGGACTTACTGACTGGGTCGATGCCGACTACGACTTTGCTAAACCGTGAGAAAAAGGTCAGGACTATAGTAAACACAAACAACACAGCATTGGTGGCAATAAGACATTTGATGGCGTTGATTTTTAGCCTCTGTAGGTTTTCTGTTTTGTCGGGGTAAAAGATAAGACTTGTATAATAAACATTAACAAGGTATATAAGAAACAATACACAACCAAATTACACATAAAGAAGAAACAAAATACCACCAAATCACACTGAAATAAGAAACGAAACACAACGAAATTACACAGAAGTAAGAAACAATACACCACTAAATTACAGAGAAAGAAAAAACAAAAAAAACACCACCAAATTACACAGAAAGAAGAAACAAAACACCACAACATTACACCAAAATAAGAAACGAAAAAAACATATAAGTTAACACGGCCTATGTTCCACTGTAAGTTGAACAAGGTAACGACGAAGAACTGAAAGAATATTTTAAACCACTGGACGAACGGATGCTCACCATTTATGGTGACTAGACGAACGGATGCTCACCTGTTATGGTGTCTGATGAGACCACGTGACCATGATCGGGGTTTAAAGTCCGCTCTATCAGGCCCGCCCACTGTGCTCTGAAATCTCTCTCATCTGGGCCTGGGGGAATCACTGGTAACAGCTTACACAATCTTACATGTAACTGTGTCATGTGTATTTATATCACATGCAATTGTGTCATATGTATTCGTATCACATGCAATTGTGTCAAATGTAATTATGTCATACAGATTTTTACTTTACACCCGTATTCGACTAGGTTCTTTTATATTAAAATGAATATTACAATTTTAAAATGTTGGTTATATCTGTGTGACATCCAGATATAATTTCACTAAAATATTAATTTAATAGAATTTATGATTTAGTCTAGGAAATAAACACAGGCGGTTAAAGATGATGTACGAATAACCTAGTTTTAAAATATAAATGGGTGAGTTTTTGCTAGTTAATAATTTAAATCTACAATCGAGCATTGGTTTTTGATTAGTAATTTAATGTTGATGATTTATGATTGAACAGCGATGACATAATGATCAAATTGGTCTGCAATATGCTTTATTGTTTACTGGAGATTTAAATTGTGAATTATCACCACTTGCATGTAATAGGGCTGGTAAGTAGGTCACCAACCAGTTCTACGGCTCAATAAAACCTGCATGAGCCATAGAACTGGTTGGTGACCTACTTACCAGCCCTATTGTAACAGATATTGGAGATGTAACAATGTTTGGACAAGGAGACTTGTTGTGACGACTTACTGGCGAGGGTAGTAATGTCTTCATCCACGACATTTATCGATGTAGCGGAACCTCCTTCTGCTATTTTGGGAGCTACAATAAAGTTTTCCAATTAAAAAAAAAGTATATGTATAAATCAAAAATATGTATAGTTAAACCTGGCAGAATATTTGAATGCTACGTGGCATTACATACGTAGATCATATGCACAATTCTAACTTAAAATTGGTAGGATTCTTAAAATACCCTTAAGAAATTTATTTCATGCAGGAAATGGGTCCGCAGTAGGGCCTAAATAGTTTATAAAAGCGACTAAAGGCTTATTTCTATTATTTTTTTTTGTTTTCTTTTGAAATCTGCTATTTAATAGGCATTTACTATGTAATTAACATATTGGAGAATTCATTACAAATAATAAGGGACGCACGTTAATACCGTTTAAAGTAAGTGCGGAGTGATATGTTTTTAACCGAATCAGAGTATCTTTTTTTTAAAAATGACCAAGGATAGAGTAGTTAAAAAAGGTGTAAAAGGCTTAGATCATAGTTGCGCGTTGAAATTTAAAAAAAAACAACTCATTTCATTATTTAAAATAATGTTTCTAATGCTAGTTAAAGATATTTTAGACCAGATTTACCTGAGTGATCTTCCTGCTCTGTTGTGTAAACTATATCACGTGATGTCATCACATAAAGGCAGAAATACAAATGTAAGGAAGTGTTGTAACACAAATGTGAAGATTTATAATGTGAGAAAATTGATTTGAAATCTATACAGCAAAACAAACCTTTGCTCAAAGTGTATACTTTTAATTGAAAACAATGCGTTGGCCAATTATGTAAAGTATTTCTTTTATTAATAGATAAATAATCAATTTCTAGCCTCTCTATATTATGCCAATTCATGTTATATTATAAAAACTTTACATAGATCAAATAACTAATTAAGACAAGTCGAAGTTTAAACAATTATATGTTAGTAGTGTGAGAACACCAAGAATCAAGCTATTTATAGAATTAATAATAAAAACAATACAAAGTGAAATTATGTGGATGGAGTTGAGACACATACCGTGGTCTTGTAATCGAAGCATCGCTATCGCACTCATTAACCTTTTAACGTGACCTGAAAAACATAATTGTGGTCTTAATAAAAAGATGTCGGAAACAAAAGTTTGTTTCTAGGGCGGGAGGGGGTGGGTGTATTCCCGGGTGGGACGCCACCCCACCCGTCCTTCCACACCCTTTTGACGCTGGTTTTCAAACAATTTCTGACGTTATTTTTAAAATTACACCTTGGGTTAGATATTATACTGTGGACAGCTCATAAACGCAACATTTTTTATCTTTTGTTTTGCTTGGTAATCTCAAGTATTTTTGTTAAAGGTTTGTCCAAAGGTTTGTCGTGACGCACTTTGCTGTGGCATATGTATTCACTACCAACGAGATATAATAATAACGATTTCAAAATAATTTAAAATGATTGAATAACAGCGAAAAGAATGTTTTGTTATTAAAGTTTTGAAGATTTTAATACGAGGCGATGAAAGCATTTTTTTTTTATAATTGTGGGTTTGAAATTGCGAGGTATGGGGAAGATGTAAATGAAGGACTACCTGGTTTTTTAATCCCCAGATCTTTGATGTCGTCTTCTGTGAAGTGCTTGAGAGTTTGGAGACCTTCGGCCGTGTCCAAACAGTTGGCTTTAAAGTTCTCCAGATATGACTGAAGTCCGGTGTCTTTCAGAAACTGGTTTATGCCTGCCTGAAATGTAATGTTTTGGTAATTAATGACGTTAGTGTAGTATAATTAATGATGTATGTATGGTGAAATAAATTATATTGGTGGTGTTCGAAGTTAGCGCGTATGGTGTTGTAAGGGTTTGGTTTGGAGGGTGTAGTGTTGTTGGGGTTAGGAGTTGGGAGGGTGTGGTGTTGTTAGGGTTAGGAGTTGGAGGGTGTGGTGTTGTTAGGGTTAGGAGTTGGTAGGGTGTGGTGTTACTGTTGTCTTCCGACAATCCAGTAAAACAACAAAATAAAAAAAAAAATTGAATGATGAAGATCAATCTATTGTTTGCTTTTCTTCTGACTAGTTCGAAGCTACCTACTTTGATGTTAATCTTCAGCTGAAAACTTGGCAGTTTTCTTATCTCAGCCATCAGGAACATCCTAATGCCTTTCTTATCCACGCCTAACTTGACCAGGTCAGCCTCGGTCAAAGATGTGAGAAAGTTGGTGGTTGTGTAGCCGTGTTTCTTGAACATGGCGGCGTACGGTATCTGAGGAGATTAAGACACGACATGAATCAGTATGTGGCTAGACACATAGAGGCATTAAACAGAGTCATGTTACCATTCCCTACTTTTTTGTTCATGCAACCATTACATACCCTTAGATTTCCACGTAGACATTGTTTACCTTTAGATATGCATGTAGTCATTATCTACCCTTAGATGGTCATGTAGCAATTACCTCCCTTTATATGTTTATGTAGCGATTACTTGTCGTTATATGATAATGTAGCAAGTACTTACCCTTAGATGATCTGGTAGCCACTTGTCAATGGTGAGATAATCTGAACTAACGCCGTCTGTTTCATCTGTGTCTTCATTCTCCTCGTCACTTTCTTCTTCATCATCAGCCGATTCTTTAAAAAAATTGATTTAAATCAAACCAGCCTTTTCTAAATCAAAATAAATAAAAAATACTGTCAAGTTGTTAAATAACGTGTTCGTTTTTTAATAGTTTAATAGATGTATATTTTAAAGTCACCTAGTGAGTTAAGTGGGTAGTTTCATCATAATTACAGAAAAATGATGAACAAATTCGCCAAAAATACAACTTTTATACATACACAAACATTTTTTACTATAATGATTTGGTCAAACAGCTATAAAACGAATGCCTATGTATGATGCACATTTTTTTTTATTTGACCCAAAAATGTTAAATATTTCATTTTACATGAACATTTTTCTAAAATACAAGCACATTTTTTCTGAAAATTGGTAAAACGTTGTATAACATTTGTAAAATCTATGGCCGGAACTAAAAGAATTAGAATATGATGAAATTTGAGAATTCTAAAATTTTCTAAATCTGACGAGAATAAAGACAATACGCATTAAAGTGTTAAAGAACTAAAAGAATCACTTTGTGATGTAAGTTGAAAATTTTAGAATTCTAAAATTATCACCCATAGTTTTAGCGCAGTTTCCATTCTGGAGAATTGCGTTTTTTAACCCGTCATTTCTGGATGTATGAATGTATGAATGTATGAATGTATGAATGTATGAATGTATGAATGTATGAATGTATGAATGTATGAATGTATGAATGTATGAATGTATGAATGTATGAATGTATGAATGTATGAATGTATGAATGTATGAATGTATGAATGTATGAATGTATGAATGTATGAATGAATGGATGTGTGTCCGCAGCTTTAAGTCGTATCTCCTCCTCAACGAACCAATATCGAGGACTAGTTCCAAAGCAATTATGTTAAGCAAGTTACGAGGATGAACATAGGCCAAAAAATTCCAGGTTTCTTTCATGGATTTCCCGGAAAAGCCAAAAAAAAATGCAGTTTTTGGCCCATATCTCGGCAACCAGACCACTTAGCGACTTGAAATATGTACCAATCGATTTCTGCCATAATTTAGAACAATATTGCCGAAGAAAGTTTTCAAAAATATCCTTTCGTTCGGTCACAAATTTTTTTGAATTAATTAAAATTTGGACCGAATTAGTAGGCATTTTTATCCAACCACACCACACGCGTCATCACGTTCAATAGCTGCGCCATCACGTTCAATGGCTGCGTCATCACGTTCAGTAGCTAGGCGCGCAATGGTTTTTAGTCATGTAACTCTATTGTAAATAAAACATGTAAAATACTGAATTTTTAAAAAAATAAAAAACGTTTTAATAACTAACCAATGGTTTTATTAACCCTGCTCTTGATTTACGCTACGACAGAGCTATTTTTAGATAACACTAGCGTACCCGTCCCCCGCGCGTTGCCGCGGGGATAGAAGAAAGTTTGACGAAATGTATTAGAAGGATTTCACCAACGCGTTACCAATTATAATTATATATTCTTAGACGCGTGACCGTCTTTTCTAAAAGTGAGTTATATAAATGTAAACAATGCCTGCACTTAAATCATAAATATCGGGACACGGGTTTACCTACACTACCGCATGTAAACATTGACCACTCACCGAAATAATGTTAGAACACACTTTGGTGACCGCCCATATGTCAGAGACGCACAGGGGCGCTCTCAGGGCTCCCACCCCCCGATTAGACTACCGCATAGGCGCGGCGTACGACCCCTGGCTCCTTAAATGTAACAGGCGCCATCCAGAGTTTCTTCCAGGCATCTCTTCGGGGGGGCGAAGCCCCCCCGAAAATTTTTTACCGCCCCCCCGAACGAAATGAATTTTATATAATTTATATAGAAAATATATACTTTTAACAGTGTCCGCCCCCCCGAAGAAAGTTTACCGCCCCCCCCCGAAGATTTCAAGTGCCCCCCCGGAGAAAAAAGTCTGGAAGAAACACTGGCGCCATCGTGCTAAATAGCATCCTGTTAATAATGATGAAGATTTCGTCATTCGCTAAAGTGACACAAATGAACATGATTTTTTTTTCTTTAACACGTAAAAAAAGTATTTGACGTGTTTTAAACATCAGTGTGACTGATGCGATAAGCTAGCGTTACTAATGGTCTATTATTAGATGCTTGATCTCAATTTCTGACTGGCTTGTCTAATAATAGATGCTTATTGCATCATTCGCAAAGTGACGAAACTCTACAGTAGGCTCCTCATATTCAAAAAGTCATTTTTTCATCTTTCGCAACGTGACGAAACTGTACAGAATGATTTCCTTGCGTTACAAAGTTATTTTTAGAAGCCTGTTGTAGTTTTACCGCTGTATATAGTAGTAACCCTTACTCGATTAACGGATGCTAAGTGCCAACATAGTCGCTCTAAAACTCTGGGTGCCAAACCGTGTATTGACGAAAGTTGTACCCTATATTGCGCCGCCCATAAGAAACTTTAGTTTTCTTTTTCGCAGAAATATTCTTGGGAGTATTCTCATCTACTCCCTACAGTTTCATGGCACTTGGATGAACCGCATCCGAGTTTTATTTTGTATATACCGTGTATAGAGAGAAAAAAATCTCTCCCCCCCCCCCCGGAGGGCGCCGCCCTTGCAATATTAAACAATTTTTTTTTGCAGAACCCACTATTGAGTGATCTAATCATCTCCCCAAAGTTTCATGGTACACGGAGGAACGGTGTGAAACCGAAATAGACTTTTATTTTTATAAACCGTATATAGAGAAAAAATCGGACCCTCCCGTGGCGCCGCCCTTGCGAAATTAAAAATGATTTTTTTTACAGAACCCTTCCCTAGAGTGGTATAATGAACTCCCTAAAGTCTCATGACTATCGGATGAACGATGCTAAACCAAAATCGACTTTTATTTTTATATACCTTATATAGAAAAAAGCAAATCGCGCCCTGTCGGGGCGCGACCCCTGCGAATTTGAATTATTTTTTTTTCACAGAAACCTCCCCAGGAATATTCTAAACAACTTCCTAAAGTTTCACGGCGATGTGATAAGAGGTGTGGTAATGCATAAAAGACACACACACACACACACAGACACACACACATACATTGCTTTTAATATATATAGATAAGGAAATTGCGCTAAAATTATCACTAGACTTTTTAATTACATGGTTTTTTCTTCTGCCTTAGCGTTAGTATGTCAGTTTTCACCATCTACTTATGAGGACTGATGCAGATTTACAATAGTAATACTTCTTTTTTGACATGCACTTTCATTATTCCGTTAAGAAAAAAAATAATCTTAACAATCATAAAATTTGTAAATAGTAGCCTTCTCGAGTTCATGACCTCTATGTATGTTTACCTTATTTCTCGTTTTACAATAAATATTACTCTTTGCATAAGGATCGCGTGAAGTCTAGGGAATGTATAGAAAAGTAATGGAAAATGTCTAGAAAAGTAATTTTTAATTTTGAGGACAAAAAAGGTGACTTAGCACTATTGCTTGTTTATGATTATTTATATCAAATTTTTAGTTAATTAAATATGGTTGAAGATTTATTTATAACAGAAAAACAAATATTTATAAAATATGTATTATATTGTTGTTGAAACAATTTGCCTTAAACACAGGTCTACAACTATATGCTGCGTTAAAATGTTAAAATTAGAATTACTGTCATAAAAATGTGACAGCTTTGTGCCCAATAATAATGTTTGTTGAATTTTTAAAAACTTAACTCCCTTAGTCACTTTGATACTTTCCCCTTAACCTATTCACATTGCCAGTTTTCATTTAGATATTATCGAATATGAGCCGTTAAAAAGCAGTTTAGAATTGTTTTATCATTTCAAATATATTAATATATATTTTGTACTTATGTTAAAAATATTACATTTTGGATGAAAACTATGCTTTTTGTCAACAACAATTTAGAACCATTTGGAACCAGCTTTTCAAGTCTATTGCTGTGTGTAGCTTTATTCTAGTTTGATGGTAAATAAAAAACACTAAAGCAATCTCACATATGTACGTGTGAGGGAGTATGGGGGTAGGTGGAGGCATGGGTAAGTCCGAATGAGGGGAGGTGGGGGTATATGAGGGGGGGGGGGATTCAGAACGATGTGAGTATCAATCTTTAAATTAAATTATGTAGTGTGCAAATGAACTTGGCCGTATTTGAAAGGGATGCGTTGGTTACATGAAGGTATATTCGGCGGTCTAAAGGCTGGGGGGGGGGGGGGTATCCGTCAGTTAGGGGGATATTAGGGATAGTAGGATAAAGGAAGTATCCTGTATGAGGTGGGATGTATAAAAAAACTTACCTGTGAGTTTTGTTTCTATTTTTGTCGACTTTTCTTCTTTTTTGTCAGACGATGGGTCTAAGTGTAAAAAAAAAGGGCAAAATCTTTAAAGTAAATTATGTAGTGTGCAAATGAATTAGACCGTATTGGAAAGGGATGCGTTAGTTCCATGAAGGTATATTCGGCGGTATAAAGGAAGGGGGGGGGGGGGGGTTATCCGTCAGTTTGGGGGATTTTAGGGATAGTAGGATAGAGGAATCATCCTGTATGAGTTGGGATGTATACATAGAACTTACCTGCGAGTTTTGTTTCTATTTTTGTCGACTTTTCTTCCTTTTTGTCAGGCGATAGGTCTATGTGTAAAGAAAGGGCAAAACTTTCAAATTCTTTTGAATTTATAGATACATATAAAATACTGTATAAGACTTACTTAAATTTTCTTACATATGTAACTGGGGTAGGCCTAACTACCAGTTACAAATGATAACGAACGAGAAGCCGAGACACAGTGTTGGTCTGATGCAACCGATAACAGGTGGCTTATTGGGTCGGGCTGATAACAACCTCAAAGCTACGCGTGCTATTTTGGGAAACGGTATTCAGACGGCCTGTCAACTTTGATGGATAGGACGCAGATGTTATTTTACGGTCTGTACGTTTGAACTACGCAACTGGTGGTCGGAGATCGAGTACAAGTATCGATTACGGAGAAATACAAGTACGGAGATGAGTACGGATACAAGGCATAAATAGGAGGGCACGGCAGGACTCGCTCTCTCTTCCCGTTTCGAGGCTCTTGCCTCTTTCATCGCTCGCTTAGATCAGTCAGTCTGTGTGACTATGTCAAGTCGGTTATAGAACGGGTTAGCCGTATTGTGTTAAGGAGGATTATAGACATGTGGATTCAGTTATATAAAGCCTAGTGAAGGACTGTTAGGGGTCAGTTGATTCAGACTATTATTGAGAAGCATTCCTGTTGATTTATTGTGTTATTATGAAGCATTTCTTGATTCATGTAATAAAGGATCAATAGCGAACCTGCATCTTGAGTATCTATACTGTGGTCAATGTTGTCTAGAATGAGTGGTTAAACTCGTTAACACGTGGCACTACAGGCAATTAGGTCTCATTACATGTGGCGTTGCGAGCATGGTAACTGTTGGCTCGTTACAATTGGCGTTGTCGGCAGGATAAATGTTCGCTCGTCACAATTGGCGCTGCGATCAGGATGAATTCAACTAGACTTGCCGTTTAAGGCACCTATAGTCAACCTTGTGCATAACTGTGTTTAGTGTGTGTGTGAATTCGGACATTCAGGAACTGTGAAAATTGAGGAACGAGGAAAAATTTTTCATACACACACGGTAAGAAAGAACTCTTTTTTTTTAGTACTTAAGGAAGAAAATGTCTACTCTGGACGAGAAGCAGACCCACATAGTGGTCCTACCCAGAGAGTCCCATATTAACAAATTTTACGGGGACGGAGATCCAACTTTAACCAACAGGTTCAGTGAAGAGGTCAAAGCGGCCTGGGCCTCGAGACATATGTCACCAGAGGAAAGATTAAGACTGCTGATGGGCAGTATAGGTGAAACGGTTAGGGCAGAGGTTAAGTGCCACGATAGGACCGTCCAATCAGATCCAGATAAGGTGCTAGATCTGATTATGGAGACCTTTGGGGAGAGACGGTCGGGAGTGCAACTGCTATCGGGATTCGTGGGCTTAAAGCAGAGAATGGCGGAGAGTGTGATGGAGTACTCACACAGGATGAACAGGGCCTTTGATTTGGTAAAGGGCAAATCACCGGACATTGATGTACGCCTACTGAGGGACCATTTCATCGAGGGGCTAGCAACCCCGATCTTAAGGAGAGAGTTGAAAGAGGAGGTCCACAGAGACCAGCAGTTGACCTTCCTTCAGGTCAGGAACTCAGCGATCCGCAGGTCCGAGGATGAGGACCAATCGAACTGTTCGGTGGACAAAGTCTCTGTGCCTGAACAGAGACAATCCCCACCCACAGGGGCCGACACGATGGAGACCATGATGGCTCAACTGTTGGCCCACCTAGAGAAGGTTGACCAACGCTTGAAGTGGTTGGAAAGCAGGTCAACAGCTGAGAATCAGGAAAAGAACGGGACAAAACAGGGACGGGCTGGACGGCCGCGTCCTGCCAAGCCATCACTCCAATGGACGGCAGACGGTCGACCAATTTGTTTGTCTTGTTCACAACCCGGACATATGGCACGGTACTGCCAGGGAAACGGTCGTCCTCTGTAAGGCAGGGCCAAGCTACAGAGGGGCGAGGTTATGGCCCAAGAAGCAAAATGATGGGAGTCTGTCCCGAAATGGTGATTACGATTGGGGACATCGCGGTGAAGGCAATTGTGGATACAGGCTCCCAGGTGACGACAATCACGGAAAATTTTTACACCAAATGGATGAAAGGAAAAGACCATAGGTTGAGGTCTGACACAGGCATGCGCCTGACGGCAGCTAATGGACTAACCATTCCATACTGTGGTTATTTTCTGGCGGATGTCGTGGTGGCAGGACATAGGTTGAAGCAGGTTGGGGTGTTCGTTACGAAACACAACCTAGAGACAAATGTGTCAAATATACCTTGCCTGTTGGGCATGAATATTCTTGGCCAGTTGCCAGAATTTCTTACAAATATTGTCGGATCGACCACACCAGGTCGGGGATCCAAGTTGGCCAGGTTTGCCAAGACCAGAGGAAGGATATCAGTCCCGGCAAACACGGTCAAGGCAATCACATTACAAATTGGTGATAGAAGTGTGAATGGTGATGTGATGATAGAACCATGTGGCGCCGCACTGAGGGCAGGCGTCGTGTTACTGCGGACATACACATCAGCGGAAAACGGACTAGTTCAAGGGTTGGTAGCAAATGTTTTGGATGAAGAAATTTTTATACCGCCTAACACTCTGGTAGGAGTACCACAGAACGTAGAGGTACAAAGGTCGGCACAGTGCATCGAACTGATCAATACCAGTAGTAATGAAGTAACAATTAGGTCGGTCAATGTGACGGCCGAGGTGAAGAAAGAAGATGGCCGATCATATACATTCCCGGAAACTGAGGACCCAAAACTAAATGAATTGCTGAATAAATACAGTGATATATTTGCCTCGTATGAGGGTGATTTGGGGTACACGGAAGTAATAAAACACCAGATACCCTTACTACAAGACAAGCCGGTGGCGCAACCTTATCGAAGATTGCCACCAAGTCACTACTCTGCGGTGAAAGCACACCTGAACGATCTACTAAAAAAGGGAATTATTACAACCAGTACGAGCCCATATGCGGCACCGATTGTAGTGGTAAAAAAGAAGTCAGGGGAGATAAGACTGTGTTGTGATTACCGGAAATTGAACAATATCACAAGAAGGGATGCATTCCCCTTGCCTCGTATTGATGAATGTCTTGATGCGTTGGGGGGAGCAAGATTTTTTTCTACCTTGGATTTGGCCAGTGGCTACCACCAAGTGGCCATGCACCCCAACGATCAACATAAAACTGCATTTATTTCTCCACTGGGACTGTACGAGTGGACCCGTATGCCGTTTGGTCTAACTAATGCACCTGCTACATTCCAGCGAGTAATGCAGAGTGCTATGAGTGACTTTCTATTTCAAATAATGTTGGTGTATTTGGATGATATTCTAGTTTACTCAAAAACTTGGGAGGACCATCTAAAAAGATTAGAACAAGTGTTTCTCCGTCTTAGGGAGATAGGAGTAAAGCTGAACCCAGACAAATGCTGCTTTGGTTTGAAATCGGTACATTTTTTGGGTTACGTGATTTCGTCGGATGGCATCGCCACTGACCCAGATAAAATTGCAGCTGTTAAAGAATGGAAACAACCAACAACTACGGTAGAGGTCAGGTCATTCTTGGGCTTTGCTTCCTATTATAGAAAATTTGTGCCGGGTTTTGCAAAAATTGCCGCACCATTGCATGACTTGGTAAACAAAATGACAAAGAAACACAGTAAGGAGAAAAAGAAAGGTAAAACACACCTGATAGGTGAATTATGGACTGATGAATGCCTGAACTCGTTTAAGCTATTGAAAAAGGCTTTGACAGAGGCGCCGATATTGGGATACGCGGACTTTGACAAACCATTTCGGTTAGAAATTGACGCCAGCTCTAAAGGCCTGGGAGCTGTGCTATCACAACAACAAAAGCAAGGTTTCAGGGTTATTGCGTATGCCAGTCGAGCTCTGAAGGAATCAGAGAAGAACATGACAAATTACAGCGCCATGAAACTAGAACTTTTGACATTAAAATGGGCTGTGACGGAAAAATTCAGGGACTATTTATTAGGTGCTAAATGTGTGGTATACACTGACAATAACCCCTTGAGTCACCTAAAGACAGCAAAGTTGGGATCCATCGAACAGCGATGGGCAGCAGAATTGGCACTCTTTGACCTAGAGATAAAGTATCGCCCGGGGCGGTCCAATGGCAATGCGGACGCCTTATCAAGGAATCCTTACGAGAGACCGGGTGATGAGGAAGAAACACTGACAGGAATATGTGAGGTCAGAGCGTCAACAGATATCCCTCATGGGGTACAAGTGATGCAGAACGGGCAGACCGGGGTGGAGCACATATCCACAGAGCCCGAACATATGGACAGTAGTGATTTTAATTGCCTTAATCACAAAAAGATAAGAGATGCCCAGAGAACGGATAGTGGCTTACAACCGCTATTGAAACACGTCCAGGAACAAAAATTCCCAGGAAGAAGGGAAAGAGAACAATTTGGTCGAGAAACAAAGAAAATACTGAGTCAGTGGAACCGTCTCAGTATAAAGGATGGTGTTCTCATGCGGAGAATTCATGACCAAATTGATGGCACAATACACCAGGTGGTGGTGCCGGGACAATTACGAGGAGAAGTGCTAAGGTTGGCACATGACAGGGCAGGACACCAGGGTCAGGACAGAACCCACAAAATATTACGACGGAGGTGTTACTGGCCCAATATGGAAATGGAGGTCAAACGCCATTGTGAGGTTTGTGTGAGGTGTCAGCATGCGAAAATGCCAGTTGTCAAAATGAGACAGCCATCAGGACACCTACTAGCGACAAAACCACTAGAGATTGTGGCTATGGACTTTACGTCGTTGGAGCAATCATCGGATGGGACGGAACATGTGTTGGTAATGACTGATGTATTCACCAAATGGACTGTGGCGGTGCCCACACGAGATCAGACTGCCAAAACAGTGGCAAAGGTCTTATTAGAACATTGGTTCATCAAATATGGCATACCAAGACAATTACACTCTGACCAAGGAAGGGCTTTCGAGTCAGAAGTAATTAACCAACTGTGCAGCCACTACGGGATCAACAAATCTAGAACAACCACATTTAATCCGAAGGGAAACGGACAGTGTGAACGGTTCAACCGCAGCATGCATGATTTGCTGCGTACGCTAGAACCTGAACAGAAAAAACGTTGGCCTGATTTTCTCCCAGAGTTGGTATATCTATACAACTGCACACCACATGCCACAACCGGCTTTTCGCCATACATGTTGCTGTTCGGACGAGAGGCTCGACTCCCTCTTGATTTGTTCCTAGGAAAAAGGGAGAGTATGACTGGCTCATACACCGCACTGGAATATGTGAATGAACATATGAGAAGAATTAGAGAAATGTACAGGGTAGTACAGGAAAGACTAGAACATGAATCTCGGCGAAGGGAACCGCCGATACAGACGAAGGACCCGCCACTCAAACTGAATGACAGGGTATTACTGCGTAGCCACCCGTTAGGCAGAAACAAAATCCACGATCTCTGGGGACAGGAGATATGGCAAGTCGTGGAGATGCCTAAAGTAGCAGGTGGCCCCTTTAAGATAAGACCCATCGATCACGCCAAACCGGATCGGTGGGCGAATATTGCTCAATTAAAGAAATATTGGAATAGGCAACAAGAGCAGTTACACACAGAGAAACCCAAGACAATTAGGGAACCGGAAGTTATAACGGAAATTCACATACCCATTCCGGAACCATATCACCATCAACAGAACAACAGCGATACGCAAGGGGAGGATACCGGCAACAATGAGGATCCCGGTCCCTCCAGAAGCAGAGAGACAGTAGACCATCAGATAAGTGGTCCGCGGAGAAGTTTAAGGAACAGAAGGAATACGAAATTTTTTGTCAGCAACCATCAATTCTTTCATGGTCGCGCTGGTATGAAAACAGACTGTTCAAAGAGCTATAGAAGTGAACTGGTGAAGGCACCAAATGGAAAGGGTGGATGTGAATTCTAGAACTGTTTTGTGTCTCAGGAAGATGGTGTAGACACAGTTGATATGTGAAATAGCTAGAACTGTCAATCGTATACGAATGGAACGTCGTGGACAGTGAGTAGAACAATAGATTTTTTTTTTTTACGACTGTGCGATTGACTTTGGAGGAGTGCACCTGCCAGGCGTTGTTTGTGGTTGAAAACACACAAAAAAAGCAGGGGTGGATGTAACTGGGGTAGGCCTAACTACCAGTTACAAATGATAACGAACGAGAAGCCGAGACACAGTGTTGGTCTGATGCAACCGATAACAGGTGGCTTATTGGGTCGGGCTGATAACAACCTCAAAGCTACGCGTGCTATTTTGGGAAACGGTATTCAGACGGCCTGTCAACTTTGATGGATAGGACGCAGATGTTATTTTACGGTCTGTACGTTTGAACTACGCAACTGGTGGTCGGAGATCGAGTACAAGTATCGATTACGGAGAAATACAAGTACGGAGATGAGTACGGATACAAGGCATAAATAGGAGGGCACGGCAGGACTCGCTCTCTCTTCCCGTTTCGAGGCTCTTGCCTCTTTCATCGCTCGCTTAGATCAGTCAGTCTGTGTGACTATGTCAAGTCGGTTATAGAACGGGTTAGCCGTATTGTGTTAAGGAGGATTATAGACATGTGGATTCAGTTATATAAAGCCTAGTGAAGGACTGTTAGGGGTCAGTTGATTCAGACTATTATTGAGAAGCATTCCTGTTGATTTATTGTGTTATTATGAAGCATTTCTTGATTCATGTAATAAAGGATCAATAGCGAACCTGCATCTTGAGTATCTATACTGTGGTCAATGTTGTCTAGAATGAGTGGTTAAACTCGTTAACACGTGGCACTACAGGCAATTAGGTCTCATTACATGTGGCGTTGCGAGCATGGTAACTGTTGGCTCGTTACAATTGGCGTTGTCGGCAGGATAAATGTTCGCTCGTCACACATATTTTATTATATTGTGGATTTGGCTCTAAGAAGACTAAGATGTGTGGTTGAAAGTTGGTCTTAGTTTGGTTGATAAATGTTTGAACAATGACTTAGACATGATGAATTGTGTGGTGACTAGCTAGCATAAAATACTAAGCATTAAACAGATTAGTTGGATACTGGACGTCATGGGAGAAAGCGGTACTGCCAGGAAGTCTTTGAGTCCACCCAGCTCTGATGGGTACCTGACCGTAGAAAGTCCCTGAGTCCAGTACCTGACTTGAATCAGGGAAGTACAGGCGAAAAGAAAGTGCTGACAACATTGTCCATTCAAATGTTCAGGTCATACAAACAGATGACCACTGATTCATCGAATCACCTTCCCCACGGGTAAGGAGCTCATATAATTCCATTCTGTTTACCACTTTAGAAAATAGAATGCAGGTAGCTACTTAACATTTTAAAATAGATATTTACCAAGCTCAGCTATTTCTTTAGCTGTTACGATCGGGATTTCAAGATCTGTAGGCTTCGATAAAGAGAAATTACACCTGCATCTGGGAAAAATAGTAAAAGCAAAATATTATAATTATGAAATGTATAATATGGTGTAATTATTAATCAATATATAAAAAAACTCATAAGAGCTAAGAAATCAATTGCATGTATTTCTTTAAGACACTTTCCATTTTTGATCAGCATTTCAAAATTCGTACCAACTAGTTACTAGTTCAAGGCTTATCGCCTAAGCAATTATTGATTCTGAGAAGGTAGAGGGAGGAGTGCGGATAGACTTAAAATACTGAAATTTGTATACTGAACAATACTTTTTTTGGAAATATTTTACCTAAAGAAAGAAATGAAAGACTTGAGGAGTTTAATCCACGTTTGGATGAAATATTCCGACTCCGCTTCCATATCTTGTCTGGTGCCTGAAACAGGTTGTTGATGTGATTTAAAAAGTTTGAGTTCTGTTTTAGGTCGACTAGGAGCAAAATAAAATTTGGTCAGTCTGGTGGGAAGTTATACGGGAACAGTGTAGGTGAGTTAAGGATGTGGGGGTTTTGTCCGAAGGACGACTGCCCAAACGAACACAAGCCTAGCAGTAAACACTGTACACAAACAGTAGCCTTTCCCCAGCTGAAGTCAGTCAACCATAAAACTGTACTCAAATAGCTTTACCCCAGCTGAAGTCAGTCAACCATAAAACTGTACTCAAATAGCTTTACCCCAGCTGAAGTCAGTCAACCATAAAACTGTACACAAATAGCCTTACCCCAGCTGAAGTCAGTCAACCATAAAACTGTACACAAATAGCCTTACCCCAGCTGAAGTCAGTCAACCATAAAACTGTACACAAATAGCCTTACCCCAGCTGAAGTCAGTCAACCATAAAACTGTACACAAACAACCCTACCCCAGCTGAAGTCAGTCAACCATAAAACTGTACACAAATAGTCTTACCCCAGCTGAAGCCAGTCAACCATAAAACTGTACACAAATAGCCTCACCTCGGCTGAAGTCAGTCAACCATGAAACAGTACACAAATAGCCTCACCCCAGCTGAAGTCAGTCAACCATAAAACTGTACACAAATAGCCTTACCCCAACTGAAGTCAGTCAACCATAAAACTGAACACAAATAGCCTCACCCCAGCTGAAGTCAGTCAACCATAAAACTGTACACAAATAGCCTCACCCCAGCTGAGATCTGTCAGGTTGGATACTGTGTATAAAGTCATCAGCAGGTACAGACATGGCAGAGAGAACACGAAGAGACAGCCATGGATCAGCTGTAGGCAGTCTCTACCCTGGAGGATGCCGGTCACAAGAACCACACCAAAAGTGGCCAGGATGTAGCCCGCAGTGAATGGGAGGTCGACGCCCGAGTCTGAGTCGTCTGCAAGAAAAAGTGTACCGTCTGCTAGAAAAAATGTACCGTCTGCATACAAAAATGTGTACCGTCTGCAAGAAAAAATGTATCGTCTGCTAGAAAAAATGTACCGTCTGCACACAAAAATGTGTACCGTCTGCGTAATTACCATCCTAAAAATTAGGGTATTTTTACAAGCTTCATTTTTAGTTCGCAACGTCTCTTTGTGGGTTTGTGCCAAATCTTATATCTTAATTTTGACCCACTTCTAATGCAGCGATTTCGTTTAAACTTTCCAGATAAGCTCCACTTCGATGACAATACAACCCTACATATTTTCTAATTTAATTAGATGCTTAATTGGTCATTAAAAATTAATTAAACTAATCTGATTTCTTTAATTAAAGCTTTGGTCGCTCATGAGATCTCTACATAGTTGAGCGACAAAAGCTTTTATGAAAGAAATCATTTTAGTTTTATTTTCTTATTTTCCGTGCATTTAAAAGCGTGTTCATATAAAAAAAGAATATTTGTTTTATTCGGTTAGGGGTCATCCATAAATGACGTCACGCTTTTTTTGATGATTTTTAACATCCCACCCCCCTCCGTCACACGTCGTCACAAAAAGCCAGACCCCACCCCTAAAATGACGTCACACCCCAGCCTACAACCCCCCTCAAAATTGCTGTTGAATTTTTCTTATAACATCGATATTTTCCCAAAATCTTGTCAGAACTCTGTCAACATAGAGTATTTTTATCAATTCCTTTAACAATTTATTAAAACCGTTTTCTAAAACGCGAAACAACGGCTAAAACTCGTTTTCTAACATTGTTTTTTTTCATAATGCAAAAAAGTGACGTAACACCATCTGAACCCCCCCCCCTCATCACACACCGTCACAAAATAACGCCCCCCCCCCTCCCCCCTACGAGTATGATGTCATTTATGGACGACCCTGAAAACTAGAGTTAGAGCAAACATAATGACTAGAGAGAGACCTACTGTTAGGATTAGTTTTGGCTAAGGGTGTGTATCCGGTTACGGCTCTCAACGCATCACAAAATATTACTAAAGTGCAGGAATAGTTTCATTTTAAGGCTTTATTTTTTTAAGTATTATAATTAACACTGATAATTTTGCTAAGGTTCCCAAGCTTTCAATGTCTATTCTCTCACGCAACTCTGGATTAACCACATAGCACATAATATAGTTTACATTAACTTCCCTATAAATGTCTATAGATGAAAATTACTTAGGTCTCAATTCTATAAATACCAGGGTTTACTGGAAAAGTCTGGAGCAGTTCATATGTAATTTATTGAACGTATTAGAAGTAACATAATCTATAATAAACATGTGACATACACTCAAACTAAAACAGATCATTCAATTGAGCAGCATATAGTAATAAATGATATATCGTCGCAGAAGACTATTGAAATAAAAAAAACAAGTAACAGCATGAAAAATTAAATAAAAAACATATATCACAAACGGACGTGGGTCCGTAGCACATCCATGAAAACCACTAAGCTTTGATGGGCACTTTAAACTTTCCAGGGGTGGGGGTGGGTACTTGAAACTTCCGGGGGAGGGGGTGCACTTATATTTCCGAGTTGAGGGGCTGACACTATTTTGACCGGGGGCGGTGCAAGTGCTCCGGGGGATGGGGCAGTGAATCCCCCCCCCCCCCCATCGGAGAGATGCATGAAAGTAAATGTTAATAGAAGGCAGTACTATCCCTTTACATACCGAAATCACAGAAAAAGATCAACTCTACTTCATTTGTCCGAAAAGGTAACTAACTAATAGATAATAATGAATGTCAACTTACCGAGTAACGAGGATGATATTTTGTTTTGGGACGAGGTTGAGTGGCTTTGGTCACTGGAGCTGGGACTTGCTGCCAATTGGGCTATGATGCCAACAAAGACGGCCCACATCATGGCGGGGAACAGGATAGCATAGAATTGGGACACCTAAAGGGAACATGATAGCATAGAATTGGGACACCTAAAGGGAACAGGATATCATAGAATTGGGACACCTAAAGGGAACAGGATAGCATAGAATTGGGAGACTTAAAGGGAACAGGATAGCATAGAATTGGGACACCTAAAGGAACAGGATAGCATAGAATTGGGACACCTCAAGGAAACAGGATAGCATAGAATTGGGACACCTAAAGGAACAGGATAGCATAGAATTGGGACACCTAAAGGGAACAGGATATCATAGAATTGGGACACCTAAAGGGAACAGGATAGCATAGAATTGGGAAACCTAAAGGGAACAGGATAGCATAGAATTGGGACACCTAAAGGAAACAGGATAGCATAGAATTGGGACACCTAAAGGGAACAGGATAGCATAGAGTTGGGAGACCTAAAGGGAACAGGATAGCATAGAATTGGGACACCTAAAGGGAACAGGATAGCATAGAATTGGGACACCTAAAGGGAACAGGATAGCATAGAATTGGGAGACTTAAAGGGAACAGGATAGCATAGAATTGGGACACCTAAAGGAACAGGATAGCATAGAATTGGGACACCTCAAGGAAACAGGATAGCATAGAATTGGGACACCTAAAGGAACAGGATAGCATAGAATTGGGACACCTAAAGGGAACAGGATATCATAGAATTGGGACACCTAAAGGGAACAGGATAGCATAGAATTGGGACACCTAAAGGGAACAGGATAGCATAGAATTGGGACACCTAAAGGAAACAGGATAGCATAGAATTGGGACACCTAAAGGGAACAGGATAGCATAGAGTTGGGAGACCTAAAGGGAACAGGATAGCATAGAATTGGGACACCTAAAGGGAACAGGATAGCATAGAATTGGGACACCTAAAGGGAACAGGATAGCATAGAATTGGGACACCTAAAGGGAACAGGATAGCATAGAATTGGGACACCTAAAGGGAACAGGATAGTATAGAATTGGGACACCTAAAGGGAACAGGATAGCATAGAATTGGGACACCTAAAGGGAACAGGATAGTATAGAATTGGGAGACCTAAAGGGAACAGGATAGCATAGAATTGGGACACCTAAAGGGAACAGGATAGTATAGAATTGGGAGACCTAAAGGGAACAGGATAGCATAGAATTGGGACACCTAAAGGGAACAGGATAGCATAGAATTGGGACACCTAAAGGGAACAGGATAGCATAGAATTGGGACACCTAAAGGGAACAGGATAGCATAGAATTGGGACACCTAAAGGGAACAGGATAGTATAGAATTGGGACACCTAAAGGGAACAGGATAGCATAGAATTGGGACAACTAACGGATTTTTTAAAATGAATATTTAGCAAAAATTGAGTTTTTAATATCAAAATGTAATATAATATTAAAATAAAGGAATATTGTGATATACATGATTTGCATAATATAACAATAACAATCCTGGGTTGGTATGAGAATATAAAATAAATATGCTATCATAATACATGGTATGTACTTGAACGAAATATGATTACATAATTTGTGTGAAATTATATTGTGTGGCAATAAAATAAACGAACTGCATGATAAGATTTCAAATCTTGATATACATGTGTGATATAAGAATTTAAGACATAATATACATGTGTGATATAAGAATTCATGACATGATATACATGTGTGATAAAAAAATTGAAGACATGAAATACATTGTGATATAAGAATTCAAGACATGATATACACGAGTGATATAAAAATTCAAGACATGATATACATGTGTGATATACGAATTCAAGATATGAAATACATGTGTGATATAAGAATTCAAGACTTACCACCAGTTGTGTCCTGTGATTTCCTTTCAGGCAGAAGAGGGTAAAGTTCAACTCTACCAGGGCAATTACAATGTAAATAATATAAGATGGCGCACCAAACGCGTAGCTCACTCCACCTATAATAGTTAAAAATTAAAGTTGAAAGTAAACTGTCAATTGTTGCCCATATTCGTCCAATATAAACATGAACCCAAAATCGAACTCGAGACTTCCGGGTTAGCAGTCAAGCACTCTACCGCCAGGCCACGCCGTCATTGTTTCTTCCAAACTTTTTCCCCCGGGGGCACTTGAAATTTTCGGGGGGGGGGGGGGGGGGCGGACACTGTTAAAAGTATATATTTCTATATAAATTCCATTTCGTTCAGGGGAGGGGGGGGGGCGGTAGACTTTTTTCGGGGGTATATTAGCACCCCCTCCCCCCACCCCCCGAAGAGATGCCTGAAAGAAACTCTGCACGCCGTCCCAAGTACACGACATCGCGCGAAGAAAGTTATAAGGCCTTTCCCTACTCGGTCACGTGCAAAATGGCAATGGATCGGCCCTACCGATCGGCCATAAAGATAAACCATAGATAACGGCCATTATAAATCAGTGATATAGATTAGCCATATATACATGTCATAAATAATTGGTCATACAAATCAGTTGTACAGGGCCGCCATACAGATCGGCCATACATATTGGCCATACATAGCGGCCTTTAATATCGGCCTTACAGATCGGCCATTTACTCCAGATAGCCAACTTTCAGCAAAGCAAGCCATCCCCTGAAGTCCATGAGGGTATCTGGAGAACACAAGATAGATACTTTAAAATCACGCAGATGACGTTGTGTTCATCTGTTTCTATTACCTCAGCATTCGAAGGGATAATGTGGTCTGCACTATACCCAATCGCCTATATTTGCCAAACATGAGCTAGGTACCCATCAGAGCTAGTTAGACTCGGGGACGTTTTACAGACTCGAGCCAGGATTTGAACACGCGACTTTCGGGTAAGCAGTCGTAAACTCTACCATCCGATCACGTACAGCAGCCACTTACTATGGAACTTATTAAAATGAAAATGACACAATATACTCTAGTCGGAACTTACCGGCAACGATGATGAGAACGGCTGTGGGCGAGAGAAGAGCCGTGACAAAGTGTAGCAGCTGGTACATCAGGAAGATCTCTGAGACGCGAGGATTGTCCTGACGGAGTTTGTTCCTGTCCTGTATGCCCAACACGTTCAGGTATGGAAGAAAACAACAGCTTTTTTTATGGTTATATACGTCATGTCAAGAGCATTACACGTCATTTAGGAGCATTATTTACGTCATTTTTTGAGCATTATATACGTCATTTCTGGAGCATTATAAACATCATGTCAGGAGCTTTGTATACGTCATTCAGGAGCATTATATACCTCATCTCAGGAGCATTATATACGTCATTTCAGGAGCTTGTTATCTTAAATATTGAAGCAAAATAATGAGCAAGACACAACTTCGTTGTCGATAAAAAGCCAATACTCTTTTGAGCAAAAGAAGTTGAATCATGGTTTTTTATTCGGTATTTAAGAGAAGAGTCTGCTAAGCTTATGGAACATAGGGCCTCCACCATTTCTTTCCATTTCTTCCGATCCCCGGCTATTAATTTTGCTGTCTCCCAAGACATCCCTGTTGGCTTCAGTTCTTCAAGATGACTCCGCCTCCAGGTCTGTCTTGGGTGACCTCTCTTCTACTACGTAGCATGTGTTTTTTTTTTGCCGGCTTAAGAGGTATCAATAAAAAATAATTTTGAAACGATCAAGCATTACTATGAAGTGTAAGCTTACACCGTCTTTAATTCAACCATGAGTAATGTAAAGGGCCTGATTTTTTAAAAAAATCTTGGATTCTTTTTTTTTTTAAATTATGTTTTAAAAGGGATTGGGAAACGTGAGTCGAATTCTACCAACAACATTTTTCTCTTGATATCAGTCATAACTTAATATAGTTGCCTACCTTTAAAAGCAGATAGACGTTAGCTAAAGAGGACGCAATCCAGCGACGCCTTTGTTTAAAAAACTCCTCAAAATTAGTCGGACAGTGGGTTGTGACGCGAGCATCTTGGCAGTAGGCAATGCCACACCCTTCTTGAACCTAAGTTCATTTCAAACTTTGGGTTAGTGTTCTTCATTGAAAGCAGAGATTGGTACTGCACAGTTATACTGAAGTTATACTAAGCAAGTATAAGGTGTAATTTACATTTCCGAGGCAAACATTCTTTTTACTAAAAACGTAAAGATCTACTTGTTAAAATAATAACAAATGTGTAGAAATACTGAAATCCCCTCCTATATTACAATTAAGAAAAAGAAGTAGAAATACTACTGGTGAAAATTAATTTTTATTTGATAATGTTTTTGTTAATGCATATAGAGATAATGCACGATAGGCTGACATGATTAGTATGTCTAACAATCAGTGCCGGATTTACTCATAAGCTAAACAAACTACAGCTTAATACCCCACTTTACCCCCCCCCCCCACACACACACACACACAGATACATTTTTTTCATAGCAATAGTCATAAATACTTAAATCAACTGGTCTATTTTTTGTTGCAATGAAAACGCTGTAGATATAGAACCGTTTTGGTAACATATAATATCTGGGTTTATGGTGGGACCTCATTTTTTCAAATAATGTTGGCCTTATCAAGTCTAAATCCGGTCCTGCTAGTAACTGAGGTAAAGGGACCCACCATCAGAGAGCAGAGCCACCTGTCCTCCCCCATATCTCTAGTGAGGAAGTCCATCGCTGACCGGGCAGGCTGGCTGTAGGTCTTCAGGACGTCACAGATGGCGCTACAGCGGTACAGGCTGAAACATCCAGGGGCACACAGCACCGAGCCTAGCACGTGCTCTGTCGTCTGCAAACAGGATGTTGTTGGGACGTACATTAACGGTTTTATAAGACAACTACTTACATCTTATTTTAGATCTCACATCATACTTACTACTTACAATCGCGATACTTATCATGCCACAACTAACAATCCCTCTACGTATAATGCCACTATTATTTAATGTTACTTACCTTCTGAAGCCAGTGATCCAGAGCGTATTCAAAGGACTGGAACCAGTACAAAGGGCCTTCACCGTCAGGAATTATCCGGGAGCAGACGGCACCTTTATAGTTTAAAGAAACAAAAATGAATTTTAGACATTAACTGGTTGAAAGTGTTGCAAATGCAGCAATTCATCTGATTAGCATGTAATTTCTTAATACTTAATAGCATTGCGACTGCTTTTACCTAGAACCAACTTGGTCTTTAGTGCCATTGTTTTGACCGCTGTTGACCTATATAGGACTGCTTTGACCTCGAGGCGTAGAACCCTTCCCGGCGCCCGGGGACAAACTTTTAATTTGCCCCCCCCCACCCTTTAAACTTTAAATTAGTTTTTCCAACCCATTTTGGCGCCCCCTAAGGTCAGCGCCCGTGGACATATGTACCGCTCCGCCCCACTCCCCAGCTACGCCTCTGTTTGATCTCGAACCCTTATGACATATTGCGACAACTTTGACCCCGACCACTCTTGACCGATATAGCGAAGGCCTTGACCTCGACCCCACTTGCCCTATACACCACTATCTTAACGTAAAAAATCTATCATCTCTCGACCTTTTGCTGGCACTAATGCCAGAATCTGCAGACAGTTCACTGACCTAAATTGTTGTCAGCCTGCAGTTGCTTGATGAGAGCCCGCACAGCGCCAGGCTTAAAACTCACGTCTCCATCTGTCGTCAGGATGAAGCTGCTGTCGTCTGCAAAAAAATAAAAAAAAAATAAAAAACATGCATTGATGTGTATATTCAACTTCAATAATCTCATATCAAATCCCTCTTGACGTCGAGATTCAAAATGTATTCATTAGGACAGTAAATATATAATGCAACTATATGAAGTTTTATACACACATACATGGGCGCGCACGCATGCATACACACACACACACACACACATATATATATATATATATATATATATATATATATATATATATATATATATATATATATATATGATACAAGCGTATGGCTTACCATCTTGGTTCAGAAACTTATTATCTGTGACGTAGTTCATGAACATAACTTGACTCCATCTCTTCTTCCCTAGGACCTAGACAACAAGCTGTCATTTTATTCGAAAGTAAAGCACGTTTGATTTCTTTATTTTTATTTGTATTTGATGAATATAGCAATCTGATCACTTTATTACATTACGTATTGGGGCGACTTGGGCGTGAATTATACTAGATCATTTTAGAGACATAGACAAAAGATTTTTTTTAAATGTAATTTAGCCTTTAATTTTCGAAGGATAATTTCAGCAATGTACTTGAGTCGTAATTTGTGTGGTTTGAATTCTTACTTTCTCGTATATATGACGTATAGAAAAAGTATTGTAATCGTGCACAAAAATAACATGAAATTTTGAAAGTTTTCACCGTTTTACTCCTCAGTCCTTCATCACATCCGAAGTATAGAGGACTTATTTTAATCAGGCAAAAATTATAAATACAAATATATAAACATTTTGGCGTTTCATGCGTTATGGAGTCATAATACCTGGACTTTGCAATTCTGTCCGTATGTCTGTGTATGTGCGTCTGTGTGTAAACACGATAACTTGAGTACCGTTACATCTAGGTTGATGAAATTTCATATATAAGTATTCTATCAAAAACGTAGATCCTGATCAACTTTTGAGCGATTTTCCGATAACCGGAAGTGGTACTTTTTCTACTTTGAATTTTTAAAAAGCCTATAACTTGAGTACTATTTCAGATAGATAAATGAAATTTCACATGTAAGTATAGGATCTAATTCTCTACCTTCTGTCAAATTTTGAGTAATTTCCGTTGATTGAAATTACTAATTTACGCTATTTCCGATTTCTCAAAAAACGAATGTAAATTTATAAAGTACTAATAATATTCCGCACTATTATGCACGTTTTTTTTTTGGCGTTCACGGGTGTGCAATTCTTTTTTTCTAAGAGATTTTATTCTATTTTAAAAAGTTGAAGTATTTAAAATGGATTAAAATTCATGCCTATATCCCGAGTTCCCTTCCCCTGTTTTTTTTATAAAAGAATATTCGAGAAAGTTTAGGGGAGATCGCTCCCGGTTTTTCTATATATATAATTCTCTTCTTCGAGCCGTTAGAAAACAAGCTGCAAGCGCGCCTTTGCAGACCCCTCTCTTCCTCTTTATCGCTACCCCCCCCCCCCACCCCCCCCCCACCCCCACCCCTAAATGGTCTGGTGAGTTGTAGTTCACTCTAAATGTTTACATTTTACAATCATACAGACGGGTTTCGTGACGGCTATTAGGGGCAGATAATTTAGTTTGAAACGATTTTAAACTTAGGGGAGGTAACTAAGAGGAGGCTGCTTTCACGGGGGGGGGGGGGGGGGAAGGGGGTTTAGTGTTTTAAAGCACATATTTTCAGTAGCAGCATTGGTACTGTCGAATTCACAAATTATGAATTACTGAAAAGTAGAAAAAATAACAACTAAATAGCGGCGTATGATACGCCGCGGGTCGGCTCGTTTTAAATAAAATAGAAACCTCCCGATGTTTATTCTGTCGCTGTGTCGGCTTAGACATCAGACCTTCACCTTGGCCTATATTGTCAACAACTGAAATCATATTTCAATACACTGGTATTTTTTTCCTCCACAAAGAATTTCATTGTGCATATTAGTTATTAGGTGGAGCTTACTCCTCGACAGTGTTTCTTTCAGACTTTTTTCTCCCGGGCGTGGGGGGGGGGGGGCACTTGATAATTATAAGGGGCGAGGTGGCGGACTAAATGGCTACGTTTTCCGGGGGGGGGGGGGGGGCTGGTAAAAGAATATATTTTCTATATAAATTTCCATTTCGTTCGGGCGGAGGGGGGGGGCACTAGACTTTGCTGGATAACCTCGACACGATCTTACATATTTTAAATTTAATCATCCAAATGTCCTCTAAAAATTACAACAACATAAAAATTTCTAAAAATAGCCGAATTTTCAGGTGGGGAATTCCCGTAAAACAAGACCGTAGTTGTTTCAATAAAAGACAACACCAATGAATAGAGCGCGGTAACTGTGAAACCCACTGAAAGGATTTGTACCTTGGAGTTGTCTTTGAGGTGAATGGTCAAGGGCATAAACTTGGTGTTGCTGCCCTGCGGATGTTTCTGTTTTGAAATGTTTAAACATTTATGTTGTTGGCCGTAGGGCATTTCTTTAAAGGAACTTGAAAAATCTGAGGGGGTAAAAAATGGCAGTTATTGATTTAAAGGTTTAAATTTTCGCAAAGAGAAAGGTGGGAAGTAGAGTGAGGCAAACGGGAAAACATAGAGGAAGGAGAAGGGGATATTAAAAGGAGAGACATGGGTTAGCGAGTCTTATGACAAGGATTCTGGGTAGATTTTGGTGCAATATATTGATAACTTGTGTGCATCTTGTGAATACCTATATCAAATAGAGAGAGAGAGAGAGAGAGAGAAAGAGGTGGAGGGGAGTAGCATGGCAGCCACGGTTGCGTAATATCATGGCCGTTGGTGTTTCTCAGATACTATCGGGACACAGATACTAGTGGGGATCTCAGATACTTTCTGGCAATGCGTGGTCATTTTCAGGCTATTTCTAATAATTTCAGGGAATATGTGCTATTTTTCGGTGCTATATGTTAGGTTATTCATGATAATTTCTTGCAATACGTGATGTTTTCACGTGATCGTGAAATGGAAGCAAATGTTTGAAAAGTCCTAAACAACGAGTTTTTTTGCGAATCACCTCACTTTATCTATTTTATCGAGAAAATTAAGGGCGGGTAACTCTATACAACTCATCACATCACCAACAACAACATCAACAAAAGAAGACCCGAAGAACTCACCCAAAACCTCTCTAGCGACAGCAAACAATTTGACAGCATATTCCGTGATGTAGCCTTTAGACACGGCGTCGTCAAAGAAAATGTGCGCCTCAAACTCTGGGTCTGAAGGCTGGAGGGAGCTGCTTAGCTCGGCCAGTGACTGAAGGTAGTCCCTCATCTCGTTCTCGCTCTGGAAGAATAAAGTAAAGTAAAAAAAAAAGTAAAGATTCCTATTTAGACCGAGCCATCTTTTGAGCAGATGAAGTAGAGTCAGTAGCGTAGCCATGATCGTCTCATGGGGGGGGGGGGGGGGGGGTTCAAATTTTTACCCGGGGACAAACTTTCGATTTGCATTCCCCCCCCCCCCCCCCTCAAACTTTTGATTTGCACCCCCCTCAAACTTTTGATTTGCACCCCCCTCAAACTTTCGATTAGCACCCCTCCCCCCCCCCCCCCTTAAACTTTCGATTTGCACCCACCCCTCAAACTTTCGATATGCACCCCCCTCAAACTTTCGATTTGCACCCCCTCATACTTTATTTATATACCTAGGGGTCTATGGGGGGCTATGACCCCCCCTAACCCCCCCCCCCCTGCCTACGCCACTGAGTAGAGTTGATATGTTTTTTGTCCTATAGATATGAAGGTATAGCGTGGTCGCCACATTGCCCAGCCGCCTTTACTTTCCCTAACGTGAGTTAATAATTTACTGGTACTTAAATACTCATCCCCATCGCATTACAATGTTACTAGTACACACACTGTCTAAGACGTTGTTTTGACGGCTGAGTACCGACTTACCTCACGGTACATAGTTGTACACACGAACACTCTGTCCGCTTTGATTTTCTCTCGGTCCCCCAGCACAACAGACGATCTTCTGACGACGGCTCTGATGTCATAGGTCAGCACAAGGAGCCAGCTCTCTAACAAGACACTACCGTAGCCGGGTACCGTAAACATCTGAAGTAATCGAACACTGGTTATTTTTTAAATTCTTGCTAGGTTATATTTGACTATAGATTAGGAATTATTTGAAAATATGTCAAAACTTTTAGGACAATTTGGTCGTAGTATCTTTAAGGCGTCTCTTCGGGGGATAATACTCCTCCACCCTCCCCCACCCCCGAGCGAATTAGAAGAAGTGTGTCATTAATAGAGAGAAAATATACTTTGACCAGCGCCCCTTTCGTCCCCCCCCCCCCTCGGAATATTAAGTGCGCTCCCCGCACCCAAAAGTTGTAAATACCCCCCCCCCTCTCCCCAGACACAAACATAAACAAACAAATAAATGACACAAGGTACACGTGCCTGTTTCTCATCCTGCGAAGACGTGTCCACGTACGTCCGCAACCCTTTTACAGCCACCACGATATAACACACACAGAAGCCAATCAGTATCGGTACATCCCACGCGGACTTAAACGCATGCGCATCACATATCTCTTCCCGTCGGACTATCGTCTGGCACACTTTATTGCAGCCGACCAACAAAATGGCGCAGGGGAAAGACAAAACCAAAGGGAGCCCGAGACATGTCCGTTTCAAATTGGCGCGGCACGCCAACAGAAAGAGAATATAGCAGCCGCATCCAGCGAAGATATGAATGTAGAACTGGTAGTTAAAGACAGTCGAGATGGTGTTCATGTCGAAGTTGAGTTTAAAGCTACTGAATGTGTAGGTGTAGGGTGTTTTGGATGAAATAGACCACAGCTGATGCCACTAGGGTGGATAAAGATTTGACAAAGTAAACAATCAAAGAGGATTTCCATGTTGAGTTGGCTTCTTTCCTTTTCCAGAACCGTCTCGCATCCCCTGTAAAGTAAACACAAATAATGGTGTCAGTTTTTTACTTCTGTAGTGAGTTGTCACGGAGAGTGACAGTAAATGAATGCAGTAGAAGTGATTTAGAATTGGTCAATCATACTGATGAAAAATAAAAATACTTAAAGAAACTTCCAGAAACTAAGCTGTACTTAACTCGAGACGAGGATTAGCTAAATCTACATTACGTACTTCGTACATTGCAAATACAGACTGTATATTTATGATTTAAAAGGCTGTAGAGTGTATCTTCTTGTACTTTTTCGTTCTTAATTGTAAGGTTGGAATGGGGTTTCCTCCAACACAATTAAGTATTACATGTCAACTTGCTATGCACCATATATGCTGTTTACTCCGATTTCCGCCTGCTTTTCTTTTAGGATTTGCTTCCATAGCCTTTGTGTAAACAAGAACAAACTACAAGTCAGTAGTTGTATGATTTTGGAGTTTTCTCTCCTAGTTGGGTAACTCTTCCCAGAAAATAGCCTCATATGCCCGCTGGTTCGAGCCTGGACTTTTCAATAATTGCAGTCATGAGCTTTACCGACCCGACCACACTGACCCCCTAGGATGTATCAAATAGCTTACCTGTGTAGTTTAGATGTGTGCTCACGTGTAGACAGCTGTAAGGGATGTGGGCCAGATTGACCAACAGGATGCTAACGGCTGCCAAGACAACCAGATGGTCACTGGACGAGGTGAAGGTCATCTTGAGCACATGGACAGTTAGCCAAGCTGGGATGTTAAAAAACAGAACGATATCAGAAGAGATTTTACAAGATACGAATCTGTAAGTCCAATGAAATTACAAACTGCTGAATTCACTCGCCCCCTCACAATGAATTACCATAAAGCTCCACCTCAACCTCCTTAAAACAACAATTGTTAGGATTTAAATCATTATGTTATGTGTTTTATTCTAAAAAATGTGTAGTCCCATTTTTTTAACCACCCCAAGCAGTAAAAAGAGGATTATATATACTTTGCAACGGTTTTAAGAACGTTAAGTTATTGTTTTATAACGTTGAACATTTTTAACCAGACAGCACCAAAAGTGACACTGTCAATATCTGTAACTACACGTGTGACAGTTTTAGTTGTACGAGCAATGAAACAGAAGCTTTTATCCCCGTGTTAACTTCAGTACTTGCTCCTCCCCACACTTTACAAAAGTCTGAACCCCTACCCCTGGATATACGATGTCATATATTCAAAATCTCTCTTCTTCTTCTTCGTTCTGAATTTTAGTGTTGGAAGGGATACCTTTCGTTGACTTCGATTTCAGTCTGCTTTTCATAGCCTTTGTTCAACCAAGAACAAACTACAAGGCAGCAGTTGTTTGATTTTGGACTTCCTATCCTAGAAGAGTGGCTGTCCCCAGCTAACGAGACTCATCTGCCCGAGAGTTCGCACTCGAGACTTTTCAATTTGGAAACCATGAGCTTTACCGACTCGACCACGCCGACCCCTTAATATTTTCTTTCGGTATCATTACATGCGAATAGATTGGGCTAAAAAGATAACTTACCCAATCCAGAAAGAATTATGGCTGCACTCAAGAAACGCTGGTTGGTATAGGCTGCAAGTAGAAAGCCTCAATGACTCATATCACAACATGATAAATTGGATGGGAGGGGGAAATAGGGGGGGGGGTAGTGACCTTTTAATATCAATACAGCACCTCCCCCCCTCCCTAAGCTAATAAGACACTCTTTTGAGTCTATAGAATGCCGGGTTTCGGACTTTGCTGGTAAAACATACACAAAGACACATACACACTTACAATAACAAATTCATACACACACATACACAGGCATACACATATATATATGTGTGTGTGTGTGTGCGGGTGAGTCATACTTACAGTTAGTGAATCGCCCCCGAACGATCTGTATCAATACCCTTACTACAGGGAAAGATATCGAGGCTGACATGATGTAGAGGCAAGTCAACGAATCAGTGAAGGGCAGCACACAGAATGTGAAGATCACTATGCCAGCAGGTTCCAGGGTTCCAATGGCAACGCACTAATTAATGAAAGGGGAGTTTATTATTTGTAATCAAGACTGCAAGTTTGATGTCATAATTTTAAAATTCACAACTTAATTAAATGCGTTCTTTTATTTTATGATGGAATATTAAGAGGGTAAACTTTTAATTAGAAAAGTCTAAGATCTAAAACTTTCTTCTTTTTTCTTAATTTTAGTGTTGGAAGGGATCACCCTCCAACACAATTAAGGATACGTGTCAACTGGTTATGCGCCGTTGAGGCCATTGACTCCGATTTCAGCCTGCTTTTCTTTTTGGGTTTGCTTCCATAGCCTTTGTCCAACCAAGAACAAACTACAAGGCAGCAGTTGTTTGATTTTGGAGTTGTCTCTCCTAGAAGAGTGGCTGTCCCCAGCTAACGAGCCTCATCTGCCCGAGTAAGACGTTCTGTTTTATATTATGGTCCTATCATTGATAGGAAAAGGTGATCTATAATTCACCAAACAGTTTAATTAGAACATCTTAAAGAAGACATCAATAGCGCAAAGTGACATCATTAGCTTTCTACACTTCATAAAGCAAACACTGTTTTAATGATCTGGTTGATAATAATACGTGTTCAATAGCAATTCCAAGACCGAATGTTTAATATCGCAGGTGAAGAAGAGTTAAACTGTTATTTGTTGCATCGGTGTAACTGAAGATTGCCCGTATGGGGGGAGGGGGTACATGATTGTTCTACAATGAGATTGATTCCACAGAGTCCCAAAACCATGTTCTCGACCCCCACCCTCCCGTCTATAAATTAAAAAAAATTCGACTCACCCAAAATATTCCACTCTTGGTCGGCCAGCAATTATTTTGAGTCAACGCCACCATGAGCACTGCCCGAACAAGGAACAGCCAATACGGAGCCGTGATTGTAAAGTAGATGAGAATCCTGGTCGTTTCATAGTGTACCTGACGTAAAAATTGGTTTGAAAATAATTTAAAACACGGAGTTAATTAAAATAGGTTTATTAAGAAATAATTATTTCAAGCTTGTGGTTGATACCTGGTCTTCAAGAGTTGAATTTGTGGTGTTCAGGTACCTTGACAGGCCTAGAAAAGTCAACTTTGTGGACACTAGAAGCACTAACATAGCACAGGACAAAATTATTGTTGTCGTCCATTTTATTATAGTCCAATGGAGCTGTTTTTGCCTTGAGTCGGTTTGTCTTGAAATTTTATTTTCCAGTTTGGCGTCTATATAAAACAAATATAAAAATCTTTGTAATAATAAGCTTTTAAATGAATTGAAAAAAGAAAATGAAATAAACTTGCTGTATTTCGTTAAAGCTTTTTGTGCACTCATGAGATCTCTTACATATTTTAAAGACCTTTTTAAAGACATATTTTAAAGACCCCCCCCCCAAGTGTGGGGTATTGGCCAGTGTGGGGTATTGGCCAGTGTGGGTATTGGCCAGTGTGAGGTATTAGCCAGTGTGGGGCTTTGACTACAGGTGGTTTGTCAAAGCTTCGTGTACCAGATCTAGTCTAGATCTAAAGCACCTATAACACAGACATAAGCATTACATGAAGCAAATATCCTAAATAAATATATAAAGTATAATTCGTCAATAACTTGGATAAATTAAGAATCAAAACTACACCTTCCTGTGCATTTGCTGGTATAGGTACAATAACATCCTCCATTGGTGTCAGATGTTTTCAGCTGTCTCGAGTCTATAAAAGATAAATTTACTAGGTGATACACATTGTATATAACTGTAACTGTGATTTTAATAAACCGGGCAGAGGCGTAGCGAGGGGATGCGGACCGCACCGGGTGACACCATTTAGGGGGGTGACACCAAGGCAAAAAATAGCAATATATATATAGAGAAAAATGATAATTCCACTTAAAAGTGATTAATACGAGTGTTAAATAGACTTTTAAGAGGTGCAAATCGAAAGTTTGAGGGGGGGGGGGGGTGCAAATCGAAAGTTTGAGGGGGGAGGGGGGGTGCAAATCGAAAGTTGAAAGTTTGTCCCCGGGAAGTGTCGCTACGCCTCTGGGGGGTGACACCATTAAGTGCCGCACCGGGTGACACCCAACCTCGCTACGCCACTTAAACCGGGAGTGATCTCCCCTAAACTTTCTCGAATATTCTAATATAACACTACGTAGGATGGCAAATCGGAATATAGACATGATTTTGTTTACTTTAACTTTTAAAAATAGAATAGAATCTAGTAGAAAAATATTATTAGTACTTTATAAATTTACATGCGTTTTTTTGAGAAATTGGAAATAGCGTAAATTAGCACTTCCGGTCAACGGAAATTACTCAAAATTTGACAGAAGGTAGCGAATTAGATATTTTACGTACATGTGAAATTTTATTTATCTATCTGAAATAGTACTCAGGTTATAGGCTTTTGAAAAATTCACATTAAAAATAGTACCACTTCCGGTTATCGGAAATCGCTCAAAAATTGATATGGATCTACGATTTTGATAAAATACTTATATATGAAATTTCATCAACCTAGCTTTAATGGTACTCAAGTTATCGTGTTTACAGACATACAGACAGACACACACACACACCCACAGACATACGGACAAGATTGCAAATTATGTTTTTCCGTATCAATGAGGTGTAAAACGTCGAGATTTACAAAAATCTCGATTTTTTTTTTTTTTTTGCACGATTACAAGACTTTCTCTATACTTCGTATATACGAGAAAGTAAAAAAGGAGTTATTCTGTTGCTTTGGTTTCATTCTATAAAGAAATGTTAATGACATTGAAAATCTGTATTTTTATCTGAAAAACAAGAGTATATGCGAATACTATATGTTGTTACACTGCAAACTCAACTGGTTTCATTCTGGAAACAAATGTTTTTGTATGCTTGTCTTTCGTTTAAATTTCCAAATAACATGAAATTATGACAAATATAAATAAAATTTTATACTTAAAAACCACCACAGCTAAAAACAAACCACCTCAAAATAAAGCCACCTGTATATAAACAACTTGTTTCATTTCTAAAATATTTCATATATAGAAACTAAAAAGACTTACGCACAGTAGGCTACAATATTAAATAAGTAGATCTAATAGTCAGTTGATTAATTAATTTGTCCCTTTTTTTATCTAACTAGTCACTTCTAAGTGTCCTCTTACTCAACTAGCACACTAGTGCAGAATGGAACGTGTATGTTGTTAAGTACTGACAGCTAAGTACTGACACTTCATACTTTCCTTGAAAATTGCAACTAACTACCGTGTATGCAACATTTATAAGGTCAATCATAACAAGATTTTAGTTACATTTTATTTTAACAATTTTCAAACTTACATTAAAATTCTTAACAGTAAGTCCAAGTAAAAACTGTTTTATATTCGGGCATTTTTCACGAACTTTTCATTTTATTTTTGACTCTGTACACATTATGTAGTGAGGCGTTCAATACAGCGATTGGCATTTAGCATTAGCATTCAACAATTAGCATTCAGCGATTAGCATTCGGTGGTTACGTGAATGTTGGTCTTTTAAGAATAGATGTAGTACTTTAAGTGAATATATCCAGGTATTAATGTGATTAAAGGCGAGTCTTTATGTGAAAATTTGCTGCACTACCGACGCGAAAGCACCATAGAATACTAAAAATATATAAGCCTATAACGTTATGTAACATTACCGTAAACCACCCCTCATACAACAAGTAATTTTAGGAACCACCACCCCCCCCCCCTCCCAATTGTGTCCACATATTCATCCAACAAGTCAAACTTTAGAAACCTATAAAAAAATATTGATAATTAATTAAATCATAAGCAGTGTTATATAGCATTGTTTTCAATAACCCCTAGACATACATGGGACACGGCTGTAGACCCAAAAGTCTCGAACTTGAAGCCGGGACTCAGACAGTGATGAGTACCAAACTTATGTTGGAGAAGTAAGGTGCGTGGGCATAAAACCTTCTATAATATCCGCTTGTCGAGATCGCAGTTCAGTTAGAGTATATATATATATATATATATATATATATATATATATATATATATATATATATATATATATATATATATATGGTGTGTTCTACTGCCTGGTGAAATATAAACCCACCAACTTTTCTTTTTTCCAATGACGGGTGAAGGGAGTAAGCTGACCCTCCTGACAAAAACGGTAGTCGCCAATGACAATAGGCCTATTCATATTATTATATTTAATTTGTGCAACCTTCCTCAGCTGAATAACAATTGCCCCCCCCCCCACTTTAAAAAAAAATTCATTCTAAGATCATAACAAAAGGCCATGCATATGTACACACATATATACCCATCACAATTTTTGCCATGAGCATTTATTATCTGTTTACAGCTCAAAAGTATATGTTGTTTACATGACTGTATGCGACAACGCGTGTATGTGTGGTCGATACTGTGACAGTCCTCGACGTGGTCTTGATGAACATAAAACTCTCCTTAACGTCATGACTGGGTATCTAAGTGTGCGCTGATGAAAATTTTAACGTAATAAAATAACAGCCAGGCGTAAAGAAAATTCAATTTTACCTGTAAGGTGTTGAGAAACTTCACACGTCACCTACCACACGAAACAACACCTGCACAGAGCTGTACTTGTTTTTATAACTAGCGCAACGGTTTCCATACAGAGCTATCACACGCTCAAAATTTTGAATATGACAGGTTGAATTTCACCCATATAATAAACAAACTTTCTATCATTGAAGTTTTTTTTTTAAATCTATAGAACACAGCAGTCAATTTTTTTTCTAAAGTACCGTCAAGGGTTCATGCTTTTCCTGTCATACTTGCAGTAGATAACCTTGGCCCACTGCTGGTCTGAGCCTAATATCGTATGCCTTGAAATCCGGATCTTACCAGGAAGTTTACTCTAGGTGGCTGTCACAGTATCCAGTATGTAGATCCAGAGGCGTAGCGAGGGGGGGAGGTGCGTACCGCACCGGGTGACACCATTTAGGGGGGTGACACCAAGGCAAAAAATAGCAAAATATATAGAGAAAAACTTGAGGGGGGGGGGGTGCAAATCGAAAACTTGAGGGGTGGGGGGTGCAAATCGAAAATTTGAAAGTTTGTCCCCGGGAAGTGTCGCTACGCCTATGGTGGGGGGGGGGGGGGGGTGACACCATTAAGTGTTGCACCGGGTGACACCCGACCTCGCTACGCCACTGGGTGGCTATCATAGTATCCAGTATGTAGAACTACTTAGCACTAAAGCAAATGTTTACAGTTGAGATTAAAATAAAACAATTCAAGTGGATTAATGAGTTCATAGAGAGAAAAAAAATGTTCAGCGAATTACATCACAGAGTTGAAACCTTTGTAAGGGATGAGTCATTAAAAAAAACTAAGTGTAAAATAAACACAGCTGTTTTAGACTCAAAAACCTTAAAAAAGGACTGGAAATTTGAAATTAAATATGTAATTCACATTATTATTCTTATTTTTATAAAATATTGCATGACCGTCAAAGATAAACGTATGTGAAAAATGTGGAAGAAATCGTTCAAGTGGAATTTGGGGGAAAGGAGGTGGGGGGGGGGGGGGGGGAGAAGGGAATTAAGAAGCATAATTTGACCACAACAACCTGCTAAAACGAGGTGTAAAGTCTTCAAAATGCTAATGTTGATATACCCTAAAGACTTTGCCTATAAAGTGCAGCTAACACAGCTACAGTTGTACATAACATTTAGCTTAAAAATTTACGAAGGGGGTGATAGAAAAAGAGGGTGTGGGGGTAGTGAATTTATCTTATCTTTTGCAGATTTGTATCTTTTATGAAATTTTAAATAAAGTGTTGTTTAAATCTATGGATAGATCTTGTAAAGAAAATGTAGGGCTAATCTGGACACCCCCCAATATAAAATATACATTTAGCCCATCGAAAACTTAACTGAAAGGCTAGATCAGCTTATGTATGAGCATTTAATGTAGGCAACAATTTAATTATTTAAGGTAGTAAATTGCCAAAGCTAAATGTGAATAATATTAAACTATTCACTGCTTGTAATATTACAAACGTGTCTATAATATGGAGCTTATACCAGTTATGTTATTTTAGTAATAAACTGAATCAATACAGCAGGTCATTGTAACAATGTAATAAAAAGGCCACTTTGATCAATGTTGTCAACATTAAAAAATAAAGTTTTATTATCATTATTTTAATAGACTTTGAAGGGGTAGAGAGTAAAAACAACACACTTGGGGGTGGGGATGAAGTGGGACATGTGATTGGGAGTGTTGGGGTGGAGGGGGGGGCAATACAGTATTGACCCATGTACCACGATATGTCAGGTAACATCAAAGATCACACTGTTCTCAACTTTGTTGTCCATGCCCTACTTCCCCCTCCCCCCACCTTAAACAAACAAATAAAAACCACCAGATGAGAGTATAAAGATTTATTTTGTAGATTGTGAAGAAAACAAAATCAATAACAACCAGCTGCAAAATAAGATAAAACAGGGTCAATGACCTTCAGATATTTTCTAGAGCAGATTAAGTCTAGGTGTTATGTAAGAACTATACCATTGGTAAATAATTACAGCAGTAGAGGAATACAAAGTAAAAAATACAAGAAGTTAAAAAAAAACAACTTAAAATAGTATTTAAAATCATGCATTGGTTATTGAAATAAATTATTAATGGAGATGAAAAGATCTATACATGAACAATAGACGAAAATTTATTGAACGAGGGGACAAAAAAAAAACCTCAGAGGGTGCTTGCTTGTTACTACAAAAAATGTGTTCCCTCCACTGAGTAATGTAATGAGTATTTAAACAATTGTTTAGCTTTCTTCTGGGTACTGGCAATAGCAGCACACATTCATCTTACACACTGAATAAACTGTTCTAACATAACATGCCATTTCACATTAAAATCTAGGGAACACAATTCATAAAACTCTGTGGTAGTAATTCAGATTTTTCTCCCTTTAGGATATTTACCTAACACATTGATAAATGATAACACAGCTTAATGTTCACATCTTTCATAAATTAATTTACTAAAGGACTGAATAGATTCAAAGGACATTACTAAGTACATAATGTTCCTCTTTATACCTAGCAAACCATAGGGTAGATGAAGTAGAGTTCATGATTCTTGATCTTGGTATATGAAGGGATGGTGTGATCTGATTTATGCCCAGCCGTCTTTATATTCCCAAGCATCAGGTACCCATCAGAGCTGGGTGGACTCAGGGATGTTCTACAGTTCCAAGTCCGGACCAAGATCTGAACTCGAAACCTTCAGGCTAGTATCCAAATGCTCTACCATTTGACCACACTATCCCCAGGACAATATTCACAGGCATGTTACTTAAGGACACATTGTAAAGCCAGAAGGACATTTCCAACTGCATTTGCACAATGATGGTAACACTGCACCCCTGACATAAACTACAAGACAATACATGGCTTGATAAATTCAACATTTAATGACTAAAAGAACAACTCATTTCTATATTAATAAAAAGTTTAGACATTAACATTTGAACATGTTTACCTCCTGTTGTAACCATAATTACCCCCCCCCCCCTTGCTCTACCGTGTTATTCTAAACCATATGGTAATGACGTATACCAGCTTTGTTACAGATTTTAACTTAAAAGATATTTTAAATAGCTTTTTCTACAACAAAGGAAGTAGTTTGAAACCAGCTGTTTGATTAATTAACATGTTAACTAGCCTGAAACTATTTTAAAAACAAAATTAACTAAGCTGATATAGCTTTACTTTAAAATATATTTTATATTTCAAGCTGTGAAAAAATATGTATCTAGGCTTATTGATCAACTGATGTGTGAAGTATAATGATAGGCTGTTGTGTACTTTTTTTATGGGATGATTAAAGAGAACCACTCCAATAAAAAAAACTTAAAAAGAGTTGTCTTTCTTTGTTCAAATGTTAAAGAAAAAATGTGATGTAAAATACAACTTACTGTCTGTGTGAGCCTTTCAAACTAGTTTTTGTATATTGTTTTAAAAAGTGGACCTGTTATAAAACTTATTTTATTTTCAACCAACATTTTATATTTAAAATCCTACACAGAATACAAAGATGTTCTAGTTTAATTCTAATGTTAAAACATAATATTATTAATATACTTGTGATGTAGTTTAAAAATTATACTCATTTAAAAATGCATTAATTACATTAATCATAGATTTTTACTCATAAATTGAATATACATCAAAGATTTTATTTTAATGCTCAACAGCAACAACATTTTGATAAAAGCTTTCAACACACAAGTCTATATAGTGACTCAAGGTTGAAAAAACACTATACAACAGTACATATTGTTAGGTTTTTTTTTATTTTAACATAATGGAAATTAAATACATTTCAAATGCAAATGTGTGCATTATTTAATGTAAAGAAAAAAAAACACTTAAGAAATTGTGTTGGTACATGCTAAATTGAGATTTTAATACTTTCATTCCTTCAGTGTGGGATTATTTCAAAATAAATCAAGAGTAGTTAGCCTAAAACCTAACAGCTCTAGTTTCTATCAATATATGTAAAACTTTAAAGTCAGTACAACCGAAAAACTTTGCAACCTAACTAGAATTTAACATATGTTACAATAATAATGTACAACTACTATTTTATGACAATAAGATTTCAACAAGGAAAATAACTTTGGTCCACATATTCACTCAAAATTTGTGTCTTTAATTATAACTCAACAATAAAAATCACAATATAGACACTGGCTGGGAATATTGAGCATCCCACCAACACATGTGTCAAATCTAGCTCTATAATAAAAGTGATCACATGTTTATAAATATCTTGACATGACGGGAGACAACACTCACACCAATGGACTTCATGTACAACTTTTTGTCATGGTTATTTTCATCATCTTATAATACATTTCTATGTCTAGCTATACTAGTATCATATATACATATATATATATATATATATATATATATATATATATATATATATATATATATATATATATATATATATATATATATATATATATATATATATATATATATATATATATATAGTACTTATGTGTTATTAAATGTATATCATACTAAAAAAGATACAACTATCTCAGTAGGCTTATTGGTTTTAAAAGTCTAGTTTATCACCTGTTTTTATTTTAATTTTATACACTTTCAATAAAACATATTAGGGATTTTAAAAAATAAACTATCACCTTAAAAATAATGAAGCATATAGCAAAAGAATGTTTTTAAAAATAAAAAGCATAATTATTTTCCATCTTCCATTTTGAAAGAAAAATCTTAAAAAGTATTTTGGATAATAAAAGTGAAACAATGTATATAAAAAAAGGCTGGCATGGTAGAAATGCAGTTTACTGTAGATGGAAGGTACAGGCAGTAACAACAACAGCATTAAATAGCATTAAAAAACATTTCTATTATATATAATTTTAAAAAGTTATAGAGGTTAAATATGACAGAAAAAGGATTCAGAATGTTTATACAAAATAAATTAAATGAAACAATTTTAATGAATGAAACAGTATTCAGTTTTTAAAAAAATTTGTTTTTGAAATGCTTGTAAAATTGACAATAAAAAACACCCTTGTTTTACATTGCACTGATTATAACTGCCAATAAATAATTTAACATGCTCAACTATATATAATTATTATATTATGTTAGCCTAGATAAAACTGAAATAAGCAAATCTTAAGTTGAATGCATTAAACTTCACAGAAATATCCTGTGTACAGATCTTACCTACAGAAAACTGAAACAGCAAATCTAAACTTGAATGCTTTAAAAATGAAAAATATGTTCTGTTTAATGTAAATTGATTTAACTATTTTATATAACATAAATTGAAATAAAAAGGAATTATATTTTTGAAGATTGACTAGGAAGTAGCTCAACTAACACAGGCAGGGACAGAGAAAGTTGTTTTAAGATGTAACAAAACGGATCACTGTTCAGGGTGTTTAGGAGTTGGACCAAGCAGCTCTTGATTCTGTGGTGATCCTGTTGTTGGACTGTTGCTTTGCTGCTCCAGTCTCCTGCGGTACCATTCATGGTCCTCGGCTTGAAGACACCAAGGTGTGAAATCTACATCGCACTCGAGGAATGTGTTCAGCAGAGTCAATGGCGCTCCGTCGATGGTCATCAGTTTCACACTGTCCACTGCATACTTGACGTTGCTAACCCCAGTCTCTTTGTCCAGTTTACGTGTTTTCTGAAGCAAAACAGTTTAATTTTATTCACTCTAACTAAATTAGATGAATCAAATCAAAGTGAAACAAATGCTATAATTCAGTTGTATCATCATCTTTTCCATTTGTGCCCAAGACACATGAGGCACATGAAGTAGAGTTCAACTGTTTCAATGACCTCAGAATACAGAAGAATAGTGTGGTCAGCACTATGCCTAGCCACCCTTGTTTCCCTAACATGTGTCAGGTACTCATCAGAGCTGGGTGGACTCAGACACATCCTACAGACTTAAGCTCATGGTCAAACTCAAAACTTTCACATAAGTAGTAGTAAACTCTACCAACCAACCATGAATTTCCTAATTGTATTTTTGCTGACCTTTAAATTAATTTTAAAAATAAATAAAAGAAACCCTCTAATTAATTCAGGTATATAAACGCGAGAAGAAGATTATAATTTTATTGTTTACTGACCTCTCGCTGATCAAAGAACTTGTCGTAGTCTCTAGGTCTCTTCCTGCGATCATGAAGATGCTTGAAAGATTTGTACCCTGTGGTCAGGTTGCCAGGTCTTGTCAGCTGAAGAAAAAATTATTCCTGTTAGAAAAAGTCACATTTAGTAGTCTTTTTGTTGAACTTCTTGTCCAATGGTTACGAGACTCAAGTTGGGATAGGTGAAGGAAGGTTGTATTTAACTTACCATATGGTACCTTCATAAATCGAGTTCATAGATACATGTAAACTATTCACTATTTGAAAACTAAAACTGTATTATGTTTTAATCATGAGATTAAAAATCTCAACTATTTTTGTGTGTGCCAAACTTACACTGAATTTAGCTTTCCTCAGACGAACAAAAAATTCATCATCCTCTCTTCCCCATCCCCAATACTTATTTGAAAGACCATTTAACTGAGGAATAAAAAAAACTAAAGATTATTATAGTATTTTTTTTTTATTTTAAAATGTTTATAATAACAAGTTTTTATATAAGCACTAAGAAGAAGAAAATAAATGGTTTTCTTTAAATATCTAACATGTAATAATGCACCTCTGTTTTAATAATTAAAAAGAAAATCATGCGTCACTTATAATATTTTAGTAATGGTATATATAATCCATTTCTTTTTCTTTTCTTTTTAGTGCATCTAAAAAAGCTTGGTATTATAAACATTTATTATTTACTTTAAAATGTTCTTTAAAATTTAATATAAAGAATACATAGCTAAGATGTGCATAAAAAAAAACACAAAAAATGTAAGCATAATAGTGCTGAAAGATAGTAGCCTACTTTATATAAATAAAAATCCTTTATTTATTTTCAGCAAATCAATGAAACACCTGACTGAGACAAATTTTACGTCATAATGTAATGTCATAGGGTATGTGACTATGCGTTAAGTTTACTAAAAATCAGTAAGGTAAAAGTGATTGAAATTTCACTACCAAGTGTTGACAGCTAGAGGAATCAAATTAAGTAAAGGCTTGTAAAAATAATAGCGATGTTATTAAAATAAAATAAGATCTATGAAGTAAAAAGTATTTATTGAAGAGCTGTACCATTTCAAAATGCTTGCTTTGAATAAGTAAAATCCCTCCGACAAAAGTTTTGTAATGATACATTGGATGCAGGTGTGGCGCAGACAGATGGTAGGGACCTTCCTCTGGGAAATTGTACCTCAGCTCATCATTCAGTGGCAGAAGATCAACATCATGCATGGCTATATAATCACAGCTGCTTCGTGTCTCTAGAAAGCCAACATTTATAAGGGAAGCTCTATTGAATCTGTCCAAAAAAATAATAAATCCACTTAATATTATACCTACAATCTTACTGTACATAAATTATTAAACATGTTATTTCATCTTGAGTAAAAAAATTGCCTAGAAAAAAAGGTACCTAAAATTCATAAACAAAACAAAAATAATTCACTATTTTAAAATGAAGGTTATACTATTTCTGTGAAAAAAAAATTGTTGTGAATGTTAGAAATCTTGTGTCATTGAATTATGTTTATTTCATCAGTTTAAAATAGTTTTTAATAATAATAATACAGCTTTAAAAAAAACCCAATTGAACTACACTTACCTATATTTATCCAACTGATTAACAACAACAATTTTATGTTTAATATCTTGTTTTTTTAAGAATTCATGAATGTGAGGTGCAAACTCAAGCAGCTCCTCAAAACGATTGCGGAATGGTATGATGATACATAGGGAGTGTTCAGAATTATCTCCTTCATTTCCTTGAACTGATTTTAAAAAAATTTAAAATTAAGACAATCAGATACAAATTTAAACATTTTGGTTAGCATTTAATATTTAGAACATTTTTACCAACTAGAATGTTAACCCAAAAGTCTCAAGTTTGAATCCGGGTTCAAGTCGGTAAAACGTCCCTGAGTCCACCCAGCTGTGATGGGTACCAGACTCATGTTAGGGAAAGTAAAGGCGTCTGGGCTTAGTGCTGACCATACTGTCCCCAAGGTCAAAGAAACAGGTGAACTCTATTTCACCTATCTATGGGCCAACAGATTAGAAAGGGAACTTTAAATTATGGACCTATACTTACAAAAAAATACAAAAGCATAGCAAGCCTATTTTAATTGGTATAGATCCAGTTACATACATATTGTATAGAAGTATGTAGTACTTGTAAATTAATAGGCACTACAAAAGAGAGTAGCCATAGGTAATTTAAATATTATAATTAGGCTATATAATTTTTGAATAATCTTACCTTCATTCATAGGGCAAGTACATTGCAAAGATGGTCCATCTTTCTCACGCAGAATGCATATCCCCCAGTATATAGTAAATATAAATGTAAATAAAAGTCCAAGCCATAGAACCCGAAATAGTTTTCTGGCAAATCCCCTGGGTACTTTTGCCATCCATTAAAATTCAACTTGAACCACTTCTGTGACTTCACCGTCTATGATGAAAAATGAATAACACTTCATTTACCCAATTTCCAGATCTAGCTAAATTAATCATACCTAGCCTAACTAGTACATAGTAGACTACTACACTCTAAATAGTGACTCTATAGGCTATATATTTAGTTACTAGTTGGACTGCTATTAACTAATAAGTTTTATAACTAGACTACTAAAATCTTGATCTCAAATTTATTTCAATAACATTACATATTTTAAATAGTATTAGGTTGCTAACCAAGTCTCGAGTTTAGATCTTGGTTCGGCCTCGAGTGTGCAGGATGTTCCTGCGTTTACCTATGTACGATGGCACCAGACTTGTATTTGTGAAAGTAAATGCAGCTTGGCTTGGTGCTGACCACACCATCAATTTATAATTATATTAATTATTATTAACATAAGGCAAGGCCTGAGAGGCCTAATGAAATGCAGGTCAAGAAGAATATGAACTCTACTTCAACTGCCCTATGGATTATTATTTATTTAGTAAGTAGTAAATTATTACTCATTAATTTAATAATACAATAATATTATTAATACTCTTTACTTTATTTTATAAAGACTACAAGTACAAGCACAGTCTATACTCTATATCAGGGGTCTCCAAACTTTTTAGTCCGAGGGCCACATTAACTATCAAATTTCAGTTCGGGGGCCAGTTTCTTCCAGGCATGTCGTGACTTTCTGAGCAAGTTCCTCAGACAACTTCAACAAACGTTTTTTTCCGTGGACAAAAGGATCTCCGCTGGCCGGATGAGAGGACCTCGCGGGCCGGATGCGGCCCGCGGGCCGTAGTTTGGAGACCCCTGCTCTATATTAATAGACTATATAACTATAGTCTATAACTAGATTAGATCTACCACTCAACGTAACAGTAACAGACTAACAAAACAGTAACGTAACACTCGACTACAGTAACAGTGAGTAGACTAGCTAGCTAGTAGCTAGTCATAGACAGAGTAGCTGTAGTGAACTGAATGATCATCATAGTATAGTATAGTGTAACAACAATGTGTAACATAGTTTTAAATTTTAAAATTTAAGTTTTAAATTAAACATAGATCTAGGACTTAAAAATCACTTAGGCCTATTAAAATTAATATTAAATTACTAAATTATTTATTATAACATTTGCCATTGGCATCCAGGCATGTCTAAAATTTAGTGACTAAATTAAAAATGTTAATTAGGCCCTAATAATTTTTTACATTTTACAGTAGGCCTACCGATTCCAATTATTAATTTGTTTTTAACCAATTTTTAATAATACACCTCCAAGCTAGGCCGTCCTAGCCAGTCCTAGGCCAACACTGGTCCTACTCAAACTAGGTCTAGATCTAAATCTAGATCTAGACTCTAGATCTAAATCTAGATTCTAGTAGATTCTACTACTCTTACACGACGACAGTAATGTGCAAGTGTAATTCTACAATCTACAGCCTATGCCCAGTGGCTAGATCTAAGATCTTGTATTTTGATTTATTGCACGAAGTTTATCTAGCAATCGATAAATTACTTTCGTTTTTTACGTTTAAAATGTATAGAGTAGTCTACCCTACATTTTTACTTCCGTTTTGAGACACCATATTTTGTTTTGTAAATAAAGAAGCAAGTACTAATAAAATATTTCACTTTAGGCACTTTAGACTTTAGGGCCTATACTGACTTTACTCCTACTTCTAGAATCTAGATCTAGATAATTGATCTACATTTAGGCTTAATCTAGATAGATATATTATTATTATAGACTATAGAGTAGTGTTTCTAGAGATCTAGATAGAGTAGATAAAGATATAGATCTAGGTCTAGTCTAGAATCATCAGTAGTAGTACTAGTACTACTACTACTACTAACTACTAACTAGAGTTAGTAGAGTCTCTAGTCTAGATTACTCTAGATTCAGACTCAGAGTTAAGTTGTTTTTGTTAGAGATCTATCTTATTCTTATCTTACTGATCTAGATCTATCAGTCAGACTATCTAGCTAGAATCTAGTCTAGATCTAAATCGAGTCTAGATTTAAGTTTAAAAGATTTAGAATTTTAGATTCTAGACTATAAGTCACTATAATATTTAATATAGATCTACCTGGCCTATAGTTAAAAATAGTATATATATTATATAAAAAAAATATATTATAGGGGCCTATTAGTGGCTATTAGTTAGGCCTAGATCTAGATCTAAATATTATTTAATATTTATAAAATTTATAGGCCCTAATATAAATTATATAACATAAGTGACATAATACTACTAGATAGTACTAAACTAGTAGTAGAAATAGAGAATTATTGGGTACATGGCAAGTCGGTAAAGCTCATGGTTGCTAAACCGAAAAGTCTCGAGTTCAAACCCTCGGGTAGTGAGGCTCATTAGCTGGGGACAGCCACTCTTCTAGGAGAGACAACTCCAAAATCAAACAACTCCTGCCTTATAGTTTGTTCTTGGTTGGATAAAGGCGCTATGGAAGCAAATCCAAAAAGAAAAGCAGGCTGAAATCGGAGTCAATGACGTCAATGGCACATAACCAGTTGACACTTATCCATAAACTGTGATGGAGATGTGGTCGAGTCAGCAAAAGCTCATGGTTGATAAATTCGAAAAAGTCTCGAGTTCAAACCCTCTGGCAGATAAGGCTTCAAACCCTTTGTCAGATAAGGCTCGATCCCTTCCAACACTTAAAATTAAGAATGAAGAAGAAAAAGGGTACATGGCACGGTATGCAAATGTCCAACAATCACAATGGAAACCTGTTCCCCCACATGCTTTACTCAAGGATCGGATGGTGTAACTCTTTAACTAACAAGGTTATTATTTAGGCATATTTAAAAAATCTAAAAATATTATTTTAGAAATTAAATGAAGTTTTATTTTCCAGATGACTTGGTTTTCAAAATGTGATTCGTGAGGTGTGTCTCCTTATTACATAGTGACATAGCAGCTTAAAGTTTAGGTGAGAGATTTTTCTAAATTAATTAAATTTTTTTTACTCTAGTCTAACTATGATGTTTATGGTTATGTTTATTTTAAGCACTGTTATTTTATCTTCAAAAAATCCTTATTTGTATGTTCTAAGTCTAAACTTCTTGATTTATCACAATGCTTTTATGAGTTGAAAGTAGAAAAAATAAGTTAATGAAGATGATTCATTTAAAATACTGTCTATTTTTAAAAATAACAGATTTTTATTAGAAATTATAATTCAGCCAGTGTTATCAATACTAAAACATTTCTCTGTAAAACTTACATGATGAATTCAACCTACATTATTAATCACTAAACACATCAGCAGTAAATACTTATGCCGAGTTCATGTATCTAATGTGGTATTCTTTCTCTCAGAACTAGAAGTTCAGCATGGATTTGGTTGTAGCCATTGCTATTGGTGTGTTGGCTGTTATATTTGTTGCTGCCTTGGTTGCGCTGTTGCTGGTGCTGAAATACAGATGTAAAAAGGTTGATCCCATCACTGAGCAGTACAACAAAGAATCCAGGTATAAAACTTTATAATTTTGTTTGTTTTTAATAATTATATCAGTTAATATAACATTAATTGCTTAACTATATATTTGGTTACGTTGTAGTTGTTAAAATTTAATTAAAAATGCATTTAAAATTGAAGGCAGATAGTATTTTTATAGTTAGTTGTCATTAGTTTAAATGACTCATTTATGCAATTATTAAAATTTTAAACTATAAAAACTAAAATGGTTACAAAACTTATATGACTTCTACTTGTTTTGGTTGTGTGTAAAAAGTTTAAATCCAGAAAGTGTTTGTAATTAATGGAAAGTTTTACAATTATTTTTTTTCTAGAAACATAATTTTAAAGGAACTTTTTCATCACACTTCAGAAATTGTTTTTTTTTTACTTTTAAAACAAGTTTAATTGCCATATCTTAAATGAATAATTCATTTACAGTTTCTTAGGATTTGTTTATATTTAATCTACAGTTTTTAAATCTTAAGAATTTTAATTAGACTTTTAATTAATGCTTGTTGATACTTTTTCTCCTAGACAAGATGCTCATTTAATAATAGAATCATCTGAGACCTTGGGCCCTGAGACAAGCTCAGATGTTGAATTGGGAGATGTTCAGCTGACAAACCCCAAGCTGGAAGAGCTTCTCAATAACACACAATGGGTTGATGATGCCACGTTAGTCGATTCTTTTGTTTAATTCACTTGAAATAGCACTTCAGTTAGTGAATTGAAAATAGTTCATTTCTTTACTTTTTGTGTTGTACGTGTGTGATAGTCAGGTTGTAGGTTTTGGTTAGGGGGCTGGTTGTCAGCCCTTAGTTATGTGGTAATTTTACAATTATAGGCATACCTAAGCCCACTAGCTCCTGTAGGACATACCTGAGCCCACTAGCTCTTGTAGGACATACCTGAGCCTGCTAGCTCCTGTAGGACACACCTGAGCCCACTAGCTCCTGTAAGACATACCTGAGCCCACTAGCTCTTGTAGGACATACCTGAGCCTGCTAGCTCCTGTAGGACACACCTGAGCCCACTAGCTCCTGTAAGACATACCTGAGCCCACTAGCTCTTGTAGGACATACCTGAGCCTGCTAGCTCCTGTAGGACACACCTGAGCCCACTAGCTCCTGTAAGACATACCTGAGCCCACTAGCTCTTGTAAGACATACCTAAGCCTGCTAGCTCTTGTAGGACATACCTAAGCCCACTAGCTCCCTTAGAACACACCTGAGCCCATTAGCTTGTGTATGACATACCTGAGCCCACTAGCTTGTGTAGGATATACTTGAGCCTGCTAGCTCATTTAGGACATACCTGAGCCTGCTAGCTCCTGTAGGACATACCTAAGTTTGCTAGCCCCTGTAGGACATACCTGAGCCTGCTAGCTCCTGTAGGACATACCTGAGCCCACCCTAGTTTTGTTATGTACCTAACCAGTCAAATAATGCTAGAAACCAGGACATTGTAATTAACGTTTTATTCCAAAAATTATGTATTGAAGTTGTTTAAAAATTCCAACACTTTTTGAATGATTGGTTTCTGTTTTTTTTTCAGTGGACTGGTCCCACATTGTCTGTCTATTTTAAAAATCTGTCACCACCTGACAGAGAAATTAGTTGGTATGACCATGGGCAATGCACCCAACATCCGGACCCAGGAGACCCTGACAGAGATTATGAAAGCCTCCAAGCGTATCAGTCCCCGTGTGGATGAAATAGTGCAGTCCATCAATCCTCCACTGGATCCGAGGCTTTTAGAGGCTAGGTATGGAAATTAAATTTTGAAATCTATTTTTGCTGCTCAGTAAATGTACATTTGACACAAATTTAATTTCTAGATAGCATTAGACCTAATGTTAACCTCAAAGTATGGGATTATTTCCCTTGTTTAGTTTGAATTATGTCCCTTAGACCTCCAAGTCCATAAAAACACTCAACTTTTTCATATGCAATGGTCTCAGTTACAGATGAATTTTGTCTAAGGCAAATGACTTTACATCCCTACTGTATACACAGTTGTTGTCCCTTCTAGATTCACTGCCTTGGTTCTGTCCCCTAGATTCACTGCCTTGGTTCTGTCCCCTAGATTCACTGCCTTGGTTCAGTCCCCTAGATTCACTGCCTTGGTTCTGTCCCCTAGATTCACTGCCTTGATCCTGTCCCCTAGATTCACTGCCTTGGTTCTGTCCCCTGGATTCACTGCCTTGGTTCTGTCCCCTAGATTTACTGCCTTGGTTCTGTCCCTTCTAGATTCACTTCCTTGGTTCTGTCCCCTAGATTCACTGCCTTGGTTCTGTCCCCTAGATCCACTGCCTTGGTTCTGTCCCCTAGATTCACTGCCTTGGTTCTGTCCCTTCTAGATTCACTTCCTTGGTTCTGTCCCCTAGATTCACTGCCTTGGTTCTGTCCCCTAGATTCACTGCCTTGGTTCTGTCCCCTAGATTCACTGCCTTGGTTCTGTCCCCTAGATTCACTGCCTTGGTTCTGTCCCCTAGATTCACTGTCATGATTCTGTCCCCTAGATACACTGCCTTGGTTCTGTCCCCTAGATTCACTGCCTTGGTTCTGTCCCCTAGATTTACTGCCTTGGTTCTGTCCCTTCTAGATTCACTTCCTTGGTTCTGTCCCCTAGATTCACTGCCTTGGTTCTGTCCCCTAGATCCACTGCTTTGGTTCTGTCCCCTAGATTCACTGCCTTGGTTCTGTCCCTTCTAGATTCACTTCCTTGGTTCTGTCCCCTAGATTCACTGCCTTGGTTCTGTCCCCTAGATTCACTGCCTTGGTTCTGTCCCCTAGATTCACTGCCTTGGTTCTGTCCCCTAGATTTACTGCCTTGGTTCTGTCCCTTCTAGATTCACTTCCTTGGTTCTGTCCCCTAGATTCACTGCCTTGGTTCTGTCCCCTAGATCCACTGCCTTGGTTCTGTCCCCTAGATTCACTGCCTTGGTTCTGTCCCTTCTAGATTCACTTCCTTGGTTCTGTCCCCTAGATTCACTGCCTTGGTTCTGTCCCCTAGATTTACTGCCTTGGTTCTGTCCCTTCTAGATTCACTTCCTTGGTTCTATCCCCTAGATTCACTGCCTTGGTTCTGTCCCCTAGATTCACTGCCTTGGTTCTGTCCCCTAGATTCACTGCATTGGTTCTGTCCCCTAGATTCACTGTCATGATTCTGTCCCCTAGATTCACTGCATTGGCTCTGTCCCCTAGATTCACTGCCTTGGTTCTGTCCCCTAGATTCACTGCCTTGGTTCTGTCCCCTAGATTCACTGCCTTGGTTGTCCCTTCTAGATTCACTTCCTTGGTTCTGTCCCCTAGATTCACTGCCTTGGTTCTGTCCCCTAGATCCACTGCCTTGGTTCTGTCCCCTAGATTCACTGCCTTGGTTCTGTCCCCTAGATTCACTGCCTTGGTTCTGTCCCTTCTAGATTCACTGCCTTGGTTCTGTCCCCTAGATTCACTGCCTTGGTTCTGTCCCCTAGATTCACTGCATTGGTTCTGTCCCCTAGATTCACTGTCATGATTCTGTCCCCTAGATTCACTGCATTGGCTCTGTCCCCTAGATTCACTGCCTTGGTTCTGTCCCCTAGATTCACTGCCTTGGTTCTGTCCCCTAGATTCACTGCCTTGGTTGTCCCTTCTAGATTCACTTCCTTGGTTCTGTCCCCTAGATTCACTGCCTTGGTTCTGTCCCCTAGATTAACTTCCTTGGTTCTGTCCCCTAGATTAACTTCCTTGGTTCTGTCCCCTAGATTCACTGCCTTGGTTCTGTCCCCTAGATTCACTGCCTTGGTTCTGTCCCCTAGATTCACTGCCTTGGTTCTGTCCCCTAGATTCACTGCCTTGGTTCTGTCCCCTAGATTAACTTCCTTGGTTCTGTCCCCTAGATTCACCGCCTTGGTTCTGTCCCCTAGATCAGAGTTTTCTTCCAGGCATCTCTTTTTTACCGCCCCCACACACCCCCCCCCCCCCCCCCCCCCACGAACGAAATGAAATTTAAATAGTTTATATAGAAAATATATACTTTTAACAGTGTCCCCCCCCCCCCCAAGAAAGTCTACCGCCCCCGAAAATTTCAAGTGCCCCCTCCCCCCCCCCTCCCCCCCCCCCCCCACGGAGAAAAAAGTCTGGAAGTAACACTGCCCTAGAATCACTGCCTTGGTTCTGTCCCCTAGATTTGCTTCCTTGGTTCTGTCCCCTAGATTCACTTCCTTGGTTCTGTCCCCTAGATTCACTGCCTTGGTTCTGTCCCCTAGATTCATTGCCTAGGTTCTGTCCCCTAGATTCACTGCCTTGGTTCTGTCCCCTAGATTCAATGCCTTGGTTCTGTCCCCTAGATTCACTGCCTTGGTTCTGTCCCCTAGATTCACTTCCTTGGTTCTGTCCCCTAGATTCACTGCCTTGGTTCTGTCCCCTAGATTCACTTCCTTGGTTCTGTCCCCTAGATTCACTTCCTTGGTTCTATCCCCTAGATTCACTGCCTTGGTTCTGTCTGTGAGCCACCTTGTGATGATCACAAAAAATGCCTGTCAGATGCCCGGCACTCTAGACTGGATAGACCAGAGTCTGGCTGATGTAGAGGACCATCTGAGGGTAAGATTTTCTGTTTATTGTCAGAAATTATAGGGTAAGATTTTCTGTTTATTGTCAGAAATTATCGGGTAAGATTTTCTGTTTATTGTCAGAAATTATAGGGTAAGATTTTCTGTTTATTGTCAGAAATTACAGGGTAAGATTTTCTGTTTATTGTCAGAAATTATAGGGTAAGATTTTCTGTTTATTGTCAGAAATTATAGGGTAAGATTTTCTGTTTATTGTCAGAAATTATAGGGTAAGATTTTCTGTTTATTGTCAGAAATTACAGGGTAAGATTTTCTGTTTATTGTCAGAAATTATAGGGTAAGATTTTCTGTTTATTGTCAGAAATTATAGGGTAAGATTTTCTGTTTATTGTCAGAAATTATATGGTAAGATTTTCTGTTTATTGTCAGAAATTATAGGGTAAGATTTTCTGTTTATTGTCAGAAATTATAGGGTAAGATTTTCTGTTTATTGTCAGAAATTACAGGGTAAGATTTTCTGTTTATTGTCAGAAATTATAGGGTAATATTTTCTGTTTATTGTCAGAAATTATAGTGTAAGATTTTCTGTTTATTGTCAGAAATTATAGGGTAAGATTTTCTGTTTATTGCCAGAAATAATAGGGTTAGATTTTCGGTTAATTGTCAGAAATCGACATGCATCATGTTTGTTCTTAATCGTAACATTAAAGTGTATTTCCTCCAACCAAATTAAGTATTATGTGTCAACATGTTATGTGCCATATAGCCAGCAACATGTTAAACACCATATGGCTTATTGACTCAGTCTGTTTTTCTTCCTGGATTTGCTACCATAGTTCATTGAGATTTATTTTGATTTTACCAAGACTAACAACAGCATTTGTTTATTTCATTGCAAATACAGGACATTAAACATTGGATGTATTTTAAAATTATATAATGTTAGACAAAAAGCTGAATATTTTAATACCTTTTGATAAATTTCAGCTTAAAAGAGTTCCTATGATTCTCTCTTTAAATGATAATTTTTAAAAAAATTACCAAGTTTTATTCCTCTTACCTTAATTAAGTGCTATGATATAAACAATTTTCTTATAACCTTTTTTTCTAATATAATATTTATTTCACTCAATAATCCTTTTAAAAGAGCTCATTTGTAAACTTTCTTTTAAAAGATTCTGCGTGAAGCCAGCATTAACGTAGAACACCATCACCAAACACATGTCAACCATACCAACTCACCAGCCAAAGTTGAAGGCCAATTGCCTAGACCAAGTCCTGTCAGCAACGACATCTCTCAATTATAGCTGGGTCATGGTGCTGGTGTACACTTGTGGGGGCGTTTCCTTTAGTAAGCCACCTGAGAATGTTATTGCCTTGCCAACTTGTTAATCCTTCAAGACTAGTTTCTTTTTTTTTGTGAATTCAAGTTTATACTTGTAGAAATTATTTTCTATGTAGTCAATATAGCTTACATTTGTACAATTGATTTCTCAGATAACTTGACAACATTCATTCTTGAATATTGGTTTAGGATTAGAAAGTTAGTTTTTTAAAATTTGGTTTGACAAACTTTTTGGAAAATGATTCATTCTTGAATATTGGTTTAGGATTAGAAAGTTTATTTTTTTAAATTTGGTTTGACAAATTTTTGGAAAATGATGCTTTTTCTGGCAAAAAATATGATGGTATGTATAAACTGTTTTGCTATAAAGGTATACTTATATATAAAACTATATCTATTTTTCTTTCTCTTCATATATGTGTTTGTATGATGCAAGTATGTGATTGATTTTTGGAGAAAAAGGAGCATGTTGGTGCCCTTTTCTTTCTTTACTTTTTATAATAAAAAAATCTTTTTAAAAAGATTTCAAATCAAAATACCATGTTGTAAAATGAGATCTATCTGCTGAAGGGAAGCAAATCAAAATACCATGTTTTTACAGTAAAATGACATATTATGTCTGCTGAAGGGAAGCAATGGGTTAGACATGTTGCAAATTAATGAAATGTTAAAATGACAGGAACATTGTCATTCAGTCAAACTAAACTTGACTGATTGACAATGCTGGCTTAGTGCTAACTTCAAGAATTTTAAAATTGTATAACTTTTTAAAATAGCGCATTTTAAAACTAATGAAAGACCTAATTTTTTGGCTATGAGTTGTAGTTTTGCATTTAATAAAAAGGAAGCAATTCGATAAAAATACTGATGAACTTTGTAATAGAATATAAAATGATTTATGCTGATTAAATTTAGCTTTAAAGAAATCTACAATTTAATTAAAGAAATATACTCAATATAATTATATATTATGTATGGTGACAATGTGCCCCATATGCTTCTTCGTTATCTCCACAGTTTGATGTAATTTTTTTTTATTGTTGCAGCTTGTGTTTACAATTTTTTATGTGTTAGAAAAAATTTTCACCATAAAGTGCTACACATCTTTTTATAGCTTTAAGATGTTATGAAAAGGTAATGTCGCATCTCATGTCCACGTTCATATATTGTTTACTATTGTGACATTGTTTGGTACTCATAATAATAAAAACAATTTGTGTAAGCTACAAGGCTTATTATGGATGTTATAGCTGGATAAGAAAATTAAAATACCTAATGGATATCTACAAGTAAAGCTGTCACAAAGAGGTTAAAAACAAACTCAAATCTGCATTCCGTTATCATTCCTCAGGATAATTTTCCATTTTCTGGTTATCAGCTAACATTGTACTCACAAGTTATAAAGTTGTTTTAGTCTTGTTACAAAACTGATTGTAGTCATTTTTTTTGTGTGTGCTCTACTTTGCATTTATAAGCATATGAATCTATAAGCCTCTGTAATTATCTACTGAAGCTACTCCACTCATTTATTATATTTTTAAAGTATTTTATGATTTTAAGCATTATGTTTATTGCAGTTTTGCTTGCATCAGCATTTATTCTATTTTGTAAAATACATAAATTTAGACTGCAACTGAAAACAATGTTTACTAATTATTATTATCTCTTTTTTTTATTTTCAGTTTCTATTGTAAATTATTGTTATAATATCAAAACTCTTTATTGTACTTAACCAAGAATGTGTTAACAATACATTGATATTTTTAAAAAATTATTGTTGTAATTTTGTGATATTGGAGATTTATACATTTACAATAACATAAAGTGTCTTCATGCTAACTTTATCCAAGAGAAATAACTTTGTAATAGTATATGTTTTATAAAAGATATATCATTTATATTAGCAGCTTATGAAATATTTAGCAAAGTGCCTTAACTTTAAAGTTCTTGCCACACTGTCACAGATTTTAATTTGTGATACTCATTACCTACAAAAGCAAATGTTTTTCTTTTACCTAACTACCTTAAATTAAAACAAAATATATTATGTCTTAAATTACCACACAAAGTTTTATTAAATGAAAAAATTGTTTACAACTTTGCAAAAACAATATTTCATAATAATCTAGTCATAAATGTTACACTGTCATGATTGAGGTATATTCCAACTGTGTTTCATTTTCAATAATTTGGTTACTTTTTAAACACTTGTTAGATCTATGTTGATTTAGTGTCGTCGACATTAGCCAATTAGCTGTCTAAATGCAGATTACCTGAATAAATACTTTTCAAGTGATGTTTATATTGAAAAAGTAATATAATGATTTTAGTAGCAAACATAAATCCAAATAAAAGTAACGTCTATTTCTTTTCAGTAATGTTAAAGACCGCATAGAAACCAATACTGCTCTATTGAAGTACTGTAATTTCAAACTATTATCTTTTTAATGTTGTCTTTAAATAACATGGAGTGTTTTATTTTTTTTTATTTATAGACATGTTTATTGATTAGACATTCCACAGTTTAATTAAGCCAGTGTCCCATTTTGGCTGTCTAATATACTGATTTTGTTCGTGAAACTGGTTTAAATTAATAGCTTCAGCTCTTCTTCTGTCAACTGTTAAAACTATGATTATACAAATGTTTTTTAGTTTCCTAATAAAACAATAAAAGCTGTTAAATTTTGGTATTTGAAATAATTAAATGCTAATGTAAATGAATAAATCTTAGCTTTAAATTTTAAAATCTTGATGACCTCAACTTATTTTGGCTAATTTTAGAAAAAGTGGAGTTGCAAATTATCTGAAGCTGTGATGAGGGGTGATAAATGGTATAAGGAAGGGACAGAACCAAGGCAGTGAAAATAGAAGGGACAGCACCTTCAATATTTCTTGCCATTTATGTCATTTACTATTTTTATCAAAGGATCAAAGCTTAACCAACTTAATTTTTTAACATATATTAACCATATTGGACTGTTACTAGAGTGTTAAAATTATTTCTTGAAATTTTTATGTAAATATTCTAAATTCAAATCTAAAGTATTAGTTTCAAATTTATTGCTTTTTTTTTTGACTATGTAAAAATTTTTGGTTTGCTTTAAAAATCTAAAACATGTTTATTTTTTTACACTACAAATTATACTGTAACCTTTTAAATTATGTGTAATAACTGAGTATGTGCTAATGTTGAAGATAAAATTGTTGTTTAAAGACCTTTGCATTTATAAAAATAGTGCCTTTATACTGATGATTTTTTTTTTATATTTTAGCTAAAGCAGAAAATGAAATAAAATAAATAAATTGGTAGCTTTTAATGCCAATTGTACATTCCAGGTAAAAATTCAAGAAGCCTAACAATTTACAGTGCAAGGCTGATTTTTTTTCCCCTCGTTGAAAGTAATCTTTTATAATATATATAGATTACGAAATATATAGCTTTAATGTTGATTATATTTTTATAAGATTTAATATTTAACAAGCCATAAATTAGCTGCAAAGAGTAAAACTTGCCCTAGTCATGAAGGAGTTGAGTTGATGTTGGCTTTTGACTAATTTTCACTTATTTACTTGTAAAGTCGTATCTAAACATATCCAATGTTATTTTAATGATCATATCTTCCTTTGCATTCCATACATTTTTAATGCAGTCACATTCTATACTTTTCACTAAAAATGTGATTAAAACTTCTCTCCATTCCCATGTTGTATTACTGGTGTTCTGATTTCTAATTGTAGCAACTCTAAGAAATAAGAGATAATCAAGCCATATTCCATTGCTTGATAGTTGAACAGTTTTATGACAGAAATTCTGTTTTATCCATTATTTTATGGTAGAATAAATCTGTATTGGATGACAATTATTTAAAAAATAATTCACATAGAATGGTTAACCATTATAATCTTACCATTTATGTATATAATTCTGTAAAAAAATCTGTCAATATTTATTAGCCTCTAGTAAACACTTTGTTTTAAAAAACAATAAGATTCTAATTTTTTGTAATGTAACAGTTTTACTGAATTGCTACTTCATTGAAGGAACTTAAACCAGCGCTTATGTTCACTAGTCTAGCTTCTACTGCAGCGAATAATTTTGTCTTGTATTTTCATTTTTCACTTTTTAACAAAACGAAATTCCACTCGCAAGTTATGAACCCATGACTAACCTATTAGTAAGTAAAAAGACATGTACGAGGAATCAAGTTAAGCTTGTAAAAATGAATACTTAAAATTAAAAAAAACAAACATTTTAATAACAAGCTTTGGTATATACACTAAAAAGAATATTTAATAATAATAACATATATATTACAATGCACCACCCTTTGAATAATTATATAAATAGAAGCATGGGTCGCTTATATCATTTTAATTTTTAAAATTCAAAACTACTAAAAGTAAAAGTTAGAAAATAACAAATATAAAAATCCTTTATAATAATAATTTTTAAGTTGTTTTTTTTTACTGAAAATAAAAAACAAACTTGATTTCTTTAATAAAAGCATTAAAATGCGTTTATGTTGTTTCATGAATCACCAATCTACTAGCAGACGAACAGGCAGGCTTCAGGAAGTGCAGATCTACTGAAGACCAAATCACCTTCATTTCTCAGGAAATAGAAGATGGCTTTCAAGAAAAAAAAACAACCTCAATAGTGTGGGTCGACTTTGAAAAAGCCTTTGACAAGGTTTGGGAGCAAGGCTTAATTCTAAAGCTAATAAACCATCAATTATCTCATAACATGCTAAACTGGATAAAAGGTTACCTAAGCAACCGAAAAGCATCAGTCTCCATGCAAGGAAAAAGAAGTCACACAGTAACTATAAAAAATGGAGTTCCTCAAGGAGGAGTCTTGTCTCCTACTCTCTTCCTCATTTATATAAATGACTTAAATGAAAACATCCCAAGGAGAGTAAAAAGAAGCATGTTTGCAGACGACCTTTCACTAATCAGCACAGAGGAATATATTGGTACCTCAAAATTTCGTCTTCAAGAAACACTTGACAAGCTCGGCAAATGGACCAAAAACTGGGGCTTATCCATCAATACCAAGAAAACAACTTACTCAATCTTCACCTTATCAACTAAACATCAAAAAATGAAACTTACCCTAGAAAACCAAGAGCTAGAAAAAAATGACCACCCCAAATACCTAGGAGTCACTTTTGACACTCGACTTACCTGGAGAAAACAAATAGAAAACACACAAAGTAATGGGATCAAAAGACTTAATCTAATGAGGAAACTGGCAGGAACAGACTGGGGAGCAAATCACCACATCCTGAAAAAAACCTACACCAGCTATGTGAGACCTACGTTAGAATATGGTGCCTCGGCTTGGGGCTCAGCAGCAAAAACAAATATTAGCAAAATTGACAAAGTTCAGAACATTGGTTTGAGAATAATGACAGGAGCCATGAAAACAACACCCATAAAAGCTATGGAGGAAATAGCCGCTCTTAGCTCAATAGAAGAAAGAAGAGAATCAAAAATCCTCACTCATTACACAAAGCTAGAGGCACTGGAAAACCATAACCTAAAACAAAAACTCCAGAAACCCAGTCCATCAACCAGACTACAAAGAACAAGTTTCATCAAAGAAGCAAAGAATCTGAAAAAGAAATATGAAATCGAAAATATCATTCCTGAAGCAATAAAAACTCAAAACCTCTCCCCGCCTTGGATCTCCCACTGTCACTTAACCATTATTGACTCAATAGACACCATAGGAAAAAAATCTGACTATGATCTAGAAGAACTTAAGAAAATAACAAATAAACACATTAAGGATCAGTACCCCAGCAATACCTGGATTAGAGTTTTCACAGATGGCTCAGCTGAAGATGCCACAAAAAACGGCGGGGCTGGCATCCTTATTGAATGGCCAAGCGGAAAAAGCCTGGAAAAGGCAATAGCCACAGGCAGCCTATCCGACAATTTTAGGGCAGAAAAAGAAGCTTTAGAACACGCAGCAAACCTCCTGTCAGAACACCCTGAATCACCGAATAGTCAGATTGTATTTCTTACAGATGCCAAATCAGTCCTGCAATCCCTACAAAATCCGGAGTCCTATATTCAAACACTCATGACAGCACTAGAGAGGCTAAAAAATACCTGCAGCAGAATTGTGCTGCAGTGGATCCCGGGCCACTGCCAGATCCAGGGTAACGAGATCGCAGACCAGCTGGCAAAAATTGGGGGAAAGAAACCACAACCGGAAATTTCGCTACACCCAAAAGAAATAAAAAGAATAATTAAACACAAACAAACGCAAATGTGGTCTGTCACACACCCTCACTACATTAAAGACGACGGCTATTACAATTTAACACGAAAACAACAATACATAATCTTTCGACTTAGAACAGGCCACAACAGACTAAATCAACACATGCACAAAAAACTGAAGGTTGGGTGTAGCGAAATGTGCCCTTGTGGCAAGGCCCCGGAAAACACGGAGCACGTACTCCAGGATTGTACTCTGTATAGCCAGGCAAGAGGCAGACACTGGCCCCAGCCCACCCCACTCAGGGAAAAATTATATGGGACACCTGACAAACTGGAAACCACAGTCCGGTTTGTCCATGAAGTTGGACTTGTTGTCTGAATCCTCCACCATATTCAAAAATTAAGAACGAAGAAGAAGAAGAAGAAGACCCATGCTTTTATTAAAGAGCCTTGTTTTATTTTCTTATACTCAGGGCTTACAAAAATTGATCATTACAAAGGATTTAAAATTTGTGCTTGCCTCCAACTAGAGGACCAGGGCAGCCAGGTTTGTTTCTTTCAGACACTTTTCTGTAATTTAAATTACAGTTCTACAAATGAAGTGTAAAATCTGACGAATGTCCTTAAATTGGAAGTCAAAATACATCTTTATCCTTACAAAAAAGCTTGAGTTTGTTTACTATTTCCTAGTAGCTTCCCTTGACAAAAAATCTCATCATATGGGAGATAATGATTATTAGTTGCCTTTAAAATAACAATTCACTAATTGTATTTTTATTTCCCGCTTATGTAATTTCCCCCATCATCTTCATTTTTCTTTCATAGGTAGGAACTTAATGTGAGATGCACGTGAGATGGGAAGAGAGAACATTTTTATTTTAAAATTAATTTGCCGAAACTTTAACTTGCGGGTTCGCTATAACACCCAAACATGTTTTCTTTTCTATAAGATCATAAATGTTTAAATGTTGGCGATATGTTCCATATTTGATTTAAGGTGGTAAAATTGGAGACTTTCTCTAACAATTTATATTAAGTAGGCCCTAATTACTAATAACATGTGTGCACAGTATGACCTGATTACTTCAATTTCAGCCTGATTGGTTACTGGATTTGCTTTCCCCCAACCCCCAAAACAGTCTGCTAGGCAACTAGTGTTTCTTCCAGACTTTTTTCTCCGGGGGGGGGGGGGGCACTAGCAGTGCCTCCAAGAAAGGTTAAGTCAACCACTGCTCTCATTTACAAAATGTTCTTTATCGTAAAAGTACAGGGTACTAATTGTTTCTCAAAACTGTCTGTGTTTCGTAGTCATGTTTTGAATCACCTACTGCATTATTTTTCTCACTTTCGGTGAAATAAGAACTACTAGCAGGCACGAGTCTAATCTCTAAGCCGAGTGGGAACATATGGTGTTATCGACATTATCGGCGTAGATCCCATTGACCAATCGTAACGATCGAGCTAGCTGGTCAGTAGGTCACCACATATCTACTCAAGGTTTACTGTACAGGGAGTCAAAATTTACAATGGAAATTTTGTCTGTTATAGATCTAGTTCCATCTTTATATATATATATATATATATATATATATATATATATATATATATATATATATATATATATATATATATATATATATATATATACATGGTTTAATGATCTATAACTAATTTACGAATATAAATTACTGTTTCTACGACGTACTATTTTGAAATGGCAGTGATATATAGACATAAATGCACAGACGTGAAACAATTTTTTAAAGTGGTGGTGGGGGTGGACATTTTATTTTGCTCTGAGATATTTTGTCCATGCTGTTTTTTCCTGCTATAGCTGTAGCCTAATTTGTCCTTTCCATCATTTGCCCTAGTTTTTTTGTCCTTGTGATGCCTTTTCTGGTATATTGTGTCTGAGATCATTTGTCGTTGCAGAGGCGTAGCGACCCTTCCCGGCGCCCGGGGACAAACTTTTCGATTTGCACCCCCCCCCCTCAAACTTTCAATTTATCATTCCAACCCATTTTGGCGCCCCCTAATATGTCCCCCCGCCCCCCCCCCTCGCTACGCTACTGTGTCGTTGGGATACTTTTATTGGGATATTTTGTCCTTGGGATATTTTGTCTAAAATTATTTGTCCTGAGACTGAAATCTTTTAATCTGTCGCTGTGGCGACACTATCAAAAGATGACCTCGAAATCGATTTGCGTACATATTAATAAATGCCAAAAAAATAGCTTAAATGTGTGAAATAGAATTAAAACTAGGAACATCCCCTACCAATATTGGCCAACGGGAAAGGCCCGTGTTCAAATAATTATGACTGTGTAGTCCGCTGCTAAATCTACCACAACGTCAGTGCTCTTTAGGGTACATACATAGCCATTTACCGAGTGTACTGAAAAACGACCCCCCCACTCCACCTATTGTAATGGTGTGTTATAGCACAACGTTGACCCACTACCCCCCCCCCCCCCCCACACACACACCTCCCCTCACCCTCCCCACATTACCTGATATATAATGGCGGACACTGGGAACTTTAACAAGGGAGGTCATCCTGTGGTTAACCTTGCGAAGAGTTGACTGGTGGAGAATTCGTTCGGTCATTGAAAACTATCACTGACTGAATTAATGTTTAAACGTTTCATTAGACCTAATTAATGATTAAAATAATTTTGATTATCATGCCTCTGTATATATTCAGAGTTTCTTTCAGACATTTTGCTCCGTGGGTCACTTGAAACTTCCAGGGAGGGAGAGGGGGGGGGGGGGGGGCGGGGGACGACTTGAAACTGCCCGGAGGGTGAGGGGATGGTTAAGGAAGACTAGATATTTTATATTTAAATTTAGTTTTTCACCCTAGACCAAAAAGGGGAGGGGCGTGCTCGGAAGGGAGCAGTGTCTGAAAGAAACACTGCCTATAAATTCCTTTTCAATTCCACATAGACCTTTCCCATTTCCCATAGTACAGGCCATTTAGCTATTCCGTTATTCGTAAATCCAACTTTTTATAGCACCCGACAGTTTTCTTTTCGGTCGAATTGGATTTATAACTTTGGTGAACAGAGTTTCTTCCAGGCATCTCTACTGCCCCCCCCCCCCCTGAACAAAATGAAATTTATATACAAAATATATACTTTTAACAGTGTCCGCCCCCCCCCCCCCCGAAGAAAGTCTACCCCCCCCCCCCCCCCCCCCCGAAAATTTCAAGTGCCCCCCGGAGAAAAAAGTCTGGAAGAAACACTGTCGGTGAATAACAATGCAACGCATACGATCTCCCACACACATCCCTCTTCACCACCAGTTATCTCCCCGTATTTAAATAAATACTAATCTTAAATTCCAACATAAGCAACGGTAAGTTAAAATGTTTCCTTGAACCAATTAAATAGGAATAGATCTACTTCAAACCATTTTTATTATTATAAATCTTTTAGGGTACCTACCCCCTTCCCCCCCTACACACACTATAACCATACAGTAGCGTAGCGAGGGGTTGGAAAAATAAACTGAAAGGTTGAGGGGGGTGCAAATCGAAATCTCGAGGGGGGGGGGGGGTGCAAATCGAAAAGTTTGTCCCCGGACGCCGGGAAGGGTCGCTACGCCTCTGTAACCATAACCAGATCAGAAACGTTGATGAAACAACTTTACTAAAGAATGTAAGAGGTAGGCAGCTTTTATTTTTTTTTACTACCGTAGGGATAGAAGTCAATATCTGGAAGAAAGAAGCCCCCCCCCCCCAAAGCACCCCTCCCCCCCCCCCCAAAAAAAAATAATAAAGTATTTTTGAAGATTTCTTTTTCCATTTTACCCGTCCTTGACATTGAGTAGAAACACGTGGTCCTAGCGTGACCCACAGCCTCGCAATTCATCAACTTTTTATCTCGTCGATCTGATCTGCCTCTTTATCTCACCTTGTAAGCAGGGAGTAACGTTCAGACGAGGGTCGACAGCGGAGACATCCTCTACAGCACGCCGAGTTGCATCATAGGCCGCCACTCAAACTTTGGATTTAAGGATTATTGAGCCGTAATCTTAATCCCTAGTTCTAATGTGCAAACAGATTTTATTGGCTGGAGGTTAAAATTCAGCTCTATAAACACACACACACTTATATATATATATATATATATATATATATATATATATATATATATATATATATATATATATATATATATATATATATATATATATATACAGAGGCGTAGCGACCCTTCCCGGCGCCCGGGGACATACTTTCAATTTGGCGCCCCCTTGGGGGCAAATTTTAGATTTGCACCCCCCCTCGAACTTTTCATTTGCACCCCCCCCTCAAACTTTCGATTTGCACCCCCCCCCTCGAACTTTTCATTTGCACCCCCCCTCAAACTTTCAATTTGGCGCCCCCCTAAGGTCGGCGCCCGGGGACATATGCCCCCCCCCCCCCCCCCCGCCCCCCCCCCTCGCTACGCTACATATATATATATATATGTATATATAAGTCAGTAGCGTGCGTAACACATGTGTTTAACCTTTTTAAGTTGATATGATTATTGACCATGAGCCCGTGAATCACACAGCTTTCAAGCTAAATCGAAAACATTCGTTATTTGTTCGCACGGAAAATTTTCTCACATAGGCTTAAAACAGGAAACTAAAAACATTTTTATAATCATAGTGAAATGTAAAGTTATTCTCTTCCCCCCCCCCCTGCGTTAATCCCCCAACGCAAACGATTAACTACACCCCCGCTTACGTTAATATTGATTCCGTGTCATTTCATTTCAAAAGGTTTACGTGTAGGCCTACGTGTATGTGTAGGCAGTGGCGTAGCGAGTGGGGGGGGGGGTGCGGACCGCACCGGGTGATACCATTTAGGGGGTGAAGCCAAGGCAAAAAATAGCAAAATATAGAGAGAAAAACGATAATTTTACTTAAGTGATTAATTCGAGTGTAAAATACTCTTTTAAGAGGTGCAAATCGAAAGTTTGAGGGGGGGGGGGGAGGGACGGGGGGAGGGACGGGGGGGGGGGCAAATCGCAAATTGAAAGTTTGGCCCCGGAAAGGGTAGCTACGCCTCTGGGGGTGACACCATTAAGTGCCGCACCACCGAGTGACACCCGACCTCGCTACGCCACTGTGTGTAGGCTAGGTATTGATAGAGACATATTCACCAATAATTTGGAGTACGTGTTTCTCTCCGGGAAATGACACGTGAAAGTTTTTGAGGGGGGGGGGGGGGGGGGGCGAAGAACGTGCTTTGAAAAAAAAGGGGGGGGGGGCGAATAAATGCCTGAAAGAGAAAGAAAGATGTGTGCATACGCAACTGAATGAGTTTGTGTTGTAGCTATCTTTATAAGTCTTTATTATATCTTCTCAAGGTTGCAAAAACTAACTGAATGACTCAATTACACACAGTTCAATAGTTTAATTCGTTGTCGAAAATTCAATTTCACTTTTGCTTTGGTAGGCAATTTTTCTAATCGCGCAGTCTTGACAATGAACTTGACAACGTTCATAAATAGACTAGACTTAGATTTTAGATCTAGATCTACCACTAACCCTTGATACACATTCAGGATGAGAACAACTTACTGCTGTAACCATAAAAGTTATTTATAGATAACATACACAGGTGACATCTTATTGCTATTTGACCCTATACCCTTTGACCTCCTTTGTAAATTAAACTTTACTTTTAAAAAGGAATTTAGTATTTTGTTATTGATGTAAAATAAATCTGCTAAAAAGGAATATGTTTTGCCATTTAAATACTTGCAATTTTGATTCTAACTTACGCTATTAGAGGAACAAAAGGAACTAAATAATGTCCCTTTGATATTAATCCGCAAAGCCGACCAATAATAGACCTCGAAGCATCGAAAGTAGGTTATTTTGGTTTACGCTGGTAATAAGAAACAATCGATAGGACTTCAAGCATGGGTATACAGCTGAAAACAGTGTTGATCAGCGACGAAATTGATGAAATTTGTATCGATATTCTGCGGAAAAATGACATAGAAGTAGTGAAAAATACAAATCTAACAAAAGAGGAACTCTTACAAGAAATCGTGGTATGGAAATATTCCTCTAAGTATTGGTTTTAATTTTTCAAAACGTGCTGGCACGGGCTGTGATAAACTGCAGACTATGCGTTGAAAGAAAGAATGGTGAGCTGTCAAGTTTTAACCTTTGAGGAAGACGGAGACGATGTAGAATCAGTCACGTACGCACGCTATTTAAGCTGATAAATAATATAGATCTAGATCTAATAAAGATGCATTGATGAATGCCGCGTTATGATTAAAGGCTCGTGCAGCATAAATTGCTTGATTTAGAATGAGATAATTTAGAATTTTGCTAGGTAAGAGGTTAGTGCAGTACTTTTAAAAAGTACTTTACTCAGACTACTTTACTTTATTCTTTAAAGTACTTAAAGTAAATCTAGATCTAGATCTAGATCTAGAATCTATATTAAAAAGTAATTGTGTTGAGAATATGCTGCGGCCTAATGAATGAATATGATGTTTATTAGCCTATTAGGCCCCTAGGCATAATTAAAATAATTATTAATAGGCCTAGGCCTAATTAATTATTTTTATTAGGCCTAGGCTTATCCTAATTCTGTTTTCTTTGTTTATGATTGTTAGCAAATGCAATCAGCTGCAACGTAAAAGTTTACTAGAGTCTAGATCTAGAATCTAGATCTACTAACTACCTAGACCTAGAATAGAAGTAGCCTAACCTTATCAACAATTCTACTAGATCTAGACTAGAATCATAGATCTAGCTAGACTTTGTAGTGTAGATTTAGAGTCTAGCTTATGTTCCCCCCCCCCCCCCCCCCACCCCTCCAAGTTTGAAGAATTAAGGCCTACTTAATACTTATTATTACATCTAGATCTTGTCTTTATTTATTATCAAAGAATTAAAGTAATTGAATAGGCCTATAAAATAAGTTCAACCCTAATATGACTAACTACTATGTTATGTATGGTCTTAGTCATCTTGTATTATCCTCATCCAATCTGAGCAGTAGCTACACAATTTTAGAAATAACTAGGCCTAAACCTTTATAAGTATATTAAACAATACAATAGCTCTACAAACTATTAATATAGTTTAAATTTAGGCTAATAAAAAGTATGTAAGTGAAAGACCATAAACCTACTTATAATAAAATTGTTAGATCTAACACACAAAAACATTGAAATATGTTTTATCATAGTTTTGATTGCCTGTGCCCTAAATGCAGTAAAATTCTTATACTATAAGCCCTGCTACAAATGATTTGTAGTTTTACAAAAAAGTACCGCTTGGGTTAGAGCCCATTAATATTGAACAGTCAAAATTCTGAAAATCCTTTGTGTAACTGGAAAGTTCTATTTTTTTTTTTTTTTAAATATTCACATTCATTGCCAAGCATAATAATTTCAGTATTATTATTCCTATAGATTTCTTTAGTAACAACTGATTCAGCAAATACCAATGCGCTAAACAGATTAAAGCATACAAATGATTAACAACTTGGATGATTGTGAAGGGCAAATAACCTGCTTTCTCTCAGAATTTAGATACATTTTTGTTTTGTTTTTAGATGATAGCTGAAGAAATTAAAAACACGACTAAAACCTTTTCTCCCCAGAAATACGATGGTTTGATTGTCCGTTCAGCAACTAAAGTCACAGCAGAAGTTATAAATGCCGGAAAAAATCTTAAAATCATTGGTCGTGCAGGGACTGGTGTTGACAATATTGATACAGAGGCCGCCACAAAGAAAGGGATAATTGTTATGAAGTAACAAAGTTTTACACATGTTATTAACATGCTCACTAAAAACTATTTTGTTCTAAATTTTAATTTAAGGTATACTTTAAAAAAAAGATTTTTTATTCTAAGTGAGATAGTGTTGTAGTATGGTTTCTAAATTCATTAATGTAGGCCTAATTATTGTTTTATTCATGTTAATCGAACAGTGATGAATGTAGAAAGAAAACATCAATATTTTACTAGTTACCATACCATAAGCTCTCCTAGTAGAGGCTAATATTTTGAACTTCTATTCCAGCACACCAGGTGGTAACACACTAAGTGCTGCAGAACACACGTGTACTCTTATCATTGCATTGACCAGGTGAGTAGATTATACACCTCAAAAAATAAATCAATATCAGTATGAGCTAAGCCTCTGCATTGTTGTAAAATGTCTTCAATTGTGTGTTTTATACAATTTTTCTAGCCATTACTATACATGAAATGATTTTTAGAGAAAAATAATATCTTGTAAGCCTTCTCTCACAATGAAACAAATCTAATTATTTATTATAATACATATCTGAGCTTTCCTTTACCTCTCTCTCTCTTGCTTATTCTACTGAGTGGTCTGTGAGTAGAACACATCTGTGCTAAAAGTTGTGAATTTTGTTCTTGGGCTTAAAGACCATAACTTGATTTCCCCCATCCCCTCCCAGTATTCTACACATACTCATCTATCTTATAGTAGAAATACTTGATTCTTTATCCTGTTGTGGTCTGCCTTTCTTAAGAGCATTGCACTATTGGTTTTGGCTTCTTTGAAATTGTAACATTGTAGGTGTTCAAACTGCTGTTTTTCTTTTAACATATTATGTTACATTATGTGTTACATCAGATTTTTGGGTTTAAAATATTTATTATAGTACATTTTAGTATTGTCTCTATCATTTATAGTTGAAGTAAACCTTAAAAATGCCTTACTTCAGTGCACTCTAAAAGTAAAGTGCTGTAACTGTATGTCGTTGTAGTTTTTGTCACTTATGTATATTGTATGTTTTTTTTTAATGTCTATCAGAAACCTGGGTGAAGCCTGTAAATCAATGAAGGAAGGAAAATGGGACAGAAAGAAGTTCATGGGCACAGAACTGTATGGGAAAACACTAGCAATTATTGGGCTTGGCAGAATAGGGAAGGAAGTTGCATTGAGGATGCAGTCTTTTGGCATGACAGTAAGTTGATTTTTACATCATGATGTCAAATAATTTGATGCTTTCTAGTTAACCATGCCTGATATGAATCTAGGGATGAATATGGTATCTTTTTAGCATTTTGCCTTATTTTCCCTCTAATCATCTACTTACTGACTTTTAGTTCTCTTCATTCTTCTGATGACCTCATCCATTTTCTCTCACTCTTCTGGAATTATAATTTTGTGTTGATCCAATCTTTTGTTTAGAATAAAACCAATGCATCAAGCAAAACTGTTGTTATTGTTGACCCTTACATATTTTGAAAGTGCTGTTTTTGTGTTTTAAATTTTTTATATGCAATTTAAAATATATATATATTTTTTCCTTGTATCTACTAGACAGTTGGTTTTGATCCCATTATTGGAGCACAAGAGAGTGCCACATTTAATACAGAGTGGTTACCCCTTGAAAAAATCTGGCCTATCGCAGATTACATTACAGTTCACACTCCACTCATCCCACAAACCAAGAGTAAGTCATGTGACTTTTGGACATAAGAGTTTCAATTTTGATTGATGAAATAATTTGCGTTCTTTTTAGCAGTGCTTAGCAATATCTCTATTACCTTATATATTAATTAATATTGCTTAACTGCAGAATTTGCTATAATCTGGTTTACAGTCACTGTTTTTAAACAGTTTTATCATTGAAATTTTAATTTTTACATTTTTGCTGTAGGTTTGTGTTGAGAAAATTAACTTTGAACAATTCATTTCAGATCTCATAAACGATGCTGTATTTGCCAAGTGTAAGAAAGGTGTACGTGTAGTCAACTGTGCTCGTGGTGGGATCATAGATGAGGAGGCTTTGTTGAGGGCTTTAGACTCAGGCAGGTGTGGTGGTGCAGGGTTGGATGTCTTCATTGAGGTAAACTTGCACACGTTCACAGCTCTTTAATAAAGTTGATTGCTTCTCTTTTCTCTGGTTATGTAAATGGTGGGGAAGTTTCCTTAAGGCAGTCCATGGGACAAGTGAAGCAGTCCAACTGATAGTGTGGTCAGCATTGTGCTCAGCCCATTTTAGTTTCCTTGAGTCCGATACCCTTCAGGGCAGGGTGGACTCAGGGACGAACTATGAACTTTAAGCGAGATTAAAACTCAAAACTTTCTGGTTAGCAACCGTATGCTCTGTCATTTGACCACTTCGTCCTGTTTTTGTTGTGGCAGAGAACCAAAAGGATCTTCTAGTAGGCAATAACTATTTTGGACTGGTTTCATTGTGTCTATATGCTTTATTCAGGGTTTTTATAGCTTTAATACTGAAAAAAAGTGACTTCAATACAGCCCTACCAGAGAAGATTGAAGTTACAGTAATAAAACAATAGTTAAAATAAGTTTATCAAGCATTTATATTTTTATTTTGTTTTTATAATGTAGGAACCTCCAAAAGATTACACCCTTGCAAAACATGTGAATGTAATTGCCACGCCACATCTGGGTGCCAGCACCATTGAAGCACAGACCAGGGTAGCTGAAGAAATCGCCCAGCAGTTTGTTGATCTGGCTCAGGGAAGATCCTTATTTGGTGCTGTAAGTTCTCAAGCATCTCTACACATTTTTAATAATAGATTAATTCATTTAGTAATAATTGCTTGTCAAGTGAAATATTAGGCGGACCAGTTGTTGTCTAATTTGCAACTTATCAGCTAAATTTAAGTTGTATCTGGTGTGTTTTATAAACTGAGGGATTTGAAAGCAATATGCCTTCAGTTAATATGATTAGCTGTTGGTTGAGTTGCTATTAGCTAAGCTCATAAAAGTAACGTTTTTTTTAAACCTAGCAATCCATTGGGCAAATTAAGTTCATATTACCTCAACCTTGGCATATGAAAGGATGGTATTAAGTCCATGTACATGATTTGAAATCTGTATGCCTCAATAATATTGAGTTGGTTGATTTGAAATTAACCAATCATATCTACACGTGTATACAGCATGATTTAAAATCTGGATGTCCTCTGTAAAATGTCCCGTTGAACTGCAAGTCTTGAACCTAATTTAAATTCCTACACTGATATAAATCTTGCATCAGAATGAAGATGTCATCTCTTATCTCTGTGGTTACAGGTGAATGCAGCCACCTTGACCCATGCTCTCAGTTCAGGCTCGCAGCCCTGGGTGAAACTTGCTGAAAGAATTGGTTCACTTGGTAGCCTGCTGACCAAAACCATGTCAGTCAACAATGTGGAGGTGTTGATGTATGGTAGGTAGATTTCATTGTTTCATTACCTGTTAGTTGATGCATGGTAGGTAGAGTTCATTGTTTCATTACCTGTTAGTTGATGCATTGTAGGTAGATTTCATTGTTTCATTACCTGTTAGTTACACATGTGGTGTTGATGTATGGTGGGTAGAGTTCATTGTTTTGTTGCCTGTTAAATATGCATGTGGAGGTGTTGATGTATGGTGGGTAGGGTTTGTTTTGATACCTGTTAATTATGCATGTGGTGGTGTTGATGTATGGTGGGTAGCTTTCAGTGTTTTGTTACCTGTTAGTTACGTATGTGGAGGTGTTGATGTATGGTAGGTAGCTTTCATTGTTTTGTTTACCTGTTAATTACACATGTGGTGGTGTTGATGTATGGTAGGTAGATTTCATTGTTTTGTTTACCTGTTAATTACACATGTGGTGGTGTTGATGTATGGTAGGTAGATTTCATTGTTTTGTTACCTGTTGGTAGAGGTCATTGTTTTGTTACCTGTTAGTTACACATGTGGTGTTGATGTATGGTAGGAAGAGTTCATTGTTTTATTACCTGTTAGTTACGCATGTGGTGGTGTTGATGTTTGGTGAGTAGAGGTCATTGTTTTGTTACCTGTTAGTTACACATGTGGTGGTGTTGATGTATGAATTGTAAATTGTAATGATGCAGTCCGGATGCTTTATCATCTGCTGAATAAGTTGCTGTCCCTTGCTCAGGCATTAGCCAATATGGCTGTTGTTGTCCAGGGGTAATCTAATATTGTTACACAAATTAGCTACATGCTTTGAGTTGAGAGAGAGAATCTTTGACCTGCCTGTATTTATACCTACGTCCTTTACCACTGGATAATGAGACCAAACTTGCAAGCTAACAAATTACATACCCTTTCACTAACAACCCTGGCCACTGGTTTGCACATAGGCTACTATTGTCAAGGATAGCATGCACTCATTCAGTGACTAATAAGGAGAGTAGTAACATGCTTGTGCTTGTAGTATCTACTGAGGTGCTGTGAGATAATGGGTCATAGCATTCCAGCTTACAACAGTTTCACCTCCACCTCCTTTAATCTCATTAGGTTACTATAGTTCAAACTATCTCCCACCCATGTTTTTAGCATGGAAATTTCTATTATATTGTTTGGGTGCTATGTTCGATTTTTAAATCTCCTACTTTGCTTGTTACCACCTTGCATATTGAGGAAGTAGGTTTGGGATTTGGGCTGTCTGAATTGGTTTGTTTTTTATTGTCTGATGTTTTTTAACGTTTCTCTGTTAAACAGGTGAATTCCTTGAGAAGGCAGGAGCATTTCTTCTCTCTTCTGTCCTGGTTGGGTACCTGAACACGTCAGCTGTGGACAATGGTGACATCCTGCCAAGTAATCTTAACATAATTAACGCCCCGGTGTATGGTAAACAGGCTGGTCTGAGGGTGAGTATATCACAGTGTTTGCTTCAAACATTCTTTCTATGTATTGGAAAGTCTTTATTTTCTTTATACATTTTATATATTTGCTTACATAAATATGCAATGGTTGTAAAAATCTAGAATACTTAATGACAGTATTACTGTCAATTGCACATAAAACAAGCCAACATTTTTACAGTCCGTAAAAGGTTATTACCTATTTTGGTAAAAAATTGCAAGTGTCAAATTTCTTTTTAAAAATCTTTTTAAAAAGAGTAAATGTATTAATAGTTAAAATGAGCACGATCTTTCTGAAGACACAAATTTGAATTTGTGCCGGATTTATAAAATTGTTGCAAAAGAGGCATATATAAAATTTATAACACCAAATTTAAGTTATCTTGAAAAATTTGTAAACAAAGTTGTGTATTTCGTTTGGAGTTATTTTTGTTTGCTTAAATGTCTAGCTTTGCTTGCACTTGAGTGCCCTGAGCCACAGATAGAAATTAGCTATGCTTTATAAATTCTCATGTTCTTTGAACATACAGATTTTATTTATAAAGTTAAAGATTTCTAGCAACATCATAATTTTAAATTCAAATTTTTAAAAATTACGTTAAATCATTATTATTTTAATGCAAATGGTTCATTGTATATTAAACAGTGAGATTCTTCATTAGATAGCCAGATAGCAATTTATTTCAAATCCTATTACTGTGTTTCAATTTATCCACAAAATATCTACTGATTCAACATACTGTTAACTTTAAAAAAAAATTAATCTACCTTTAAAATACAATTTTGTGTAGTGGGCAGCAGATTTTGTGATTGAATACCAGAAGTTGCTTTTTTTCCCCCACACTGGTTGCTTCCCTTTATTGGTAGTGGTTATATCTGAGTTATGGAACTTGTCTCCATTACCACCTGTGTTGATCTTTTTTTAATCCCTTTTATAGAATATGTGAGCTTAATCAATAAAGATCAAGTACACATTTTTACAAAAATTAACAAAAAAAAATATAATTTACTTATAATTAAGTTTTATTATTTAAAAAAAAAGTTTTTTTAATTAATTTGTTTTTGTAGTGATAGAACTTTACAGTAGCACAGCATGGCTTTTAGAGGTTGTACTGCATGGCTATCTAATAGAAGTGTTTTAGCTTTTTATTTTTTTATATTTTATATACGAATTTGCATTACATTATTGCTTCATTTGAAGTTGAGTATTCAATAGTTACAAATTCACTTCATAAAAATGACATCTTCAAAAACTAAATTCTCAGTTAAATATTTATTTTAAATTTGCTTTCAAGGATGTTAAAATATGACATAATTTTCTTTAAATGTGAATTTACAGTAGTGTGTTACACTTAAACCAGATGACGTATTTTTCTGAAGTGAATTTTAAAAAAAACTCTAGAACCAGGGTAGGCATACAACGATGGTTTAACACATTTTATTAACACTTGTAATGTGGTGGTGGGTTACCAAATTCTAGACTGAGGCTGGAGAACAAGTCCACATCAATATGATCAGTGCTGCAGGATATGCCAAGCAAGCGGGAATAGTCGTGAGTAGAATTCAAAGGGTTTATTCTAAACTTTAGTTTAGAATGTATTTTAACTGCTCTGGTTATAGACCAAGTGTATAAAGTTTTAGTTAAATATATGCCAAACTTTTCATCATCCTTTTATCTGTTGTTGAAAGCATGCTTGTTTTGCATATATTTAACATTTCATTTTCAATAAAGCTTCTGGATTCGTTTCTTTCATTATAAGAAAAAAAACATTGAATATGCTTAACAATATTTATAGGTGTTCTAAAGTTTAAAGCCTGTTTATTAAATGTAAACAGTTTAATCAGCTACCATTAAGCCTTGGGCACTACTTGCAGTCTTAGCACATTGACAAAACTAGCACTGAATCACATTCTATATTTTTGTGTGTATTTATTAAAACAAATATAATTGAGAACAAAATTGAGATCATAACACACTTTAAAAAAACTCAATCAAGTAAACAATATTAAAAAAAGGCGTAAAGGTATCTAATTATGTTTTATCTACTATATTGATCTATGTTTATAGTGGTTTCAGCATGTGAGTGTATTAAATGTTAGCTGTAGCTGTAAAATATTTGTTGCTATCAAGGCATGTTACTTTTGTTGTTTTTTTTTTTACTTAATGATTGTTTTATTTATTTTATAGTTAATTGTTTGCATCTTGTTTGTACTCAATAGACCACATCAACATATAAAGGACACAATGGAGCTGATGGTCTGAAGGTGAAGGTCGAGTTCCAGAGTGCTGCCGGTGAGGTCCTGGAGATATGCGGCACAGTGAGAGGAGATGAAAGCCTGCTGCTGTCTGTCCAGGGTAACGCCTTCAAGGTCCCTGCGTACCTGGGCGGGGACTCCATCGTCTACAGGATTGACAAGCCAGTCTCATTGGCTGAAATATTTGGTGGGTAGTTCTCATTGGCTGAAATATTTGGTGGGTAGTTCTCACTGGCTGAAATATTTGGTGGGTAGTTCTCATTGGCTGAAATATTTGGTGGGTAGTTCTTATTGGCTGAAATATTTGGTGGGTAGTTCTTATTGGCTGAAATATTTGGTGGGTAGTTCTCATTGGCTGAAATATTTGGTGGGTAGTTTTGGTTGTGTTCAGATATTAATTATGTTTTTTGGTACTTGTTAATTCATTGACCGGGCGTGTCTAGCCCTTTTTTTTTTGCTAGTATTACTATCCTAGTCATGACCCTAACACAGTAAGTCGTATCCTTAATCTAGCTGAATTCCAATTTCATTTATATTATTTTTTTTTATATCTTTTAAAAAATGTTCTATAAAATATAAGACCAAATGCTTGAATTTTGGTTCTTAATTGTCATAGTTTTTTGTCTTGTTAAATGTGAGATCAAATTCTTAGAATAGGTATTCTTTTTATTCTTGAACAAAATGTAAACATTGTATAGCTACATCCTAAAATAAGCTTTTTTAGTTAATTGTATAACCCAATTTAAATCTTTTATTGTTTCATTCCTGTTTACTTAAAAATATCAGCCTATTGACACAACTTTTTTTTCCTTTAAATGTTTAGAAGCTGCAGAAAAGGATGAGGTAGAGGTAGCTGCCATCTCCGCATCAGAAATCAAAAATGGTCAAGGGTTTGGTATCATAAATTTGGGAAGTCCTGTCAAGAACAACATCGAGCACCTTGAGAAGAAATTGAACGATGTTTACCTGTGCACACTGTAATTTACCTGCAGGATTGACTTGGGAATATTTTAGTAAGCTTTAAAACCATTAGCATTTTGATTAAAAAAGGGGGTATTGTTGTTAACACGGGGATTGTTTAAAAAATGGAATTTTTTGTACAAATTTGATATTTCCAATTTATTCACACCAATTTAAGACTACTTTCAAAATTTGTTTTAGTAAGTTAACACAAAAGTTGTTCAATGATGCAGTAATTAACTAGATCGTTTAATACTATTTTAAAAATCTTTGTGTGTTATTTAAAAACAGTAAGGTTGAGTTGAATCGAGACATGTTTTATAAACATTGAATGTGAATGCTTTTCTATTGGTGGTAGTGATTGTAGTAAACCATTCTATAGGTGGTAGTGATTATAGTGAACCATTCTATTGGTTTTAAATTCTCTAGGAGTAGCCTCCCTTTAGAGCTTGTTTTAAAGCATGCATTCCATAATTTCAGTCTCCAAGCATGTCTCTCTCCTGCTTTCAACTTATTTTACTGTTAATGCTTTTGTTGCAACATTGTTTTAAACATTGTCAATTGTTATAGATTTTACAGTATTACTGTCATTTTGTTTATGTCAAATTGAAATCTGTAATAATTATTACAATTGCATGAAAGTAATAAAAGAGGAATTTCATTTTTTTTTGTTGTTGGTGAAAATTGATTACAAATATACACTAAATTTTCATTTGATTGGCGCTCGTAAATGAAACCTTAGCATGCACTAAAATTTACTGCATTAAAATTATTAAATTCACAAGTGTAATTTTTCAGATATAAAAAACACATTTCCTATTATTTCAAGAAGTTCTCTATTTTTTGTCCTTTTAAAGAAATATGCTGCTGAAAATGTTGATAGAAATTCAACATATAAAAATAAAATAAATACTCGAGTTATTGAGGTGGGGGGGGGGGGGGGGGGGGGGTATTTTTATAGTAAATTTACTTTTTTTTTTTGTTGCCGTTTAAATTTCTGTAAAATATCTTACAACATAAAGTGTGATGTAAAAATGAAAAACACATTGAACATCATCTGAAAATTGAAGCGTAATTGCTCTAGGATTTAATCACCATGAGATTATATATATTTAAAAATTATTTATTCAATATTTATGGATTTACCTTACATATGCTGAAACTATAACTATCCATTCCAAACTTAGATAATTTCTTCATTTTGCATTGTTAGATTTAATTAATCTTTTTCTACGGAAAAGTTTTTGTGCGAGATGGTACATTAGCTATATGCTTAGCTAGTTTTACTTGTTGTATGTGTGTTGGTCGCATGTTTGCTGCCTGTATGTTGTGCCTGACCTAGGTAGACTTAGATTTATGTAATTAAACTAATTAAGTACTTGGTACTATGTTGGATATTGTGTTGTGGAATCCCAGTGATGTATATTAACTTGCTAAGTACATGAATATGAATACGTTTGGTGCTTATTGCTTGAAGATTATATCCTAGCATTGTATGTTCTGATTATAAATTACAATGCAAGCACATGAAGTAACAGTGGTTCTTAACCTGGGTTCAACTGAACCCCGAGGGTTCGGCGAGTCAGTATCAGGGGTTCGGAGGAGGTAAATGACACACACCTAACTCGTATGATTCACAATCAGATTTTGTCAGTGCAGACAATAGGACTATTAAGAAGGGTTCGGAGAATGCGCATATGAAAATGGTGGGGTTGGGTTCTTCCAGAAAGGTTAAGAACCACTGAACTAACACAATGTAGACCTACAGGAGATCACAAATGCACATATACATAAAACCTCTTGAATTGACACACAATATCATATATGGGAACCCATGTATGTTCTAAATATGATAAATGGATACAGAAATAAAAAATAATTATCAAATTACACCAAACTAACACAGTGTAGCAATCCAGTAAAAATACAGGATCTCTGCTATTGCATGTTGTAATGAATGGTTCTAATGTAAACCTTGAATTTGTTCACTTTCTAAAGTTACAGTGTTAGTACTGTGGATCAGTTTTATCTTTAGTCAAGCATCTATCAATTAGTAATTAGTTCATGGAAATATTTCTGTGAGTTGAGATAAGCTGAGACCTTCCCAGCCTTAGTGATAACATGCGCCTTTAGGAATTCTAAAACTAAGACAGGCACCCTTAGGGATTCTAATAAGGCTGGTAAATTATTTTTCGAATTTTCCATGAAGTATTTAACGTAGACATATTTCAAGTAGATCTATAAGAAAAACTCTAATCTAGTCCTATTTACAAATACTAGTAATGAAAAAAATGAAGCTAAAGGAAGGTTAATATTAAGATATGTTTATTCCAACGACCGCTCCCTCTGAAATAAAAGGTCTTCCATAAATGACGTTACGTTTATCGTCTACTTCCCGTCACACATCGTCACAAAAATTAAAGTAAGAGACCCCCCCCCCCCCTCCGCCAGCGTAATGATGTCATTTTGTTCTCTTTTGATACCGGTTAAGACTGGTGTGTTTGCTAGTAATTTTTATATCAATTTACAATAAAGTCTGAAAAAAAAAAGCAAATAGCTGCTGAAATTTCGCAAAGAAAATTAGTTAAAATACAAAAGTGTGATGTCTTTAACTCCCCCCCCCCTTTCCCACCTGGTAACATGGTACACGTCGTCACTATAGTCCGAAGCGCTTTTCCCTTCAAAAGTGTGACGTCATTTATGGACGACCTCCTAATAGGTAAATCGTTTTATATATATATTTTTATACGAATGACTAATTACTATTTAATTACTTTTTTTTATTATTACCTCATGTATAAATTATACTGTATTAACTAGAACTTATTTACATTTTGCTTCTTGCCAACATGGTTTGTTGTAGCTACAGATTGAACTGTTTTTTTAAAGAACAATACTGCACATTCATTTTGTATTATCAACATGTTACTTATACAAGTCTGCTTCCTGCTAGGACTTACAATGTCACACTTAACAGTCTCACTCAGAGAAACTAAAGGTGTGGTCAGTAGAACTACAGGATCGGGGGAGGAAATGATGGACAACTGTTTTTTTTTTAAGTGTACAGCGATTTTTGTTTGGCCTAGTAAATAAATGTAAGAACCGCAGCCATTGATTTAAATTTTAAAACAATGTGCAGGCCTACTGCTAACTATAAAGTTCCCTTTTCGAACCTGACAGTAAGTAAAGTAGAGTTTACCCGTTTCAGTACCCTCGGCATTCGAAGGGATAGTGTGGTCAGCACTATGCACAGCCCCCTTTGCTTCCCCTAACGTGAGTGTTCATATCAACTACACAAAGTTGCCACTCTGAGCTTTTTACTCAGGGACGTTCTACTGACCTGTACCGAACTCGAGACGGGTTGGCAGTCTAGCGCGCTACCGTTAGGCCACGTCGTCCCCAAAGAGTAGTTTTTAGACTGTTACCCTTTTTGCTGTCAAGAAGAGTCACTAGTATGTCGCCTTACATGAGACGCATCGGTGACTCATCCATCAACACAAAAAAAAACAAAACAAAAAAACCCCCAAAAATGAAAAAAAAAAACGCCAATGGCGTCCGTGTTTTAAAAAAATCTCTCGTCATATTTTTGTGTCTTATATTGCTGTACATTTATTTATTTCTTGAATAAAAGTATGGATCTTTACATCGAATGTTTTGTTATGTTTTTTTTTATATAGCCTATATTTTTTTTTGGCAGTCGTTGTGCATTAGGTATTCATATTATTCATCATGTTATTGTACCATGTAAGTTGTTTAAAAAATTAAACATTGCTATTTAAATTTGATCACTGTAGTCTTTAGTACTTTCCTCATGTCGATACAAATAAAGACTGCATTTTCTAATAATATAGCAAGATTTAGGATTAGAATTAGGATTGGTTTAGTGTAGGAGCTGAACTCGTGTTGGTTTAGGTGGTGTTGAGGGCAGTGGCATACTTGTTTTAAATGTCAAATACATGTTTATAATTATTCAAAAATTAAATAGAAAAATAATATAATTATTTAAGTTTTACAACATTCAAACGTTCATTTAAAATGTGTCATGCTTTTAATCAATATCACATTGTAACAGAGGCGTAGCGAGAGGTGGGGGGTGCGGACCGCACCGGGTGACACCATTTAGGGGGGTGACACCAAGGCAAAAAATAGCAAAATATATAGAGAAAAACTTGACGGGGGGGGGGGGGGGGGGGCAAATCGAAAATTTGAAAGTTTTTCCCTGGGAAGGGTCGCTACGCCTCGGGGGAGGGGGGGGGGGACACCATTAAGTGCCGCACCGGGTGACACCCGACCTCGCTACGCCACTGCATTGTAATATTTTATTCGAATTGAATAAGACAAAAACATTTAAAAACATTTAAATCAAGCAATTCTCTGACGCCAAACGAAAAAAAAATTATTACAAATATGTGAAATAGGCCCAAAACAGGTTTTATTAATCACATATCATGTTATAATAATTCCATATCATGTAATACAAATCACATATGTAATATAAATCGCATTTGTAATACAAATCAAAAAGGATGTTGACAAATCACATTTTAATTTTCACACTTGACATCCATGACCAAAGCATTCATGAGAGATTGGAATGATTGGGATTGAAAGTACTATACAATGGAAACAACAAAACAGAAAAAAATAACTTTTTATCTCATCACCTTGAGCAAAATGGCTTGATTTATCACGGGAAATTGCCAACTAATAAGTTTTATCTGTTAATATAAGATTAAACTTTATATCCATAATACCGATAAGTCAATAACAATACATCATATCTTCGTGTTTGTGTTAGGGTTGGTGTTTAGCTGTTGGCGATTAAACTGGATATATACAAATATTGTTATGTTCGACTAGTACCAAAACAATGTTTAATTAAAAAAAAAGTTAAAATTGATAAATCTGAGGGTTGCTTAATAGTAATTTATGTTATTAATAATTTGCATGAAATGGTCTGTTTTTCGGCAACCCAACCCTAACCCTCCAGATTGCGCGCGTGCTTTAAATTGGGGCTAGCAAAAAAGTAGCCGGGCTTAACTTTTCGTGCGTGAACTTTTTGCATTAAAGCGGGGCTTATCTGGAAAAGTCCCCCCCCCCCCCCCACCCCCTCCCAAAAAGAAAACGACAAAATAAAATAAAATAAAACAAACGCATTAAAGAAAAGGCTGATTCACGACGATAATTGAAACTCATAATAAACGATAAATTATAACGAATTTGTGTGGTAAAACAAATTTTACAACATTCTTAAGGAAAAAAAGACGAATTAATATAGAAAGTAAGCATAAATTTAAGAATATCAATTATAATAGCAATTATAATTATCTCGACGATATCCAAAAGTGATTTATATCTTGATACAACAAGCATGTAACAGATACGTTCTAATGAAAATAATTTTAATGTGTTTACAAATCAAACTTGCATGAATTACGAGAGAAATTAGCAGCATAATTAAAATAATTTTAATGTTTTTACAAATCCAGCTTGCACGAATTACAAAAGAAATTAGCAGCATAATTAAAATTGTGAAAGACCGACTGGAACATGTCAAAGACCATCGAGTTTATGAGCAGAGTTTCTTTCAGGCATTTCTTCGGGGGGTTTGTGGCGGTGTGTGTGAGGCTAAAGCCCCGCCCCCCCCCCCCCCCCCCAATCTAACGAAATAGAGAAAAAAATATTCTGCTCGACCCTCTCTTTGGTATTTAACTGCGCCCACACCCGCAAATTATTTCAAGTACCCCGGAGAAAAAAATTCTGAAAGAAACTTTGTTTATGTGAATTATAACTCATTTTCATGCTCTTTACATTGTATGTCCTGTCAGAGCATCTATAGAACAAACAACAGCAGGTACTGTTTGGTTTGTGACTGTCTGCTCTGTGATTGTCTAGGTTAAAAAATTGTTCTAATTCAGCCTAATGTACAGAGGAGGGGGTCGTGGAGTGCGGAGTTCTATGGGCTATATACATAACACTAGAAATGGCACCCTTTAGTTGTCAAGCACCTAGGATTATATCATCTCACAATATGTAGTTCATTTTAGGTGGTTCATCACACTTTTAAAACATTAGAAAAAAACCCCACCAAAAAAAACAAAACCTCAAAAAAAAAAAAAAAAGAAAGCAAAAACCAACAGAATTCCCAAGGGCATGTTAGGGTTGCCAGATAAAAATCTACTACACACTACACATCAACACAACTTGGAAGAACAGCACACCGACTGTAGCCAAATCAAATAAATCAAATCAAAAGCATGAAACGCAGTTTTGCCAAAATTACCCTCCCCCACCCCAACCCATAAAGAAATAAAGAAAAAAAACCGCAAAGAAAAAAATCTTTTCCAAGCAAATCGATTATTCGAAGAGTTCTTTACCCTGCCCCATTGACCTCTGCTACTCAAGGTCGTTCTGCTTCACCTTTTAATATCTAGGATGGCGCTTTTCTTATTGAATTACTTTTTATACCTTCATTTTGATATTCCTCAATTCCGATGCGATTTTTCATGCAATAAAAAACATAAAGTTTCCATTAAGCTTCCGATTTCTTAACTTAGTAAAATATTAATCGCTAATTAAACGCCATTAGTTATGAAATATAAATGTCAGTTAAATATAGGCTAATATTTACAAATGTGAAGTGTTACTTATTATTAATGGGCAATTAATTAAAATTAATAACATTTATATTAGCTTTAGTCAAGGTATCTTTCAAGAAAAAATAACATTAAAATAAAAACAACACCGTTAATAAACGTATCTTTCAAGGTCACCGGAAGTTTTCTTAAAGGAGCAGCCGACATTAAATCGAACTCAGGTCACATATCCCCCCACCCTCTATCACACTTTCAGATCGAGGCTTAATTTAAAAAACAAAAACAAAAACAATGCGAAGTGGAGAAAGTAACCCAAACACAAAAACTCAATTCTGTAAAACAGTAAACATTGTGATTGTTTTCTCAGATTGTAATCTTAAAATGTGATGTAAGCTTATTCAGCAGTTAGATAAATGGCTAAGCATTTTAGAAATATTTTCTAATGTGGCATCAACAAAGATAAAAAAAAAATTTAATAAAATACTTAAAAAAAACTTTTTAAAAAACCACGTTTTTCTTGTGGACTAAAAAGTAGAAAATAACTATTTACATACATTTGATGACAAAAAACGTGGGTCGGGCAGATGGGTCGGGAAATTTGATGGTGAACGTACCCACGTTTTTTGTCATCAAATGTATGTAAATAGTTATTTTCTACTTTTTAGTCCACAAGAAAAACGTGGTTTTTTAAAAAGTTTTTTTTAAGTATTTTATTTTCTCCTTTTTAGTCCGTTGCTACACATGAAAAACGTGGTTTTTAAAAAGTTTTTTATATAGTTTATTTTCTACTTTATCTAATCACTTGATTAAGTATGACTTGACTAAGTGTTTTTAAATACACGGACTAAAAAAATCTTGAGCGACCGATACGCTTTAAACAGAGAAAGGGTGTAATTTACGTTGCTGGCGTGGAGATCTACTCACGAATCACGTGATCAAATCTCCCATAAACAAACAAATAAACGCGAAGCTGAGTTAAGGAAAAACGTGTTTATGTGTATTTTAGCATGCCCAGCGTACCAACCGTGTCACCGTTAACAATGTGTTACCGTGTCCGTTCTCCTTTTTAGTCCGTTGCTACACATGAAAAACGTGGTTTTTAAAAAAGTGTTTATAAATACACGGACTAAAAATCTT